GGCCGCTGAGCGGATATCCTGATAATTTGGTTTTTCGAAAAATGTTTGACCCGGTATATCTCGTGATGGAGATAGATATTCTGGCTGAAAGTTCGAGTGATGTATCAGGAGAACATGATACTCGAATAGGTGCCACGACAAAGGCGGCCACTGAACGGATCTACTGATAATTCGGTTTTTCGAAAAATGTTTGACCCGGTATAACTCGTGATGGAGAAGAATTTTCTTTCTAAAAATTCGACTGATGTATCAGGAGAACATGATACTCGAAGAGGTGGCACGACAGAAGCGGCCACTGTGCGGATCTCCTGATAATTCGACTTTTCGAAAAATGTTTAGACAGGTACAACTCATGAAGGAGAGGGAAATTCTGGCTGAAAATTCTGCCGTTGTATCAGGAGAGCATGGTACTCGAAGAGGTGGCACGACAGAAACGGCCACTGAGCGGATCTCCTGATAATTCGTTTTTTCGAAAAATGTTGAGACATGTACACCTTGTGAAGGAGAAGGAATTTCTGGCTGAAAATTCTGCCGTTTTATCAGGACAGCATGATACTCGAAGAGGTGGCACGACAGAACCAGCCACTGAGCGGAAATCCTGATAATTTGCTTTTTCAAAAAATGTTTCAACAGGTATACCTTGTGAAGGTGAAGGAATTTCTGGCTGAAAGTTCCAGTGATGTATCAGGAGAACATGATACTCGAATAGGTGGCACGACAATGGCGGCCACTGAGCGGATCTACTGATAATTCGGTTTTTCGAAAAATGTTTGACCCGGTAAAACTCGTGATGGAGAAGAATTTTCTGGCTGAAAATTCGACTGATGTATCAGGAGAACATGATACTCGAAGAGGTGGCACGACAGAAGCGGCCACTGTGCGGATCTCCTGATAATTCGATTTTTCGAAAAATGTTTAGACAGGTACAACTCATGAAGGAGAGGGAAACTCTGGCTGAAAATTCTGCCGTTGTATCAGGAGAGCATGGTACTCGAAGAGGTGGCACGACAAAGCTAGCCACTGTGCGGATCTCTTGATAATTCGGTTTTTCGAAAAATGTTTGTCCCGGTATAACTCGTGATGGGGAAGAATTTTCACGCTGAAAATTCGACTGTTGCATCAGGAGAACATGATACTCGAAGAGGTGGCACGACAGAAACGGCCACTGAGCGGATCTGCTGATAATTCGTTTTTTCGACAAATGTTTAAACAGGTACAACTCATGAGGGAGAAGGAAGTTCTGGCTGAAAATTCTGCCGTTGTATCAGGAGAGCATGATACTAGAAGAGGTAGCACGACACAAACGGCGACTGAGCGGATCTCCTGATAAATAGTTTTTTCGAAAAATGTTTAAACAGGTACAACTCATGAAGGTGGAGGAGATTCTGGCTGAAAATTCTGCCGTTGTATCAGGAGAGCATGATACTCGAAGAGGTGGCACGACAAAGCTAGCCACTGTGCGGATCTCTTGATAATTCGGTTTTTCGAAAAATGTTTGACCCGGTATAACTCGTGATGGAGAAGTATTTTCTGGCTGAAAATACTGCCGTTGTAACAAGAGAGCATGACACTCGAAGAGGTGGCACGACAAAACGAGCCAGTGAGCGGATCTCCTGATAATTCGATTTTTCGAAATATGTTTAGACAGGTACATGAAGGAGAAGGAAATTCTGGCTGAAAATTCTGCCGTTGTATCAGGAGAGCATGGTACTCGAAGAGGTGGCACGACAAAGCTAGCAACTGGGCGTATCTCGCGATAATTAGTTTTTTCGAAAAATGTTTGAACCGATATATCTCGTGATGGCGACGGATTTTCTAGCTGAAAATTCGACTGATGTATCAGGAGAGCAGGATATTCGAAGTGGTAGCACGACAAATCCGGCCACTCAGCGGATCTCCTGATAATTCGCTTACTCGCAAAACGTTTGAACAGGTATAGCTCGTGAAGGAGAAGGAATTTCTGGTTAAAAGTTCCAATGATGTGTCAGGAGGACATGGTACTCGAAGAAGTGGCATGACGGAACCGGCCACTGAGCGGATCTCCTGATAATTCTCTTTTTCGAAAAATGTTGAAACATGTATACCTTGTGAAGGAGAAGGAATTTCTGGCTGAAAATTCTGCCGTTGTATCAGGACAGCATGATACTCGAAGAGGTGGCACGACAGAACCAGCCACTGAGCGGAACTCCTGATAATTTGCTTTTTCAAAAAATGTTTAAACAGGTCTACCTTGTGAAGGTGAAGGAATTTCTGGCTAAAAATTCGAATGATGTACCAGGAGGGCATGGTACTCGAAAGGGTGGCACGACAGAAACGGCCGCTGAGCGGATCTACTGATAATTCGGTTTTTCGAAAAATGTTTGACCCGGTATAACTCGTGATGGAGAAGAATTTTCTGGCTGAAAATTCGACTGATGTATCAGGAGAACATGATACTCGAAGAGGTGGCACGACAGAAGCGGCCACTGTGCGGATCTCCTGATAATTCGATTTTTCGAAAAATGTTTAGACAAGTACAACTCATGAAGGAGAGGGAAATTCTGGCTGAAAATTCTGCCGTTGTATCAGGAAAGCATGGTACTCGAAGAGGTGGCACGACAATGCTAGCCACTGTGCGGATCTCTTGATAATTCGGTTTTTCGAAAAATGTTTGTCCCGGTATAACTCGTGATGGGGACTAATTTTCTGGCTGAAAATTCGACTGATGCACCAGGAGAACATGATACTCGAAGAGGTGGCACGACAGAAACGACCACTGAGCGGATCTCCTGATAAATCGATTTTTCGAAAAATGTTTAGACAGGTACAACTCATGAAGGAGAAGGAAATTCTGGCTGAAAATTCTGCCGTTGTATCAGGAGAGCATGATACTCGAAGAGGTGACACGACAAAGTTAGCCATTGACCGGATCTCCTGATATTTCGATTTTTGAAAAATGTTTGACCCGGTATAACTCGTGATGGAGAAGGTTTTTCTGGCTGAAAATTCGAACGATGTATCAGGAGAGCATGATCCTCGAAGTGGTGGCGCGACAGAACCGGCCACTGAGCGGATCTCCTGATAATTCGCTTTTTCGAAAAACGTTTGAACAGGTATACCTCGTGAAGGAGAAGGAATTTCTGGTTAAAAATTCCAATGATGTATCAGGAGGGCATGGTCGAAGAGGTGGCAGGACAAATCCGGCCGTTGAGCGGATCTCCTGATAATTTGGTTTCTTGAAAAATCTTTATGCAGGTATATCTCGTGAACCAGGAAGAAATTCTGGCTGAAAATTCGAAGGATATATCAGGAGGACATGACACTCGAAGAAGTGGCACGACAAAGGCGGCCACTGATCGGATCTCCTGATAATTCGGTTGTTCGAAAAATGTTTAAACAGGTATAACTCATGAAGGAGAAGGAAATTCTGGCTGAAAATTCTGCCGTTGTATCAGGAGAGCATGATACTCCATTAGGTGGCACGACAGAGCCGGCCGCTTGGCGGATCTCATGATAATTCGATTTTTCGAAAAATGTTTTATCTGGTATATCTCGCATAACCATTTGCGGCTTGTACGAGTGTGTGAAACTTGCACTCGAAGGACTCAACAATCTATTCTCGTGATTAATTGGTTTTTGGAAAAATGTTCAAGCTGTAATAACTCGTGAATGCAAAGGAGTATCTGGTTGTAATTTCGAATTTTGTATCAAGAGAGCATGAGTTTGGTGGAGATGTTGCGACATTGTCCTCCGTTCAGCGATTTTCTTGATACAGAGGTTTTTCGAAAATTCTTCATGCTTTAATATCTCGCGAACGAGTATCTGACTGAAAATTCGAATTTTGTATGTGTAGTCCATACGATTCGCGAAGGTGGCGAAACTCTAGAGCTACATGTGCTCCTGATATTTCAGATTGTCCAAACATTTTGTTTATGTGCGAATATCTTGAAAACCGGGAGCCTTTCTGACTGAAAGTTAAGATTTTGTATGAGGAGAACATATGATTTGTGGAGATTGTTCGGTAAATCCCCAGCTGTGTTTCTAATGTTTAACATTTTCGGAAAATATTTTTGAGCGTATATCTTAAAAAGAGGAATCACGATTTATTTTTCGTGACAATCGCGATTTTGTTTGTACATAATTAAAGTATTTGTTATGTTTTTAGGGAGGTTGTTTATTTCTATAATTCTATGTAAAATTATTTTATGATAATGTATAGTACATTTTTAAATATTGTAGAAGACCATAGATTCTAGATTTTAATGCATATTTCTCAAAACATATGTGTTATTTTTAATATTTTTATTTCTATAACTTATTTATGTACTGTAGAATTAATGCGTTCTGTCCGATGGGTCTCTAAAGACTGGTGTTACATTGTTTTCTGGTGTTGGTTACCCAGACAATTGTTAATCGTTTGAGCCAGAAGGTTTCGTGATTGACAGCTCTGACTCTTTCCAACAATATGATTTGATAAAATGCTGTAGACCTATTCTATATCTCCTTTTTGATTAAGTATCAGTGCCATTTTTAGTATATTTCAATAAATATGAAATCCTGTTATAAATATTGATTTTATCGTTTTCAACAGAAAACGAATTGATGAATTCGTAAAACGCGAATAGTGTTCTTTCTGACATACATATAGATACATAATAAAAAATGGAATAATTTTAAATATTAATCTTGTGTTTTGGAATCAGAATATATAATTAAATATTTTGCTTATGCCATTTTAATTGGTATAATCACAAACGAACTTTACATTTGAGTATCGAATATTTAACACCTTTGTAATGGTTCTCAAAAATCATATTACTAGTATAGTGTATTCGCTAGTTCCTCAACTCACCGTCTAGGGCGCTAAAAAACTAGTGATTTTTTAGTATTTTGTTATTTCAGATCACGAGCCACGAAGCTCCGTAAGATGCAATATCTATTCATATTTGTACTTTCTGATAGATCTATGCAAAAGAGCATTTGCAGCCATTGACTATTTAATTTCTTACTTTTGCCACCAGAGCGCTGGAATCGGAATCAAAACGAAGTATTCATAGACCGTTTTGGCTGTACACGTTGCTAATTTTATTTTGTAGATGTTTTATTTTGTAATTAGTCGTTTAGTTCAGTGTCAAATAGGTTTTTAAACTCTGTTGAGTTTCAAATTTCATTAAAACGATAAACTAAAAAGAGAACGCAATAATGGGGCTGTACAATTTTAAGAAAATCGCGGTTGTACCCACCGCAAAGGTTAGTAGCTGTGTTTTCAATTTTTTATTTGGTAATTAAATCAGTTGGTTTAATAAATGTTTCTCTTTTTTAGGACTTTATTGATATAATCTTATCAAAGACACAACGCAAAACCCCGACTGTTGTACACAAAAGTTATAAAATTGCAAGGATACGTGCATTTTACATGCGTAAAGTGAAATTTACGCAACAGAACTTTCATGACAGACTGTCTCAAATCATACAGGAATTTCCTAAATTAGACGATGTTCATCCATTTTATGCTGATTTAATGAACGTTCTTTATGATAAAGATCATTACAAATTAGCTCTTGGTCAAATAAACATAGCAAGGCATTTAATTGATAAGTAAGTATATTAGAATATTATTATTCAAATATTCTCCCAGTGGTATATTCACATGTATTGTCATAATAGCGTTGCAAAAGATTATGTCCGTTTAATGAAATATGGAGATTCTCTATACCGATGTAAACAATTGAAGAAAGCTGCTTTAGGTCGCATGGCGACTATTATGAAAAGGCAAGCAGCAAATCTGGCGTATTTAGAACAAGTACGTCAACATTTAGCTCGTTTACCTAGTATAGATCCTTATACACGTACCATTATAATATGTGGCTTCCCAAATGTTGGTAAAAGCAGTTTCATTAACAAGGTAATTTGATTTTAATAATTACTATCAGCATATTACATGGAAGCAATAATGTAAACTACTAAGTTAATATTGATTAATATTTTATTCAGATAACACGTGCTGATGTTGAAGTTCAACCATATGCATTTACTACAAAGTCATTATATGTTGGTCATACAGATTACAAATATTTAAGATGGCAAGTAGTTGATACACCCGGAATTTTAGATCATCCGCTTGAAGAAAGAAATGTAATAGAAATGCAGGCAATAACTGCACTTGCGCATTTACGAGCGGCTGTACTTTATTTTTGTGATATATCGGAACAATGTGGTCACAGCTTAGAAGAACAGGTAAAATATTGGCTTAGCTGTTTTTGTAGTTTGCCAATATATGAATTTTATTTTAATATGATTCAGGAGAACCATTGTCTTCTAGGTAAAATTATTCGAATCCATCAAACCTCTGTTTGTTAACAAGCCTCTGACAGTTGTGGTAAATAAGGTGGATATTCTACACCTGGAAGAACTTCCACATGAAAAACAGGCACTTTTAAAATCATTAGAGGATAAAGATGTCCCAGTATTGGAAATGAGTACGATTACTGATTTTGGTGTAATGGACGTGAAAATACAAGCGTGTGAACGTCTGCTAGCCTTCCGTGTTGATCAGAAGATAAGGACGAAAAAGGTAAATTGAATATTTTTGTATAACTGAAAGTGTTGAAGCATTGACTTGAGTTCTTGAACATCTATGATTACAGGTAGAGGGACTGCTTAATCGTTTACATGTTGCACAACCGGTACCGAGGGATGAAAAGATTCGCGCTCCTTGTATTCCTGAAAGCGTTTTAAGAAAGAGGAGAGAAGGATTGAAAGCAAAACGAAAATTAGAACGAGAAATGGAGGAAGAAATGGGAGATGATTATGTGCTCGATTTGAAGAAGAACTACGATATCGAGGGCGATCAAAAATATGATATTATCCCAGAAATTTGGGAAGGACACAATATTGCTGATTATATTGATTCAGATATATTTGATGTTTGTATAATATTCATCTATTTAAAGCGCACGGATGATAGTTAAACATAACCTTACTTTTACCCTTTTCGATAGAAATTAAATGAACTGGAAAGAGAGGAACAGCTACGTGAAGAAGCAGGAATGTACGATTATAAAGTGCCCCAGTTGTCCGATACGATGCGCGATATTGTGCAAATGGCTAAGCAAATTCGAGAAAAGAAGGCCATTATGAAAGACGAAGCCCGAATACAGAAGGCTTCTACAAAACCTGTAATGCCGCGCACAGCAATGGTCAAACTTCGTGACAGATCGGTATCGAAATTGAAAAGACAAATGGAAGATTTAGGTATCGATATGGAAAACACTGAAAACGTGAGTAACGCGTTGAAATATAAGAAATAATAATATGGAGCAGAATGAAATGCATAAATATTCGCGTATATGATAATTTATTTTATGTAATTCCAATAGGCACATTTCACCAAGACAAGAGGACGTTCAAGATCACTATCGCAACCAGCTGCGAAACGTATGAGACTACAATCTGAGTCTCAATCAAGAGCTAGAAGTAGTTCAAGACCTGCGCGAGATGAAATGGGTGTGAAAGATTCTGCCATGAAGACTAAATTAAAGAACATTGCGCATAAAGCTTTGAAGAAAAAGATAGCGAAGAAAGGATTGAAGGGAGAAGCAGATCGATTCATCGGCACGAAAATGCCAAAACATTTGTTTTCGGGAAAACGAGGCGTCGGCAAAACTGACAGAAGATAATATTTCACGTCGTTATTTTCAATTTTTGTTACGTGATTCTTGTTGTGCGAAGAAACAAAATATTGTAACATTTATAACAATGTCTGTAAAGAGTTAATTAAACTCGTGGATAACGCAACTACATGAATGGGTCGTCTTGGATTGCATAATTTAATGACCTTTGACTTTTTACATAAAGTAACATCGTATTTAGCGAAAGTTTATTGCTATCGTACGTGATAACCTTTTACATGCTACGGTAAAGTTTTCCTTCTTTGTAGATTCATATTCTTTCCCGTGTATCTGAATATGTCGCATCGTGCAACTGTTGTTTCATATCGTTGTTGCATTAGAAAACCGAGTAACTCCAATTTTTGTATGAACTATTGAACGAAATAAACAGAAATTTAAGAATCGTTTTGTTTAATAAAGATCATTCATAAATTATTTCGTTATAAATAAGGAATAAAATTTTATTTTACATCGATAGTAGTCAATTAGACAATACATGTAACGCGAGGTTACGATGCCCATTATAATGCGCGATCGAAATTGATTTAACAAACGATATACATGACATAAGAACGCATTTTGGTCAAAGTACAATGAGACCATTACAATTTCGGTTATGCATTCATACATTTACGTCGGAGGCGAAATAGAAGAATCTCCTGATAGTCAATAGTTTATGAATATTATACATATTTGCAGGAGCGCACACGAGATTTTTGCCGCGCACAAATTTTAGTCTTGCTACAAAGTTTCGATTGAACTCTCGATACAAAGTTTATATTTCATAAAAAAAAGCACAATTTCTTGAAGACTCGTTTGATAACATTTTAGTAAAGAAAAAAACAGACAATTAACAATTTTTACCATTCAATATTTAATCGAACAGTGAAGTACAAGCAGTCAAATTGTTCCGGTTGACTCCATTTAAGATAAACACTAAATAGAAATATTGCTGTTGCGGTTTTCCTTTCTTTCCGATAATGTCTCTATACATTGATTCTTTCGTATTAAAATAGAAAACTAAGAAGAAGAAATCAGAGAGAAAGACTACATAAAAGATAGAAAGGAGGAAATAAGGCAATAAAAAAAATGAAAGTGTGAAATATGATTATTACAAGCAGAAAGATATCTTTTAGTATCACAGTCAATGCGAAAGTCTGGATCAAGAGCCTGGACCTTCGACGATGCTTCGAGTCGAGTCAAATCGAACGTTGATCAGCGATACGATTAAATTTCACGTTTGTTTCACGAACAACTGTTTTGTCGATTGAAACGTTTGCAAATGCCAAGAGGACAAGGAGTCGAACGGGAAAAGAAATTTTCGCGTGATACATAAACAGCAAGTGTTTTCGGTATGTCGCGAAGAAACGACGAAAAAGTAACACAACCGAACAATATTCGGACGATTCTTTGGTGAGCCGTCTGCGACTATGAAAACCCTTGTTCCTTTACCATGAAAATCCACATTCTGTTACCATCGTTTTTAATCGCAGCCCGTATTATTGTGTCGTTTCGATCGAACGTGTATATTTTACTGTTCACTCCCATTCACTCGTTTGTTATTCGTTCACATGTACACTAATTTGACAATTCGCTCGCACACAGTCAATCGTTCCGCCGACTCGTCCGTTCGGAAAGAAAGAACAAAGTATTTCCTTTTTATTTCTTCTTTTCTTTTCTTAGGAACAAGCGCACTCGAGTACTTGAATGTTCTTCCAGTACGAGTTTTTCAACTGTGTAGTATCGTTCTCGTCGAAGTAAACGATCATTAACTCGTCGAGTTTACTCGGCGCGCAACATGGCTTAGGCACTTTTTTCCTATCTTCCTTCCACAGCAGACTTTGCAGAAGGGCGTGATGATGAGCTGGATTGTACCTAGGCGGGCATCGTCCTTTACAATATCCAGCGTCGAAAGTTTTTGGATAAACGATAAACTCGAAGCCTTTCAAGTCTTTAAACATGACGGTGAGCTCGTGTCTGCAACACTTCTTACTCTCACCTTTGCATTTTGTCCGGCGACCTTTGTGCAAGGACATCACATCTTTGGGTGAAGAACGTTTCATTCTACCATTGCCCGAATACGTCGTGGTGAATACGTTGAGAACTGGCGAGGAGAAGGTGCGCGGTACCGGTTCGCTGTCGACCATAAATTCCAGTTCGACTCCCAGATTCTCGAGCGGCGTCTCGATCCACGAGAAAGCGGCCTGAGTCGCGTCGAGTTCGAGCCACCTTGGATTTCGGGAGTCGTGCAATTGAATTTTCCTACGACCGATCAACTTCCTTGAACGACGAAACGACGATATCCGAAGATAGAACAACACCTCCAGCTCGGAACGTTCGGTGTAGTGATCGGTCGTCGGCCCGTGAAGTAGTAATCGCAGCGTCGCGTGATCCACCGACGCTTGATCCAGATCCTTCTCGGGAACCTCGACGGGGAAGAACAGCCAATGACGACAAGATTTTTCCTTTCCGTTTGTCCCGGCTAGCAGGCTCGATTCGTTTCCAGGATATTCTGCAACAATCACGAACGAATCAGTATGAAGAATCGAAATGCGTAACGCGTTAGATTACGTAAACGAAAGCCTTGAATCGTCTCTTCTCGCTATGTTCCACCTTCGTCTCGATACGTCGCTGCTGAATAGGAATCCACGGTCCCTAAGCTCTTAGCTACTTGTTCTTTTATCTTTCATCTTTCCAGTTTTCTCGCCGCCATTATCTACTTAACCGAACTTGTGTTTAGATAGATTTGAGAGTGGACTCGCGGGAATGCCGCGAACAAGCCTATGAGAATAGAACAGACGCGTTCACGCGTATCCGGTTAGAGATCACGAGAACGACAAACTCTCGTCCGTTCCATTTTCGTTGGCTAATTAGTCGAATTATTAAATTCCCGGGTAATTTGTTAACGTACGTGCGAGTCCCTGGAGTCGCTTTTCCTCCACTTCGCGAATGCATCTAATTTTCGATTCCACTGTCGTTTGTTTTTAGCCGTATATACGATCAATATTGTTGGTAATATGCAACTAGATTATTTCATAATTCGGTCGTTGATTTTCTCATTCGAATAACTTCTAGATGAAAATAACAAACTCACTGTTATCAATTGATCAGTGATTCTCGTAATTCTTTGTCTTCTTCTACTAAGCGTTTTATTTTAATAAAATATAATATTTATAATATTGAATAACAACTCTGATAACAACTTCTACTGTTCCGAATTGCCTTTCAGAAAAAGCGCATTACTTGTGGAATTATCTAATATTATTGTATTGTATTTGTATATTGTTTAGATCAATATTACTGATCGTATGTGAATCTCTTTAATATTAAAATTCGATGCAAGTATAATTCGGTCGTTGATTTTCTTATTCGAATAACTTCTAGATGAAAATAACAAACTCACTGTTATCAATTGATCAGTGATTCTCGTAATTTTTTGTCTTCTTCTACTAAGCGTTTTATTTTAATATTATAAGATATAATATTTATAATATTGAATAACAACTCTGATAACAATTTCTATTGTTCCGAATTGCCTTTCAGAAAAAGTGCATTACTTGTGGAATTATCTAATATTATTGTATTTGCATATTGTTTAGATCAATATTACTGATCGTATGTGGATCTCTTTAATATTAAAATTCGATGCAAGTACGGTATGTTCTATTGATATTCGATGTATTCACATTCGATCTTTCCAATTGGGAAATTGTTAATCGATGTTACGTTTTGATAACGTAATATCGACCAACAATCGTGTCACACGATGGAATTGACTCATTCGGTAGCAGTCGTAAAACATCGTGTAATACGAAGCTCGCGTTACGGGTCCTAGGAAATAAATCTGTCAGGAATAATCGTAAAAACACGACGAAACAGATTGAGAAAGTTATCTGAGTACATGTATGTCGTATGTCGGCAAACGATATCCAATGAGCAACGGTCCAAGTCGAACGTTATCTCGACCATTTATGCTACATATATAACAAACGATTCGAGATAGAATTAGTAATGTTTTTATTTTTCTAGGAATGAAAGAGACTTTACTGGAAATAGAAGGAAACGGTTTCGTTATGATTATCATAGTAAGTACCATTAACGGGAACCAACAGCAAGAATTTCGATGACAGAGTGTACGAAGATCGCAGGAGAAAAATATAAGTGGATTTCTATTGACTTTATTATTTATCAGTTTACAGAGAGATTTTAATGTGACCGTGATTAAAAGATGAAAAAAAAGAAGTTGTTAGATATAGAGATATGAGTTTTTTTAAAAGCAGTTAAGAAGGTAACGTTTGAAGAATGATTATGCATTAAAATTTACAATATTTTCAATATTGCAATGTCATTTTCAAAATTTTGAAAGAGTTGAAGAGATACATTTTAGCTGCCAAGTCAATGTACAATTGATTGACAACTTACATTGAATCTTAAAACTATTTTTTTGTAAAAGAATATTTTGAAATAGTTCTTGTAGCTGATCGATAATCGATAGTCAATAATCAAGCAAATGTACGAGCAAAAAATTGCCGCGATTGGCGAATTGTTGGTGATTGTGAAATAACACGAAGCGAAGAGAAATTTAGGAATTGGTGATATTTTGGTAGTTTCGGTTTATGTAAGTAATCGAGCAAGAGCCCACGTGTTTCCGTCACGGAACGGAAATTCGACGATTTCTTCGAATATTTCACTCGCATCGATTGTAGGTTACCTTGCACCACACTGCTACTTAAAATATTCCGGTTCGTATATATATCTTTTATAAATAGTGTTTTATGATATTTTTAGCTAGTTTTCGTAGAATCGGTGCGTCTCTATGATCAAGATTCGTGGCGAGAACGTAAGTAAGGACGACAGTAAGGAAAGCTTTAGCTTGGTTTTAATAGTGTCGGCGATCTACAATCGAACGACGAAAGTCACTCGCGTAAGAGTTGTCGAGAAATCGATCTTCGACCATTAGTTCTTATTACATTCGAGAATTCGTTAGCTCGGCATTCCGTGGCGGCCAGAATTTCTGTTTCATAATAACGCAGATGCCCCTCGTCGAGGTCTCTTAAGCGGAAAACGGGAGTGAAGAAAATAGAATGAGGATCGAGTTGATCAAGTCGAATCGAACCGAGGTAAATCGAAATGGAATCGCATTGAGCGAAGCGAATCGTTTCCTTTATATTAAGTCCATTACACGAGTGATGTGTTTCTTATTGTGCACTTTGAATTTCCGAGATAAAATCAAACATTAACTACTGAAATTTACAGTTAACAATAATATTATAACATTGGAATATCAATAGAAATCATCGGTAGTTTATCATAAAAATGATCAGCCGCGTGTATATGTATAAAAAAAGCGTTGGATGAAATATTTAAAATAATATAATTGGGAATTATTGCGTTGCTCGTTTTACTTTCTAAATTTAGTACCAACAGATTCTTTCACTTTATTTCAACCACTACAAAATGCTATAAACAAGCTAGTTGTAAAATAAACAAGTTGTAAAAAAATTCAACTCACGCAAGTTGTAAAAAATTTATAACGAATCTCGAAGTTGTAAAAGAGTATCTTGCATCAAACTGACAACAATTTTTGATGGAAGTAAGAAATTACAAACGAGAAATTACAAATACCTTTAAAGAAAAGTGCAGATAATATATTATCCATTAATAAATATAATAAACATTTCGCGTCTTAAAATTTGTTCATATTTTCAAATTAGTTATAATATAGGCTAATATATTTTTTTTTAATTTTTAAATAGATGACTCATAAATAAGGATGGAAAATGAAGAGGACGAAGAATGAAAGTTAATTAGGTCATCTCCTAATTGTGGACGTTAAATTTAAAGATACAAAATTGGATAGGATGCACACAAAAATATAGAAATTATTTGATGTACTATTTTGATCAGGTAACATTGTTTCAATTGGTCTCAAAATATTTCCATACATATTTTTTCAGTAACTCACAAGATTACAACTTAATAAAGTAATTTCAATTAGTTTAATTTAGGTCAATTTTATTTCTCCGCAAAAATTTTGTGAATTACTGTTTTTATAGAAAAATTATCGTTAAATAGAAATTGATCGGAATTTGGATATCAATGATTGTCTAGTAATCATATGAAATGGATCTACATGACATTAATATAAGACTATCATTAGAGGAATACACGAGAAAAAGATAAGTATATTTTTGTCCATTCTTTGATTTTTATATCACTTACTTACAATTAATAAATATGATGATTGTGAAGAAAGTAATTTCTAAGAATATTAAAAAAGAGATAAACCTACGTAATAACAAATTATAATTTTCACAAAACTTTTTAATAAATAACAATAACAATGAAATATAATAATTTCTAAATAAAGGGATCATTATATTCAAGAAATTAGCAAGTGATGAATTAATTTATCCTTCACTGTTAACAGGTTAACGCGAAAAACTGATAATCGCGGTTAGTTCGATACGGATTGATTCCAGATACGTCTGGTAAAATCTCGACGTTGCCGAACTGGCGGAAACTAGGAGGCTCGACGTTTACACAAGTAGTAATTATAGCGTGGGCATGTATATTTTTTCAGAAAGATCGTACGATATTTTGCGTTCCCAAAGATTGCGAGTTCTCTGGAGCCGACTAAAGTACTGACGATCCGAGATCGAAGGAGAATGTCTCGACACGCGATCAAGCATTTCTGGTTACCTGTAGCAGGAAACACGTGTAGCATCTTCTTGCTTCCAAAAGTTTGCTCGTCGAGTGACGATTGCAATCTCATCAGGTACTCTCTGTGTGCTCTTTCGTATTCGGCTTGACTGACGTTTGCCTGAGAAAAGGAAGATGAATGTATGAATGTATGAGTTAGTGACAGGCAAATTGATACAGGAAAATTTATTTATACTTTATTTATTTATTTCATATACAGAGTAACGTGTCATTGGTATAAAAAAAAAGTTAATGTAAAATACACAAAAGGACACAAAGCGTGGGTAAAGGTATGTTACGTAACTTTTATAGAAATTTTTGGTGAAAGCAAAGAAAATATGCAATACAGTGGCTGAAAAGTATTTGCACATCATTGTATTTATTGTAACAATTATTTATTAAGTTAATGTGATCTAAATATATTACCATATGTATGTAATATTTTCATATGATACTTTCAAAATGAAAGAAGTATATGTGCAAATTCTTTTTATAATCATTGAACGTACTCGTGATATTACACAAACGTTTAATTGTGTCTGAAATATAATTTTGATTGACAATGAAAAAAATGACTGTGAGAATCTTAGAGATCTTACAGATACGAGATAGTTCATTAATTGAAAGAATTGTAGATAGTGTAGTTCCATTAATCAATTTGAAAAGGAAGATCGGTAGTAAAAAGTTGTATGAAACATGCGATAGAATCTCTGCGTGACAATCAAAATCCCAATGATTTATGGAAAAATTCAACGAGAGTTGCACGCTCTGACGAATCATTAAAATCGATCTTCAAACGTGATAATCGCTTCGCGGATGAGGCACTGAAATACATAGTGTCTGCCATCTTTTCAACGTCGCGGCTCAACAACCTTTCTTTACTTTCTCTCTCTCTCTCTCTCTCTCTCTCTCTCTCTCTCTCTCTGTCTCGTCGCAGCTCGTTATTCGCCTTCTTCCCCCGCCTGCTCTCTGACCCCCCTTCGTATTTTGTTTTCCTATTCTTCAGGTCCCTTTGTCATCCTCAAGCATCCCTCATTGCAATTTTCGAGTCCCACTCGAAACACATCCCTCGCTACTTTACTCCCGCCGTCGCGATGTTGGTATATAATTTCCATGGTGAGAAAGTCCAGACACGCTAGACGTTTCCGGTAAAATTAACCGGTTTGCGCGGCTCCAGCGGCACGCGGTATGGGGTGACGCACGAACTCGGCCAACATAACGCAACGCAACGATTAACAAATGGGAGGACGTTTTAACAAATGATATAAACTTCACAGATCGTGAGAGATTGAAGGAAAGGAGGCTGCAGGATATTGGGAGGATCGTGTCGTTAAAGATGAATCATGTCGTGAAGCAGAGACATACAGACGCGACGTACGCCTCCGTTAATGCGTCTCATACGTACGGACTCATTTAACTGGTTAATTAGTGGGATTCGAGCGAGTTCCGGTTTGTCGAGACAGTGATCCCGTATCATCATCCGAGATGTTAAGCATCTTTGCCAAGATTTCGAAGTTGGAAGCCGAATGCTGGAAGATACAATCTCGTTGAGTGGAATGCACTGTGCAAGATCGTTAGTCCATCGAAAAGAAGGACTCGCGTGGCGAATGGTAAATGGATTGAGACGCGTGGTTTCACTCACTGCCCATTGAAACCGAGACGTCGTTTGCCGACAAGCGAGTTGACTCGTGTGCAACCGCTTGACTGGTTCGAAAGGTCGGTCAGTGTCGGTCATCGGTGTCGCGTTCGTTAGTCTTTCGTCTTGGTTTGTAGCTAGGCACGGCTTGCGCACGCTTGCTCAATGGCCATCACGAAACTCGAAGATATTTCTACTTGCAAAGAGGTAGGAGAGCGTAAAGAAAAGAGGAGCTGAGGGGGGGAGGGAGTGGAGTGGATAACGGAGAGAGGAGAAATGAAAAGATGTAAGAAGACATCTTGGGACAGTATGATCACGCGAACCTCGAAGACGAACGAAATTACAAGGAAACTTGGTGCATACGGGTTACTTCAGTATGCGGTAAGTCTTGATCGTGTGGCGTGAAAAAGAAAAAGCTCTAAAAACGCAATTACTTCCGTCGATGGTCATGTATTATTTCTTTGAAAAAATTTATGCAAGCTTGATGAGAAACTGTATGTACTTGAATTATGAACCTTGATACCCTTTAACCGTAGACCGTATTTCATTCTTTATATTTCTTCGACTTAAATTCGTCGTATGAGATCTCATTTGAAAGAAAATTGGATTTGAAAACATGTTGAATGAATCTGTAGAATGAATATGCAGGAATAGACAATTGGTAGGAGTTTATTCTGTTTGCAAAAATAAGCCAAATATGCGGAATATGTAATATTTTCGTTTTGTACTCGATTTTCTCAGAAATGAAGTCTTAAACAAGAGAAATCTTACTCCACATTCTCAAATAATTTTCGCACATAGAGTAACACCTTTTGTCGACTTGGAGATTAAACAAATTCACACATGTCTACCTGACAAATATTCAAACTCACAGTCATCTCGGAAAACAAAGTCAACAACACAATTTTAATATTTCTGATTTCATCTTATATTGCCATAGAATCTTACTTCAATGATATTTTCAATCTAGGCCGGCGACGTACAAGTTTAGGTGAGAATATCGACGAATGGATAACCGCGTGGTCAGTGCGATGACCGAAGATCTATTTGCAAGATGGATGCTATTTCGGGAGGAAAACTCGAAACAAGTGTATGTACGTGCGCAACGAGGGCATGGATGACGTCGGGTGACGTTGCTGCAAATGCGGACGACCTTGAAGAAACATTCGCGCAACCACGTATGCAACCTCGCTTGCCTCCCACACTTGTGTCTCGAAGAAAGATCTTTCGCAAGCGGCGTACACCGCGTCTAGGTGTATCGACGGACGAGTCAAGCCGCATTCTTCGCGTTACCCCTAGCCTCTCTGCCTCGAGGCTCGAGGGCTCGACGAAATTACGCGGCGTGAATGCGCGTCATCGTGTTCAAGATTCAAATGTTTCCCGTCGAACTCGATTTCGATGGATATTGGTCTTCAACACGCTCGATCGCGAGTCAATGCCACCGCATTCTTCTCCCTACGGCTTTCTCTTCAGTATCAACCGTAACCGCCACGAATCTCGCTGTATCATTCATTCTCGAGGTCGAGATCATCTATCTTGGTGAAAGTCGCGAAAAGTTAAGCGAGCAAATGTCTATTCGCGATTTTCGACTTTCGAACTGTAATTGGTCGTTAGATCTATTCGATCTTGTTCTTCGCTAAATGAAATTCTTATGGATTGTGAATTAATCGCAGTTGATTGAACAGAATTAAACGATCGTGACTTCTGAGCTTCGTAGCTCCAAGTTGTTAAACGAAATTATTAAATTATTCGGATTAAAATGTAAGGGAATGTAAAGAGATGTCACTTAAGCTTTACAAAGGAAATCCCATTGATGAATGGAAATTCCTAACACGTTGCCAGAACCAAAGGAGAAGTTTAATTTAGTATGACACATAATTGCGATATCGTATCTAATCTGTCGCGACGAATGCAAAAGAAAGTTAATTGAACATATCCTATCATTCAGATGTCGCTGCTTCTCGTCTGGTTATTATTCTCCAGTTGCGCCGCTCTTTCGTCTTATTAAAAAAAAAAACAACGAAGCTGGATATAAATGTCAACAGATGGATGGATACGCGCGAAGTGAAATAAAAGAAGAAAATATGTATGTGTGTGTGTGTGTGTGTGTGTTGTGCGCGCACGGAATGTGAAGACCAGAAAACTAGAAAAATAACTGGTTCTATCTTCCCCTCGGCATTAGAGGTACATACCTACATGTATGTATACATAGGTAGATGCTTGCGTTTAAGGCTCGCGTACTCTCTCGAGGATGTCCTCGAGTTTCGAGGACGGCCAGGAATCGACATTCGTTATCGCGTGCACACGTAACGGCGAACCTGCTGGCTATAGTCGCTGGCTGCGACAACAGGTGTTACTCGCAGACGTTACTCCCGCTATCTCTTCTCCTGCTTTCGTTCTTTTCAAGATCAGAAACGAAATCTCCATCGATTATGTCGTCATTGACCAAATCACCATTCTTACCTTTCCCTCTATTTTCCTATCACAATCCCCAGTTCCGTTTCGATCGATCGTCTCATGTCGCCTGGGGATTTCCCGCTGACTGATGCGAACATTCACATAACTTTCCGAATTTGCATTTATTATGCTCAAGATTCCATTCGCTTCGCTTTCTGCAATCACGTTCGATCGATCATGATTCGTCACTTTGCCACGAATTTCTTAACATTTCTGGCGGTCCTCGAATTTTCACATCTGAATCATGCTTTCACTTTGATAATCAAGGAAATATTTAATATCTTAAAAAGATTTCAATGAAATATTGAAACCAATAATCACGGGTGTTAATAAGTAATCTGTGTATTTCTATTAACGCAATTGTAGACGTGAAGTTGGCTTGAAATTTATTTTATTTATTAAATAAAGTAAATATCATAATCTGTATTTTATATTTTATATAATATATCAAATGTATAAATGCATGAACATCCACAGTATATTTATTAATAAATGATTATTTCATGTTTGAAATTTCTTTTAATGATACAAAAATACGATTCAGTTGAAAGTGACTTAAAGAATGTAGCGGGATTAAAGATCAGCTCGTCCAGATCAGTCAAGTTACTTGAATCCGAGCAACTTCAAACCACTTTACCAGTGCAAACCTGTTATTTACTTCGCCGTACTACAATATTATTTCAAGAGTCTGCGTTTATTTTTACAAGTCAAATTACTAGCCTTTCATCTCCTTAAATATAAATAACTTGAAAAACGCTTTAACATTCACTTGATTTGAAATAACATTTTAAGGTCCTCTATATATTTTTATTGGCCAAGTTGTTATATAATTTCATTTTTTATTTTAAAATTCCTTTAAAATTTACCGTTGCAAAATTGCCATTTCATCTTATTTTTCATTAAAAAGTGACTTTATTTTAAATATTATTTCAAGCGTTTATATACGTGGCTGATCTAAACGAGGAGTCGCTGGTTTCCGTAAGCTGAAAGTCGGCTTAATACGATTTAACCTATTCCGATTGTATCGATAGTCCAATGACCCCGATAAGTCGAAGTTTTATCGTGGGCAATGGGTTACGTCTTCATTGGTAGGTGAAAGCGAGGGACGAGATGAAAAAAGCGAAGAGAAACGAAGGGGAAAGAAGAGTTGAATAGAGCGGACCTGTGGCAGCGTTGTCGTCGCACGCACGTGGACAGCCGGTTCTGCATACTAGCAGGAATGCGCACGTGCTCGTGCATACGTAGCGAAAGTGGGGCAACACGGACCACCCACGTTTCTTCGACTCGCCATTGTTTACGTACTAGTACTTGCACCATCATTGTACACGCGATTTTTTTTCGGTATACATACACATACACCTTTCCCCGTCGTCGAGTTACTCCTTTCGACTTGATTCCCTTCTCTTCCCTACTTCCCTTCCCTTGCTTTCCTTTCTCTTCTCCTACCCTACTCCTGGCCATCCGTTCCCCACTTTCGTATCGTCTCTATCCCTTTAGCCCTTTCTTCTTTTTCGTTCATTGTTCGTTACCTTCTCTGAAACTTGACTGCCGCCATTACCGTCACCACCACCGTCGCTATTCCCTGCTTTCTTTTAATTTTTTTTTTTCTTCCCACGTAAAATTTTTATCTGTCTTTACTTTTCTTCATTTTTTTTTTCTTTCTCACTTTTCAACACGTTTTTCTCACGTTATTGTTATGCATTCCATGTACAGAAATAAATGTGTCCATTAGTATACAAAAAGGTTAGTACAAAATATATAAAAAAAAGAAACGCAAGCCTTTCTTTCGTATCTCGTTTATTAAATAAATAGACTCTCATAATAATAATCATCTCTTTTCGTTCAAACAATCTAAATGAACTTTTTACAGAACAGATTCGCTAATTACCAAATCACGAGACGGATTGCACAAGCAACGTGTTCCAACGGACTCGAGACGTCGCCACGTGAAATATCGACATCGACATCCGTATCCGTGCCCGTTTCTGTATTCGTATTGACGTTTCAGTGAAATACGAGAAAAGACGGGAAAAGCAGAAGCGAATTGAAAAATAAAAAAAAAATAAAAAAAGAGAAAGGGAGGAGAGAAGCAGGGATAAGAGAGAAGCGAGAGACGACTCACCTTGGAAGGGTCTGGTATCCTCTTGAGACCAAGACCTCGCGCGATGCTCCTTCTGATAATATCCAGCTCAGTCTCGTCGAGAACGGTCCCCGTCGTTGGTCGATCCTCTTCTCGGAAAGCGTCCTCGTAGACGTCCTCGAGACCGGTCGAGCGGTCGAGGTCGTGTCGAGGACCGGTTCGAGAGAGTGGATTCTCTCGCGGCAGCATCGGCACGGCCGACGCGGCCGGCACGCAAAGCGCCACCGCCGCCACAGCCACCACAATCGCCACGATCGTCGTCGTTATACCAAACAGACGGGAAGATTCGTTGTTTCCGGTCAGCCACCGACGTCGATGCCAACGTCGACGACATCGTTCACACCTCTTCCCTTCGACTATTGTTCGTCGATCTAACGACTTCTTACGCGACACACGACACCATTCGTTGGAGATTCTCGAACAATACTCCCGAACAATATTATCAGTTCTTCCGTTATCCCGAACGACGTCGTCCAGCCACCATTTAGATTCTCGACTCGACGGTGAGGAACCAAACGACGAACTCTCGAGGCGAACCACCGTGCTACCTCTTCCGGCTTCGCCGTTGTCGCCGCCGTTTGCCGTCTCGACGACGTATCGAAAATCTAAATCGTCGTCGGTCGCCTCTTGAATTCCAACTATTCTTCGACGATCCTCCCTTCTCTTTCCAGCGTTGTTCTCGAAGCAACTCGGAGCAGTGCCGGTGAACGTGTTTCGGCCGGCCACCCCGGTCGGTGCTTTCGATCCAACTTGCGGCACTATCACGCTACAAACTGCGATCCCGCCAATAGGGACCGCGACGAGAGCGCGACCGGAACTGGCGCCGTTCCGCTCGAGCAACCACACCGATGCCTCTTGTTCCTCGTTGTCACGGGTCACGAGTCGACCAATCGTTGCCAGCTTTCCCATAGCCGGCTCCTGATCCACGAGTTTAAACCCGATCCACCGGGGTACCTCCGCCTTAGGAAGCACCTCGTCGCTATCGTCCTCTCCTGCGTCGGTTCTATATTTAATTTCCTATATCTTTCTTTTTTTTTTTTTTTTTTGTTTTCTTCTGTTGCTCTCCTGACTCTTCTTCCTTATTCGTCTTCGATCGGTTTTTTGTCTCTTTCGTTACCCTCCTTTATGTCGTTCCCTTTAGCTTGACTCTCGGTCAATCATTGAACGCATCAGTCAGCATGTCAACCGAAACTTGCGTACCAACGAATCGCTCGAAAATCGATGTTACGCGTGAAATGAGTAATTGGATGGTTTCCACGATTCTCAAATACTATGACAGTCCGGCTGCTATTCGAACCGATTCGATTTTCCTCACTTCCTTGCACTTCGTTGCTCTGCCACGCGACGATTCAATCGCATAATCTCAGACAATACCGACCACGATAGATCGTCCACCCATTTGGTTTCTTCTTCCTACGCGATGGCAACGACCACGGTGACGACCACGATGACGACAACGACGGCGACGACGACGACGACGACGACGACGACGACGTTGACGTGGACGAAACAGAACCAAACGTGGAGAAGGATCGAAGAGAATGAGAGGAAAGTAAAGGAGACAGTGCCGAGGCGGTCATCTTAAAACACAGACCGATCGAACATTTACGATTGATCGATGATTCTCAGTAGATTCTGAACGCCTCTTTCCTCTTCTGGTTCTTCGTTATTGGTAGTATGTAAATGATGAACTTAGTTGATACCAGGCCAGGTTGAGACGGAACGGGACGAGAAAGTACGACCCGCTCCGTTCGAACGTCGCGCGTCGACTACCGAATACCGTACTCGGCAACACGCACTCGCGTATATATCCCGTTTACTACTCCCCGCCAGTCGTCTGGTTGCTCTTCTCTCGACATCCAGTTCGACATCGCAACCACTGCTGCTGCTATCCTTGCTGTCGTTTGTTAGCCCCTGTTGACAACATTGTCTCGTGTTCGTTGTCCATCGGTTCCAAGCATCGGTCTTTCATCAACACGACCACGTCTAAATCCGAGAGATTCAGAGGAAGCATTTGGATAATTTAGGAAATTTTCATGTATGTACGCTGGGTGTGTTACGTAAAATATTTTGATATATTACGAGTAATAAGGCTTGATTATTATGATTATGTAGGTAACATTTCAAATAAATATAAAAGTATAAACGTAAAAATTACAAGATATTTAGTGTAAACAGATTACAGACGTTTATGCAACTTTATATCTTATAATTAAGATATAATGTTTCATAAACTTCATATAAATATCTACAATCAAAGAAATGGAAATTTGTCTTATTTATAAAATATCATGACAAATGCTCTGTTTTGAGTGTCTTATATATTTTTGTATATATTACATATAATTATGTAAGTATTTTTGGAATTTCAAATTTCTCAAAATTGCATAAACATTCGTAGTCTAATTATAAACGTATATATGCATAATATGAATAATCATCTTAAACATTTAACGATATTGAAGATGATTTCATTGAATTAAGATCATACTTGATATAATGCTTGTTAATATAATAATGAATAATTGACTATTTAAATACTTTGGTGTTTTCCATGAAATATTAAATATTTTGTATCGTCTATGTATATTTTTAGATCAACTTGTTTCAACTTTATTAAAATTATCATGACTTATTGCTAATGACATTTCTACAAAAGGTTATTATAGATATTGAAATACTTTCATGAATAAATGTAGTTTTGATAGCTTCGAAATTTAATAATTAATATTTGAAAATTACTATTTAATTATTTGATTATAATGTTTGAAATATAATTATAATATTTGAAATATGATAAATCCATTTTTCTTAAGTTTTATATCAGACTACAGGTTGAAACAGTCAAAGAAAAGAATTCTAGTGTAATTTGACAATACCATTTTCCGTATAATAATGTTAATGTTTCTGAAATTTTTCAGATGGTGACAAAATCAAAATTACAATTTAATTACAAAATCAAATGGAAAGACGGTTTTTCTGTAAAACTAATTGACAACATATTGAACCTCAAAATTATTGTTTAATAAAACATAAAAAATGTGACTTCTCGTGCTTTTTTATCTACAGTCTTCACTTGTTTCTAAATCTAATGTAAAAAAAAAGAGGAACATAGACAAGCATGCAAAAACTGCATCATTGTAATAAGATATGCAAGTGTTATACAACAGTTTAAAAAAGAGCAGTGATATAGACGTATCTTATTTTCAGAGATCACAGATTGCATTCCGTGATATCGTTTAGTGGCACGCAGAAATCTGTTTTGATATTACGTGCACTATCACCTTGCGTATTCACCAGAATGCAGATCCTAAAGGATTGTGGCTTCAAGAGTACTTGGATTCCACGCGAATTACGTTCTTAGATCGGTAAGCGATGAATTTTTACGTGGCATATGCGAGCGTGTGACAGAAGCAAAGGCGGCGCCTAAGTCCGTAATTCCTTATCACCGGAAGAACCGTTAAATGGAACAACGTCGGACGAGGAAATTGAGAGACAGTCGGCCAAGAGATTGGAATAATCGCTTGGGAGGTCAAAAGTCGCCTGTAAACGACGAATGCCCGACGAGTTCCCTTTTATGATGCAAGATATTCCGGTCGCGAGACAATCGATATTTTTTTCTAATTAATCCGAAACTTTCGATGGAAGGAAACTGCGCAGACGAAACTGCGACTTGCAATGTCGACGTACATGCTAACCGTTTACGCACGCGACCTTAGAAGTACGAGTGACTACCCTTCGGAGTTAAAACGCTGCTCGCGATTTCGGGGAATCGATTGATCGGTGAAACGAATTCGCGCTAGAGACGCGCGTTCGTGTTCCCTGAGGCTTGCACGTTTTTTCGTGGAATGAAAAGTTGGCGTGACCGTAACGCAACGGCCACGTCGCATTTTCGTGGCTGTCGACGCGTCATCCGAGAGAGGATCTCTCTGCAAGCCTACGACGTCGTTCATCCCTCTATCATTCATCCAACTTGAGAGAAAGTTTTCGCGTATGAATGGGAGAGAAAGAGAGAGAGAGAGAGAGAAAAATACAATTAATTGCGAAAGTATTTTAACATACGTAGACGTCTTTCAACAAAATATTTTGATATTTTGTTAATAATATTAGTGTTGGTAAAGTTTGAAACAAATCTGAAAATAAAAAATATATTACAGTATATATTAATTAATTTAAACAATTAATTATTCAATTTATTGTATTGAGTTCGAGCTTTAAAAATTATGGTAAATCTACAGTAAGTCATCTGCAGAGACATTACGCGCGTAATATAAAATATTACGCAAATTTTATTAATTGGCGCCATAATGGCGTGTAACATTTACAACCAGAAATTTATTATAATAGAATATATTATAGCTATTATATTATATATATTATATTGTATATATCTATTATATTATATTATATTATATTATATTATATATATTATATATATTATAATAGAAATATATTATAGAAATCATGAGATGGAATCATCTTTAACATACTTCTACGCTTAAGATAAAATACATACTTAAGATTGAGAATGCACGTAGTCCCTTTTTACTTAAATACACGTTCGCACTAAATAGTCTCCTACTACTGTAAATTTTAACCGCACTCTGTACATTTTCAGATTTGCTTTCAAATCTTAAACAACATAATTACGCCAGTCCCGTTATTTTATGCATAGTACCAATGCATTAACGAAATTTCAAAATGTTTAAATTCGAAATGTTAAAATTAAAAATATACGTGTAGTGCTAATCTTTCATGCAACAGTTCTGTATGAAAATGTTCAAAATACTTTCATAAGCTATTGTACAAGTAAGAGAGAAAGAGAGATGAGCGATAGTTTAGACAAGAATGCTATTCTATCCTGTTTAACATGCGCCCTTCCTCGTCATATCGCTCCGCTCATGCCTCGTCTCGTCCTGGCTTCTCTCATATGGCGCGGCACGCTTGCTTTAGCTTCACTGTCTCATCCTGTCTTGCCTCGTTGCGCCTCGCTAAATGCTCCTACCTCCTCGGTTTACCTCGCACAGCATTACGTCGCGTTATTTGTTCTTGGAAGTGGCGGACTCGCAAGGTAGAGTATGATTCACGAATACTGGGGACGGCCGGTCCTTCCTGCTTGCCCCTCGTGCGTGTCCTCCTCGAAAGCAGTGGTCGTTGCCGGTCGTTCCCGCTAATACCCCGTAATATCCCGTAATACGCCGATGACTAAGCCAATTTTGTGAGCGGAGTTCCTTCGACAATCGGCGGCCTACGCGCGCCACCGCTGCAACGCGCCTCGTAGCGAGTAACGAGGGATTCCTCGTGCTATTTTCGAGGAATTCCGCTACTGGAAAATTCTGAATTATATATAGGATCGTGTCTCACCTGATATTATCATCTTGATTTATGGCATTATCGTTATCCGTAGCGAGAAATGTTACAATGTAAGATGAATGGTTCGGGTTGTTATTAATTTCAACGTAAGCTGAATGATTCAGGTTGTTAATCCTTTACGTGCCTTTACTTTGTAAAGGATTTGCGAAGACTAACTTTGGTTTTTTAAATAAAATCGTATATTTTTAAATGCAGCTCGACAGTATATATGCTAAGAAATTATTAATTTAGGAAGCAATTTGACTTATCAAAAGAAAAAAAACGAAGAAAAAGAAAAGGAAATACTCGCAGCAATGTGCAAATGTGTTTATGTTAACCTTGTCTCTCATATAATGTATTATATAATGTATTAAAATTGAATTGAATATCTCTGAAATAAATAATTCTTCAATACATTTTTTTTTTAAACAGAGAATATAAGCTGCATGGTACATCAATACATTTGAAACATAACATATGTTTCCATTTAAAAAATCAGAGTTGACTTTCACATAACTTTTACGTGTCTGTCCATAAAAAAAATTACTACCATCAGAATATGCATATCTCGATACCATTCATCTTTCATTATAACATTTCCCCCTGCGGGTAACGATAATGATACAAATCAAAATGACGTTCTGTAAATATTATCGACGTTGATAATTCGGCGCCAGTTATGTCGAAAATGTTCTTCATTCTTCGTTAACGATGAATGCTACCGTGTCGATTGTTAACGTGTCGTTATAACATCACTGTCGGCATTGACATTGGCATTGGTATCGATACCGGCATGTACGTTACCACCTCCGCTCGAATATCTTCATCCTACATGAGAATGCCGATGAATCGCGCGTTAAAAATAAAGAAGCCCCATACCGGTGTTTCCCGTTCGCGTCCAACGAACTTGAGAGACAACGTGGCTCGAACCGTTCCCAAGACCGAACCAGCGATTGTCCCGCGAATAGCCTTCAAAACCGTACTTCCGGATTTTTCTCAAGCAAATTCTTTACTGCCATGTCATCGTAACACGTAAAGGACGTCGTAAACGATCTCTCCAATTTCAACCTGTTCTTTTCTTTCTCCCTTTCTCTCTTTCTCTCTCTCTTTCTCCTTCTTTCTCGTCTGTTCTTTGATCGAATCTTCGATCAAATTGAATCGAATCGTATTAAATCGCTTTAACTATGTATCCAACGATACGAGACGTGTGAATGTTTCGAAAAGTTTGTGAAGGCTAATCGCACCACGTGGGAACGAAGGAACGCGGCGAGAATACCAGCGTTTGATGGTGCACGATGGGTCTTCTCGAAAGTCGACGCGTTTTCGATTACCCGCGGAAACCACGCATACCCGTGGTTTCTAGAGCTTCCCGTACCATCTTTCGCGCACTATGATACGATGCATCGCACCACCAAGGAATTCTCCCTCTTCCGCCACCTTCCTTCTTCTCCTACACCTCCTACTCTTCCTGCTCGATTTCTCCTCTTCTTGACTTCTCTTTTTGAAATGCTCGCTTTCTAAAATTTGAGGCGCTCCGTGAGGCGACGTGAGTCGAATTATCATTCTTCGAAACGAAGCTTCGTCTGAAAATCCTTTCAACGATAGAACGAACTTGTAGATTTCGAGGCTAACAATACAGGACCTTTCAACGTTTTATTATCAATTATTAATATTTCTGGTATTGTTGATTGCTCTAAAAATTGCTTTCTTTCTCAAATTTGAATGAATTATTATGTAGATATATTATTATTATAGACTGCGGATTTTTATATAATTTCATATTTTTTCATATGAATGCAATTAAAGAAATGGAACATAAGCAAGAACTTATTTTAGATGATTTTTATATTTTATATATTTTTCGCATGTCGTGTGCATGCTCTGCATTTTTATATTCTAAAATCTGCAGTCTGATCGTTATATTACTACAGTTTCAAAAGAATTAACTTAGCTTGAAGCTTGAAATACATAATGCAAACGTATCCTCAATATCTTCTTTCATAATCACGATATTTAAAAAAAAAAAAACAAGATTTGATCAATTGGTTCGGGAGAATTGCAATTGCAAATATATACTTTGCTAACGTTCTTAAATATTTAATTTAGTATTTAAATATTAAAAACTCCTCCAATTGTATGACAAAAATTCTTTATTTAACAAATATTAAATAAAGACTAGTAACAAGGATTGTATAAATTATATCAACCATAGAGTCTTGCGTCGACGATTCCTCATTCCTTTGGAATACGAAACGGCAAAGATGCATTCGATCAGTGAATCAAACACAACATACGCTAAGCTAAGAATAAAAGCAAGAGTTTCGTGACTCGTCCGCTCGATACGATAATTCCCTACTTGTCAGACTTTCCCCTCTTCCTCCCTTCGCCAAACTGCTGGATTTTCTATTTAGTCAACAGTTTCGCACCTATCCTTAATTCTATCGATCATTCCACGAATTTCCTTCCGCAAGTTGAACAATCGATGAAAGGGAAAGCATTGCTCATCGTTCTTCCCCGTTATTCATTCGCCCTTGCACATTGCAATTTTTATCATTTCGTCCCTGTTCGATCGTTTTGCTTAGCTGATTCCATTCCATTCGATTCGACTTGGCATCGACCACTTCTTTTCCATCGCGTTTTCTCGAGTCTCAGGGAACGGACAAAAAACGAAGTGGATCCGCGATTGCGTATTAAGTTAATCATTAAGAAATAAGTACAGCATCGTCCAATCTATTTTAGTCTCATTGCCACAGATAGGAATTGATTGTCATCGATCGCTTGACACTCGATGGTTGAAAGCCAGTAGCCAATAGCCAGTAATCTGTGATCAATCGATGATCAATCGTTGAATATTACGATTTGCATTTTCACCATTCTAATACACCCGGGATGTATTTATCGATCAGTTTCTCGTAGTAAGGCCAGAGCTTCTCGATGTCGGGAACCTCGCCGCTCTTAGTGTACAGATCATATTTGCTGAAATGAAATGGTCAGACAGAGTTACACAGCGCATTTTTCGTCTATGTTTCTTCTTCCTTTTTTTTTTTTTATCTTTAGACCAGAACTCATATTAACGTTTATTATATACCTAGTTTTAGTACTCTTTAAACTTTATACGATTTTTTTATATAATTTTTTTTATTTTTAGCACAAAACGCACAATGTATATTTGATGTTTATCAAGGAAACCAAACTACTCGATTTAATATAATGTTAACGCTTTGTAATATTTTAGAATTTTGACAAGAGATACGAATGTGTAACTTAATTTTCTTCCTGTTTTTATCTTTTTTTTTTTTACTTGTTTGATCCTTATAGAATAAGAAAGCCTTTAGCAGTTACAAAATATATATAATAGATATATATCTTTTTTGTAATTTTGCATTTCTCAATATTCTTAAGATTCGCGTTGTTTAAAATTTTTAATTGCTTAACTATTATTGAACGGCATAAAAATAATAGATATTTTCTTTCGGATTTCGCGTGAAATTGCAAGATATTTATTACAATCATACAGTAAATAAAAATTAATATATATACAAGGTGTTTCCTGTAACGTGACGCATGATTTTTCTCCTACTTACAGCCATCTGACAAAAAAAAAGTTAAAGCTATGAAAACAAACAGTTTTTGAAATTTTTTTTATTAATACCAACTGTACACCTTGTACCGTTCAACTTTTGTTCTAAACTTTTTTTTTGTCCGATGGCTATAAGTAGGAGAAAAATCGTGCGTCGCGTTACAGGAAACACCCTGTATATACAGGGTGTTTCGTAACTTGCAGGACTCACTTCGGGAGCTGATTGTAAGTCTAAAAATAATGAAAAAATGTCAGATAAATATATGTCCTATCTATCTTCGTTTATGAGATATAATGAATTTTCTGTTTTAGTTACTTTTGTCAAAAGATGCTCGAAATGACCAACTTGCATTTGAAGACAAGCACGCGTCTTGTCATTCATCTGGTTACTCTCTCTATCATTCCTGGTGTTTCTCGAATTTGTCGGAAGCCTTGCTCTATTNCTATTTCGTAGTATTTCAGCATTTTCAATCGACGTCGCGTATACAATAGATTTTAAATGTCCCCACAAATGAAAATCTAATGGATTCAAATCCGGAGAACGAGCAGGCCATGCAATAGGACCTCCACGACCAATCCATTTATTTGCAAAGTGTTGATTTCCTAGCCACTCGGCTAAAATGCGGCGGAGCTCCATCATGCATACGAATCGCATACGAAGTCTAATATCGATTGAAACTTCCTCTAATATTTCGTGTAAACGCGTGCTCAACAAATCAACGTACTTTATGCCTGTTAGTTTCCCATCAAGAAAAAAAGGTCCAATTAAAAATTTATCAATTATTCCTGCCCATACATTTAAACTAAACTGTGTTGATGTCTTGAATGCACAATAACATCTGGGTTTTCTTCATCTCAATTATGATTATTATGAAAATTGAATATACCATCCCTGGTAAAACTAGCTTCATCAGTGAAAAGTATGGTAGATACAAAACTCTCTTCACGTTTACACATTTGCAGGAACCAAGTACAAAAAACGAAAGATATCAAGTATTATTTGTAAACAGTGCGAATTCTTGCTTACAAACTATTGCGGTCTATGGAAAGAGAGGCCGGACAGAGAGTTTGTTCTGTTTATAAAGTTCATTATATCTCATAAACGAAGACAGATAGGACATATACTTATATGACCTTTTTCCATTATTTTTAGGCGTACAATCAGCTCCCGAAGTGGGGAGTTAACAAGTTACGAAACACCTTGTATATGTCAAGGATTAAGACTATTATTCATTATATACATATATATATATAATGAATAATAGTCTTAATCCTTAACATACAAAGATTTCTAACAACTATAACTCTAATTTTAATTGTTATTGAATTGCATAAAAGAGATACATATTACAGTTTCTGAATGATCCTATTTATCATGCTAAGAATTAAGGGAAGAGAGAAACAAAATGATTGAACATAGACACTCACTTAAATTCGTTGATCCATTTCAGCATTTCTATATCTTTCTTAGTACAGAAGTGCATGTAGTCGCCACCCGCGTGCCATGGATAGAACGAGTGATAACGAATCATAGCCAAAGCCTGCTTAGGTAGTTTGGTATTGTTGTGCACCAGGACGCGATACAAATATTCGTCGTGACCCCAGGACATCAACAAATTTTCAATGCCGCACTTCGGTTTGTACATGCCATATTTCGTGCTGAAAAAATCCATTTTGTCACGATTCTATTTCCAAGGAGTGAAGTTTTGTAAAAGTTTTGTATGTACTTACTTGTATCGAGTGTCTTTAGCATCTGGATTGTCCTCGAAGCTAGTTTCTCTGTATACGATAGAGTCAGCCCAAGCACATCCGACGGGAAACGTGTCACCCACAACTGCCCATTGTGGTTCACCATAAAACGCCATTACCTACATTGTTATATACAATAATAACATTAATTACAACAACAATAATATTTAGTATTTAGCACATTTAAAGGAAAAGCACTTTGTTCAAATATACTGCGGATTTTTGTGCATTTATGCGAAATGTGAAGAATAAAATGCACAGAATACATATAATACACAAAGGTATATAGAATATCCAGAACACAAGAGTTGTTATAACATTTGTTGTGTGAAACGAATCTTTTTCAATCCCGCTATGCTTTTTCGCTCATTTCTGACTTATTGATATTTTCTTTTAATAACAAATATTTTCTGCTTGAAGAAAAGACATACAAAAGAAGTCTTATTGACATATATGATTTCTTTTTTATGCTTCAGTTTTATGTCAAAAAGATTTTTATAGATTAGATAGATTTTTCGAAAAGATCTTTAAAACTTTCTTTTCTTTCTTTACTAAAATAAGAGCAATCGTTCTGGAAAATATGAATTTGCGTGAATTTTCTGAGATTTATTTATTTAAATACCCAAAAGAGCAGTTTATTTAAAAAAAAGTATCGAATAACCGATTCGCTCCCATTCTTTCTAGGATCACGTTTTCATTCTTGAATGAGATACATCACCTTGCCCAAGTCGTGAATCAGTCCGGTCAAGTGGAACCAATCCAAGTCAGGATGCTCTTTTCTTATGGATTCTGCGGTTTGGAAAGCATGCACGATATTTGGCAAACTTGTGTCCGGATCACTCTCGTCCACTAAGTTGTTCAATTTGATCAAAGCATCTTTTACGGTCATCTTGAATTTGTCGAAACGAAGCCATTCTTTCATGCGAGCTGAAACGTAAGAATCGCTAGTTGATCATTTCTATTCTTTCTATTCCCGCACGTTCTACTATGTGACAATTTTTCATTTCTATTTACTACTCGCGTCTTTCTCTCTAGATGGTTGTTATTTTGGAATGGCGTATTTCGCGGTTCTGTGGTAAATTTTTATTTCCAAAATCATATCCATCTAGAGAGATGAATATTAACCTTTTCTCGACGAGTTTCTTTCTTTCGACTTTGAGTGCTGGGAAATTTTATTGATAGTACACAATATGTCTTAGAATATAATTTAATTTATACAGCTTTTTCCCCATGTGGTATTTTACATATAGGTTGTACATAAAAAAGTTCTAAGAGGATTAATACAAATTCTGCTTCCTTTATCACAAATTATGTAATATAAAATCAAATAATTTAGGAGAATTTTTCATCGAACGTAAAGAATAGACGTCGATGTGTAACTCACATTGCACGAACTCGACAGTTTGATTCGTGTGCATCTTGTGGTAGGTATTCCGGACGCGTTCCTTTACCGGGTCGGTTGGATCTACAGAGTAATCCCTGAACTCGCTCTCCAGTTTTCCCGCGTAAATGGGCTCTGGCCGATACTTATCCGATGGATCCAGGATGGTTTGTTTCTGAGGTTGTACCTGTATTGTTACATATCAATGACGCTTAATATCTCTTGTTTTTCCTTCGCTTCTGCTTCGTCTCGCGCGAGATCTTGAAAATATTTAGTAAACACCGCGGTCGTTGTCCGCGTTTCGATCGATGTCAAAGGGTTCCTTTGAATGGAGTGTTCATAATTCAGATTCAGAGCGAAGAACGTTTAGGCAGACGTTCATCTCCAAATTTCGTAAAAACTAATTATGATTTGTCTTAATCGACATCAATACTCCTTTCGTTCTTGTTATGAATCAATTTCGTATTTTTTTCTTTTTTTTTTGAGAGAGAGAAAGAGAGAGAGATTTATCATATACATCATACTATATTAACAATTATACATTGTATAACCAACAATCGGAAGATTTTATAACCTAAGAAACAACGCGGAAGTGAAAGGAAATAGGGAAACAGCAAATTGCGTTTGTCTAATGTCGTGGCAATTAGAGATCAAGATGATCGATCATCAAGCCAAATTCGATCGGAGAAGCTAATGATCATCGCTACTACTCGATTCATCGTCTCTTGTTAATACTTACGAGCGTTTGCGCCGACATCTGTCTATACTGGTATATTCCAACTGGTATTGAGTGCAACAGTGACTGACTAGTCCCATGCGACCGAGTTAACTTATAAATCTGAGGCAATTCACCCTTGACCTCTGCTTGATCAAAGTGTGGTCACGTGTGTAATGTTCCATACACGTTATCGCAATCCAATACAGTCACACACGTTTCTAAACAACGTACGCACGAGATAAAAAAAAATTCCGTGAAATTAAACAATTTGCAGTAGTCCACAGAGGCCGACAGTGTCGACAAATCTCTCCCTGTTTTGATCTCTCCCCGACCGAATCGCTTCCTCTTTTCTCGCTGAGGACCAATCGATTCCTTTGCTTCGCCATTAATATAATATTTTCGTTTGTTGTTCTTTCATCACTACTATGTCCCAGACCGGAAAGTTTTCAGCCTTGCCCGCCGACTATTATTGTATTGATATTCGACTAATTAGAATTAACTGGATTTCTTGCCATTCTTTAGCAATCTTTTTTATTTTTTTTTGGTTTATCTGGTTCTCTCCCACTCTTTCTTTCTTTTCGCTAAGATTTTGTTTTTATCAAAAAGTCGCTATATTTCGCATACAAATATTGTATTTTTCTTTTTTCGTTCTCCTTGGTTGCTCTTTCTTTTCGTCGGAGCTCTTGTCAAAAATGAGATATATTATTTTAGATGAAAACAACCGTGTATTTTTCTTTACTTTTTTTTCTTTTACTTCTAATAGCCTCTTTTTCTTTTTTTGCTACAGATGTTATTTTGAATAAAAATAAGAGCGTATTTTTTTCTTTCGCTCTTATTTTCGTCCGTCTTTTCGTGGTAATTTTCTATTAAAATAAAAAACTATTTCCTGATCCAAATCAATCAATGACGTTATATAAGTAACAAAGGACATAATTGGACGTAATCGCGTCAAAAGCGACGCAAAAGATATCGTCTGGGCTTATGAATGACATTCTTTATACGATGAAAAAAATGTTTCGGATTGTACCAGAAACGATACGAAAAAGTTTTGTGTAATCATTTTCTATTGGCCTGTGAAAAGATACTCTATTTCATTAGCGATTAGGTCTTCATTAAAAATTCAAGGACAGGGAGGAAGAAGAGCAGAAAGATGAAGTAAGAGAGAAAACGAAGAGAAAGACAGAATAATCAATCATAATTTAAATTCTAAATTCTTGGGAATTGGATAAAGGATTGGATAGGGGATTTTCATTGTCTAAGTTTAAAAAGAAATGGTAAGATTAGAATAGTTTTTTTTTAATATAGTGGAATTTTTTAAAAAAATGTTAAGTAACATTTTAATCTTACCATAGATAAATTATCATATTATTAAAATTACAAAATTATAAAATTATTATGATGGAATCTTTTTAGAATGTAAATTCTACATTTCATACAGTTTTTATTGTTTACAATTTAGAATAATTAGAAAATTATTAAGTAAAATGGTCGAATCTTTTTAGAAAATGTTATGTATATCTTAATCTCTTACAATTTTCTTATAATTTTTATTGTTTAAGATTATAAGATGGCGAAGTTATATAAAATTGTTTATCATTATATTTACTGAAACTTTACTAAGTGGCATTAAACATTAAAAACGATTGAAGTAAAAAATTTTTATGATAACCTAAACAAAAATAAGGTTTTCTAGATTTTGAAATAATATTAAAAATTAAGAAAATGATAGTTATTTAAAAGAACTTCCTTTCCTGTAAAAAAATAATTAACTTTGAATATTTATAAAAATTTTCAAAAAAAAATCCTACGATATATTATAGAATATCCCACGAATAATTTTATAAAGAACAATGTCTCAAAACCTGAAGATCAAAAAACATGATTTCGAGAAAAATGTTTAATATTCTGAATTAATATCCTTCAGAAATTTAAAGTTTGAAGTTTTAAATTAATTTTTAACACAAGAAAATTTTTTATAATTTACTATATAAAAAGACCCTTTTCTGTCTCTAGAAATACATTGACAACTGTATTTTAACTGTGGTAGGAATCTTTAAAATTTTTCTCCCTTATACGAACGCTCTCTCAAACCTATCCCTCAATTCTATCCATTTTCAATTTCACACGCATTCTTCAGATATTACACCTAATCTTTATTTCCATTTTAAAAATGCTTTCCGATACTTTATCAAAAAAATTTGAGTTCTTTTGCTAAACTCCGTTTAAAATACATTTCAAAAATGGTACAATAGTTTTTGAAAGTTATTTTAATGAGCAAATTTTAAAAGAAATCTTTATTTCCAAACGAAAAAAGTCTTTTTCAAAAGTATTAGATTGAGTTTTTCTTACATAATAAACAGTTACTTTTAATACTATAACTTTGCCAATTAAACAAATTGTATTGTAGTACAATATAAACATAAACACGAAGTAAAAAAAATATGTATATAACATGTATAATATGTATACAAACATGAAAATAAAAAAAAAATAGCCAAAAAATCTTTAAATCAACTGTATCTCTTTAACAATCCAATAATATTGCATATTTACTTTTAACCATTAGTCGTCCTTCTTCAACATTGAAATATATATCAAGCAAGAGGAAGATATGAAAGAATAATTATTATTGATATTGATGATTAATCATATTTTAAATATTGAAACATTAAACATAAAATATTAAATATTAAAAGTTTTTTTATTTGTTCAGATCAAAATCACAGTAAAATTAACAGCTATTGCTCTCACATTATGTTGACAGTTTTGCAGAAAATCATTATGTAAGAAAGATATTATGCAAAGGCACATCGTTAAACAGGTGTAATCTGCTATTTTCTTTTTTTTCCGTTTCGAAGACACGCGTGCCTTCTGCGTAGTTCAATTGACGCGTTCTCGATTTATTAAACTCAATTAGGCGGCAATTGATTTGGCGCAAAGAGGAATAAATCCTCGGGGCAGTTATATTCGATCGGTGTTAAATGCATAACGTATCGATGCTATTTTCATACGACAAATTACCGAGGAAGAACTACTGGCTTACTTATTTAGACGATAGAAATGTTCAACGACTATACAGGGAGGGAACGGAAAAAGGGAAGGGCGGCGAGTGGAAAGAACTCTGAATAGATTGCGTCTGACATTTTTGATATCTGTGAATGTTTCTTTCGCATTAATGTTGGATTTCGATTAATGTTACGCGAAAATCATGGAATACTTTCGATCGATAACCTTTAGTATTACACAAATGATATATTGCCAAAGTTAAGTATTTTCCAGTTATACATCTAAAAAAGGAAAACAGCAAAACAAATTGTCAACGATATTTTCCATTATCAAATTGACAAGTTGTCTGTATATGATATTTACTTATACTATACAATTCATTATGGTGGAGGTTATCTAGTTTGACGTTTCTCTATATATAGGCAAACTGTTATTTCGTAGTCAACAATATTATCAAGATATTTTTCAACCCCATTATACCTTTTTCATTTTATAACGATGACTAATAGTACTCTTTTTTTCTTTTTTTTTTCCCCTCCCTCCCACCGTTCCTTCCCTTTATTTTACAAAAATCAGTGCAAAACAAATTTAGCTAATTTCGAAAGACATTCGGTACATTTTCGTATTCCTGATATGTTCGTTCTTATCTACGTATATCGTAAGCGTTATTAAAATATCTCGTTATAATTTAACGAGTAATCAAGCGTAGGGAAAGCAATGAATAAATTACGGCTGGTCATGTACAATCTTGGTAAAACTTCTTTTTATTCCTCAATCTTTTCTTGTTTTTATTTCTCCTTGGACAAAAGTTGTATTAAAATTATCGTCGACACTTTAATTAACGATATACGCACGAAACTACGTGCACATACGTATATTTTTTCGTATGCGTGTACGTATATAGACGCGTGTTTAGCGTGCGCATGTAGCGTATGTGTGTACGTGCACAAGGTAATTGTACACGAATATGGTAATACATTTTCAGGATGAACTTGACTCCGAGTATGAGGAGTTGCTTCCCTTCCGTCGTGTACTGTGATGGTGTCTTCGAGACGGTGTTCGTGACGGAGACCTATGTTTGGACGAAGACTTCTTGCTTTTCTTGGATCTGTGTGATCGAGAACTGCTCGGACTGTCGTGGTTGCTGTGACAAACAAACGATTTCGAGAGAAACAGAAGAGAGAGAGAGAGAGAGAGAGAGAGAGAGAGAGAGAGAGAGAATGAAAGAGAGAGACAGAACACGAAGAAAAGCAGAGATAGCGAAACTGTTCTGGTTCTGGTTGCATTTACGAATGGACAGAGGCTAAACCGTTGCTACATCGCATACATAGCGTTAGAGGTGGTAATCGATGGAAAAATTCGCGTACCTTCTGTGAGAGCTTTTCTTCTTTTTATGTTTCTTGTGAAATTTTTGTCTGTCTGTGTAACTTCGACTTCCGCTTGGACTCCTCGATCGCGGTCTAGACCTTTTGCCGGTCAAGTCTGCACTCTTTAGCCTGTCCATCAAAGAGTTTCCACCGGTAGTTCTCGAATCGCAAGATGACTTTGCGTCGTCCATCGACGGCGAGGGAGATGGCGATGGGACGGAATGCACTTCGTCCGAGTCGTCTTTCCTCGTTCCTATCTGATTCGCGGCAGTTGCCATTGTACCGCTACCTTTCGGTAAACTAGAACTCTGTATTTGACTCAAAAACGCTGCCGCTTTCTTCTTTCGTTCCAACTGGAGTTGCCTCTCTCTCGAAGTTGCTGCTAGTTTGTCACGCGCTGCAGCAACTAGCTTATCCTTGATTCTATCTTCGGCTTGCTTGTGCCTAATCTCTTTTTGACAGTCTTCTAGAATCTCGTCCGTTAGATCTACCAGCTCCTTATCCTCGTTCTTCCATTTTTTCTCCGATTTCCAGACTCCACCATCTTTGTCAACCGGAATTCCGACACTAGAGAGCGAACTTTGTTCGTTTGACTCTTGCGGCGAGCTCGGTTTTGAATTTCCGTCTTTGCTCTCGCCCTCCATTTCATCGTCGCTCTCTTCCAGTGGCAGTGCATTTCGCTTTTCAATTACTCCGGTATCTCCGTCCTTTGGTTTTTTTATTGAAAAGGAAACCGTCGTTACTTGTTTCACACCTTCCGCATTCGTGCTCATCGCCGTGGTCGTTGTCGATGTCGCAGTTGCCGTTTCTTTCAACTTTGGCTCGCATTTCTTTTTCGCTTGTATCATCTTTACTCTCTTTTGCACTTCCTCCATTCTTTGTTGCTTTTTCTGTAATTCTTCCAACTTCTTTTGCTTTTCTTCCTGTGGCTTTTGTTTCTGTAATAACTCTTCCTCTGTTAGCACTTTCGGATTTACTGCGCCTTCGTATATTGTCAACTTGTGCGCGTAGTAGCCGTGATATTGATGTGACAGTTCAAGAAAATTAAACCTCGGATCCCCTTTATTTTTCACTATCGCTTCGAAATCTCTACCATTTTTTGCCACATAGCTTGCCATTTTATCAATAATTATTTGTACATCCGCTGGTGGAACGATAAATGAAGGCCTACTCAATTGTTTCTGAGATGTAGTTCCGTACGGTACCAGTGACGGTTGTGATTCATTCATCGCAACCTGTGTCGTCACCATTTCATTCGTAGATGATAGTACGTTCGCTGCAGTAATTTGTAATGATGATTGTATCTGTCCGTTTGGTCCGTATATTACTGGACCATGGGAGTATTGTACAGGTGTGGCAGCTGTTGTCGCCGTTCCTGTTGCAGTCATCGCAGTAACTGAGGTTGAGTAAGGGTTATAATTCTACAGAAAATAAGAGAATATAATGTTACATTACGTGTCGTATTTAATCATGCTTCTATTAGTTGTATGTTATCCGAATCTCTTACCTGTCCTGGCACAGGATGATAATATCCTGTATTAGTGGCTGATGGAACTGTGGTCTCAGGATGTTGCAGTGGCGCTTTCGAAGGCGGCGGTTTCCCGGTTATTTTATTTACAAGCATCGAATAAGCACAATCCGCTGATGGTTTGTACTGTATACTTGGAATACTGGGAGCCTGAAAACAACAACGAATTCGCCGATTTGAATTCGAGCCAAGTTTACGAGAATTATGCGAACATCGAGAACACGCATTTCGTGCGTTCAAAACATGCGTCCGACGCAGAATGCATTAACTACAGGTTACATACCGCTTCTATTTTAGTCAACGACGACGCCAAGCTTGGATGAAGGTACGGTTCATCGTCTTGATCGGATGATCCATCTTCATGTTCTATCATTGAAAAGAATACAAGTTAATGGAACATCCAGTTGTATAACGGCTTACTAATACTTCCTATCGGTTACGGAGATTAACATGGATTAGCATATATAACATAGAAAATACTTACGGATGGAAAAGCTAAGTAGAATCAAAGTAGATGTGGGTAAATAAATCCTGCTTTAAATCTCTTCGATTATTTTAACACGACATAATAGTGTCAACGTTTTCGAAAATGTTGCAATAAGATGTTCTCTTAAATAAAACAATATGCGTACCGGATTCTTCTTTCTCCGGCTGCTTTTCAGGATTATACTTTCCAGTCTTGATCGCATCCAGTATATATCTATAATATTGATATAGCCGTCCGTCTATCGACAAGAAGGAAAATTGTGGATTATTCGCCTGCTTCGCTTTAATCAGAATCTCCATTTGGCCGCCTTGACGACTTATAAATAGCGCCGTTTTCGTTATGATGGCATTCAATTTTTGCGTTTCCGGCTGTTAACAAACAATAATAAACGCCATTAAAATTTGAGTTATGTAACTGATATATAATCATTTAATAGTTCTTTACCAACCAATGGAATACCCTGTGGGATTTCTAGATCAGGTGGTGGAATGAAGGCCTGATCCTCTTCCTGGGAACCCTCAGATCGTTTTGGACTTTGTGAATCTTCACACGTGATTTTCGATCCGTTTCCCTCCTCATTATAGTCGTACGCTACTTGACTGTATGTGTTCTCCGAATCCAGAGCCTGATGTAGCCTTTTCATTTCCTCCTCTGAAAAACAATCATATGTGTTTTACTGTTGACTTTATCCATAGTAAACATAAAAATAGCAAACACAAGTGTCTCGCAATCATGATCTACTTACCATGATGCATAGCATCTTCTGTTTCATTGTTGTAAAGAGATCGATACCGTTCTTCATCACATAATTGCTCCACTTTCAGTTCATCTTCAGTCAGGATCGTTCGTTGATCAAACCCACCTGTCGGTGATTCGTATATCCGTAAGTCCCCCAGAGCACCGCGTCCATCGTACCTATACACATACATAAATCGATTTAAAGGTGGAAGAGATGTTATTTGTTTTAGGATAGCAATTTGCTTGATTGCGGCATCTGAAAATTATATGTCACGAGGCAAACCCTGTTTGAGTCAAATTTCTCTGAAATAGAATACAATTATACCACATTCGTTCCCGTTTATACCATTTTTTTTTTTTTTTTTCTTTTACAAGATAACAAACAATAACAAACGGTAACAATGCTTCAACCTTGAATGCTCCATTCTTCCGAATGTTACTACTTAGATATAGACTTAGATATAGATATCGCGGGAATTTGCACTACGAAGTTTGTACAGAAAATTGTTTCAATCATTATATATTACTAGCTTTCATTAGACGGACAACGAGTAACATCAAGAACTGAGAGAGTCTCTCTTGCTTCGCGAATGAGTAATTGCTTATATTGAGCATCCAGAAGCAGAGGCATACAAGAGGAATCGCGTTGTGCCTCTACGTAGATACACCCGATTCTAGAATGCTAAAATACATACCATGCTGAACGATTATAGTACCTACAATCGTCAGCTGCCGTTTGTCTCTCTACGCTGTGTCTCACCTTGCTGCTGCGCCGTCGGTCAGCCACAAAACACCAACGTGATGAGAGCACGTTGCTCTATGGCCGTGTAAAGCGCATAATACACGCGCTTCCACACCGCCTGTTCGCAGTCAAGACACCTGCAGAAACCTTAAACAGTCTCCAGATTGCTTATCCATACGTTAACCGTTCGTCGTTGAATTTTTTTTTTCAACTGCTGCACTTTGCTCAGTTTCGATTGACATCGTTCTTCTAAAGGTTACATGTACAGTGCATTTATGCAAGAATAAATATCCTAGATGATAAATTTGTCTAGGTTAGGGAAACGGACCTGTCTATTTTCAACGTGCTATCGCCCATCCATGGTATCAAATGCTTTCCTTGATCAATCATTTTCGCCTTGTCATCATCTCGAAATAATTTGCAGCTATATCCAAACACCAACAGCTCCTGCGGCTCCTCTTCTCCATTTTTTTTACGCAGAATCCCCGAATCTACCATCCAACGCTGACTTTTCGGTGTCGCCATTTTCGATTCACTGATACTACTTGCGTTCCACCTTGTATGTTGTTCAGGAAACAGCCAACAAAGCTGAAGTTAGCCAGGAATATAGAGTTGTTGCCCAAACTAGTGCCGATAATTTCCAACTCTTTCATCATCAAAAAGAATCGTGAATATTAAACCAATCTCTGTGATTTCTCTTATTATGCACAGTTAGAAGTAAGGTTACTTTTAAGTTAAATTGTTAAATAACTACATCGCTTTATTACAGTGGGACTTATGACCGTATACAGTTGTCGAATTTTTTCAATACAAATTTAAATTAAGACTCAAGATTCGATCCTGATTGGCGAAGGAAAATCCCCAATCCATAATTCAGGAAATTATGAAACTTGAGAAATATGTAAAATATATATAGGTATGTTATGCTTTTTTTTCTTTTTGCTGTCCAAATTTTATGATTCAAAATAAGACGAAATTATGGAATAACAAAATTACATTAGGAGTATTATTTTTTAGGAAAATATACATTTGAAAATTAATCGAATACGCATGTGCGTAGTGATTAGCGTTGCCGTTGATTATGTAGCGTTGCTGTAAATGGTTTGTGATGTTGCGTGTGTAAGATATGTACATCGTATTATGTCATATCTTATATTTAATGAAAATATATTAATATTTTATTACATATATAATTATGCATATTATATGTATGCATATAATTATACGTATATAATACATATAACGTATATAATACGTTATTTTCAAATAAAACTAGGATCAAAATTTCTAACAAAGTATAACGTTCTTTGTAAGAAAATAAAGACTAGTTCTTTGTAGCCTACTACAAGTTAATAGTATATGTATACATATTGATTTCTGAGTGAATCCCTATTATTGCAAATATTTCCTATAAATTTGTTTATTTACACTTTGTTAACATTCAAAGTATATCTAAATAGACACTTAATGTCTAAAGTAATATATTTATAGTAATAAATAGACACTTAGTGTCTAAAGAAGTAATATATTTATAGTAATTCATCTTGAAAAAAGGGAAAACAGCTTTTATTTACAATTAGAGTTAAATTTTTAAAAGTAATAATGAAGTATACTTTTAAAAACAATCTGTTATCTATTTACTTTGCCTTATTTACCTAACATTGTCTTATTTGTTTTAGATGAAAAGAAACAGTGAACAGGACATGATAAAAAAAAAATTATTACATATTTCTAAGTACATCTATAAGATAGTTGTAGATCATTATTCATAAACTTATCCATGGTAGACACTGAAAGCTAATAGAAAGACAAGTTTGAAAAATTTTGAAACAATAGTAAATGTTGAATGAACTTATTTTGAACTATGCAAATAAATTTTATTAATAATGTGAAATCTTATATTAAAGATATTGAAGTAGAAAATATATTTGATACAGATGAGAGTAGATTTAATTTAGAATTAAACTGGGTTGCACAAGAAACAAGATCAGTTGTAAGTACTGTACATTTTATATCAGGTGTTACACATAACTGTATTATACCATCTTAGCTTCTGGGAAATTACTTTCTCCTCTATCAATTGTCTGAAGGAACAAAATAATAATTTGGTCCATACGTACAGTCTTTGTTTCACATCAAAAAGAAAGGAACTGTTTAATGTATAGTTAACAAGTAGATATTTAGAAAATGAATTCGTGGATGAATTACTATTCATCTGAATTATAAAACAATATATCATGTTGAAATATTTATTCTGCATATGCCCAAAGTTTAATCTTGAATTCTGACTTTTCATTCTCTCACTTTTTGAGGTTTTTGATATACATATATGTATGAATATTTCAATTTTATAAATTTCTTTTGTGTATTGATTATAATATTGGATTTATTCATGGGCCAGTTGTTAAATTGAATCTAAAATAAATAAAAAAATGTAGTATTAAATTCTCGTGTTTAAATTTTCTACTATATCAACAAATTCATCGGACTAATGATTTAATTTCTTAATTCCACTTTAGATTACATGATTATTGTATTAACATGATATTTATAACAAATGATACATGTAATTTACTCACTCAGTCAAATTAATTGATTAATTATTGATGATGATTTTCATTTTTAATAGATGGCTTATCAGTTATGGTAGACTTGAGAGGTTCATAATATTACATATAAATCAATAAACGGTAAACAGATATCGTTAGAAAATTAGATATATTTACGTTTTGTAAAATGATAGCGCATTGGTACCTGATCTTTTATATTAATTTTAAATTGAAACGCAGTTTTGTTTTCGAAATAAAATTATTGTAAAAGTAATAACAATTGTTTTAGTGAAAAATTGATACACCGTTCGTGCATCAATTACACATATATAATTTCGTAAAATACTTGTAATAGAATTGTATAAAAATAAACTGCAAATTGTTCGTGGATAGTAATTAGTTCAGCAAAAGTATGGAATGTAGGTATATGATGACCGTTATGTCACACGATCCTTGGTATAAATCGATATTGGTCATCCCGGAAGGCATATCATAATTGTTAAGTTCATTGTATCGCATATTATGATAGCTTATAATACTGACATGTACAGTATTTCATTATATATTTCATTCATCTGAATAATATTATTTCGTTCATGTTTTTTTTTTTTTTTTTATAAGAAAACATGAATTACTTCACATGATATACTGTGCATACGATTTAAAAAAAAAATTATTTGTCTGGCCATATAAAAATTCGTGGATCAATATATCAGTATATAATATATTTATACGACAAATACGCAGTTTCGTATACATTCTCGAGCTCTAATTCTTTTCTTTTTTTTCTTTTTTTTTCTAAAACACATCTTAAGTACAGCTATTTTCTACTTTATTTTTTTCTTTCTAAGATAAAGGAGAAACCTTTAGTATTTGGATTACGTGTTTTAATAATTAAACATATGATAGTGGTTTCTGTTAAAACATTATTTTCATTTGACTATCATCAAAACGTATCAGAGTTAAATGAATTATCATGTTTAAATGTGTTACGTTGCTAATTATTTGAACGTTCCTTTTGCATCCTAGAAAAGAAAAAGGGAAAAAATGTATACCACTGCGTAATGAAAAGAATTGACTCTGAATGTTGAACTCACAACGCGTTACATTCGAACAAAAAATCTTGTAAGAAATATTTGTTTGGAGGAAATAGCTTTAAACCTCCAGTCAGCGTTCATTTTATGATAAGTACTTAGATGTTAATCGAAATGACCGCGCAAAATTGTGCATGTAGGAAGCTTTCCTATTTCTTGTATATTTATAAATGTTAAAATATTAAGTATATTATGAATATTTTTGTTTGATTGTGATATTTGAATATTATGAATACATAGTTCAAGCATGAAACTACGAACTGTTCGTTCACATACAATTATTTATGCTCGGGAATGATTGCTACGACGGAACGCAAAAAGTATATGGAATATATAATCTCAAATTATAAATTCTGTACTTTTTCGATTTGACAAAGAGAATAAAAAAGAAAAAAGAAAGACACGAATTGATTCAACGCAGTATAATATAAATACTATAATAAAGAAATTCTACTATACTATGATAATATCATTATAATACAATGATAGTATGAATACTATCATTATTTGTTTTCTGTAACTGTGAGCACAGTTGAATGATGTATCTCAACCAATTATCGAACGACATAATTTGTTGTGATTTGCAAATCTCAAACACCTACTTTCTTCGCTGTTATTTATCATTTACACTTGCTTTTGCCATCAAGTAGTTTTTTCCACAGATCAAATTGTTCGCTATACTTGACCATGTGAATACTAATACCTCGTTGTACATTACATGCACTATACGATATCTTTTTATTTAAAAATTCGTTCGCATGCGTCCTTTTGATTCCCAGCTTGTTTGCCACTATACCAGTCACAAAAACATCTTCAAGTTTCAGGTATGTTTGGTCTAATGCCGTATCGTACAATTTTCGTACGATATCGCTGGACAAAAGATATGCTGGTCCAGTAGTGAAGTCTGGAAAAGTAGCATGTTCAAATTGCGCTTGAGATACATAGTACTTGCTTTTTTTGTTCCTAATTGGCTTCCATTTTTTAGCTAGTCTACCAAATATTACGTTCTTGTCTTTTGCATGCTTAATTGTGAAAGCTTGTAAACGTGGAACATTAATAAACATGTCGTCATCAGTCTTTAAAATAAATTTAACCTTGGAGCAATAACTATCTACCCATTCAAGAGTAGAGATTGTTTTAAGCGTCAAGTTGGAATAGGAATCTAAAAATTTTCCTCGTATCACGTCGTTGTAGGTTTTCTGTTCTTTTCTTAAAATTGTTTCCACTTTGGAATCTATAGTTGCACCTAACATGAACAAGATACTAATATCGGTTCTCTGACCAAAGTGGCCCCATGTTTGTCGTATTGCCATTCTAGCATCTAGATGAGTTGGCGCAGACATTATTATTATTACCAGATCCATTTCTTTACCAAAATTTGGACATCTTTCTGGAATTGGTACCATATGGCCAGCTTCATAAATAGCACGTGCAGAATACTCATTAGGAAGCACAGAGACAGCTTTAGTCTCGTTCACAATCTTTTCCATTTGAGTCGATGGTTTTTCACTACTTTGCTTGGGAACAACTGATATGTTTGCAACTTGAGAACTAGAAGACGTTGACTGTATAGTAATCACAACATTTGAGAGATTAGCATTCTGTACACTGTAAGGCTCAATGACAGATAATTCTGGAGAGTCATTCTTGGACAAAACTCCTATGTGAATCTCTACACTGGCATTTGATCGTTGCTTATAAATCTCCTGAGATGCAGATCGACCTAAATAGAATACATATTTCTTAAAACATGTGAACAAATATTGTTGACATAATCATCATCAATAGGGCATACAATACATACATTTCTTTACTGTATGTGCAATATCATTTAGTGTTTCATGTTAGCATTTACAAGAACAATACTCACTAATGTTTCGTGGTACAGTATACTGAGGAACATCATAGAAAGTGGTGCGATAGTATGCATAGAAAGTCAAACAGATCAATCCTAAAATAAGCGTTCGCAAAGGGCGACTACGAAGATGTAGTAATTGATACATGCTGATCTTCTTTATTGTGTTTATTCTGTTTATTTTCCCTTCAGATCAAATTTTCCGTTTTCATCTACGTCATTGTGCTATTCAATTGGGTGCACGACACCTCATTCGCCACAAGATTTGTTCAAACTTCTATGTGATTGCGAGTTCGGCACAATGAATTGACAAGTATTTAAATAAATAAATTACTCTCATATTGCTTCGTTCGAAATTATTGTACGAGAATTATTTCGATCTTCCTCTGATTTATCTTTCATGATATAAAACTTGTTTAGAACAGATGTCGGTATAACAATTGTTCAAATCTCCTTTGTAATCCACATTCTTTAACCAACATACGTCAATCTCCGGCACATTGTATGTACATCAATACGCACACCTTTAGTAATATCAAGAAGAAAAATAGACGAGCGTATTTATACAGAGGAATTTACGTAACTTTCGTGCTTGTTAAATGAAGGAATCGTCCTGGCTGCCATCGTATTTATTTCTTCGTTACAATGATGTCGATATGTTTCACGTCGATCATCGATCTCTATTCATATCGAAAATAACGAAACTCGTTTCACACGAGTTTTCGACTCAACTGATCTCTCGAATGGCGGAGAGAGAACTATCGATGATAGTCGCATTTCCATTTCTCTCTTCAAGATGTCGTTGTTGTCACTTCTCTATTTTCATTCGATCGTTCATTTCGTGAAAAGCGGGAAAATGATTAATCAGTCTAATAGCAATTTTGCGATTATTGATTTTCAATTTGGTGGCTACGATGTGGTAAATTTGAGAAATTTATAATTTGAAGGTTAGATGTAATTGCATCGATCGAAGGGAAAAAGGTAACCATAATATTGCGAAATAATAGGACATTATCATAATAAAGTAAAAATGCGGAACAAACGAAAAGCGAAATTAATGAACTAAAAAAAAAATAAATAAATAAAAGAAGAAAAGAGGAAGAAAAAAATTCAAAGATAGAATAGAAATGCAACAGATACGAAAATATTTCGGAATGTCTCTCTTACGAAATTTGAAATTGCAGCTGGTGTAAAATACGAGCGATTAATCGATAACCTATTTTCCCGTAGTTGGCAGAGTGCCAGAATTTCAAGTGAATGCGCTGACTCTGAGAAGGCAAATGGCGTAACCTCGTCCTAGGTCATGATTGTTTTCATGTTTACTGGACTAGCGAAATTAATAACGAGACCATCATGGTAGAATTATTGAACTGTTCCATTATGACTAAGCTGTGGCAACAATTTACTTGATTAAATATCGATCGACATGTGCATGTATGCCCTTACCAGGAGCAGGAACGAATCACGTACATATCTTTATGTATCATATACTAATAAGTACATCGATAAATATTACTCATAATCACTGGCATCTTATCTGAATGGCATGTCATTTTCTTAGGTACATTTTTAGCCCAACGCACGGTTACACTTCGGTTAACAACAAGGATCGATTGAAAAACAAGTTTGCAGTAGAAACGTTTTACGTGAATGTGTTAAATTTTGATGGAAACAGCATATATTGAATTGCGACACGTGAGAAACAGACGTGTTGTTTTTATTTAGGATTTAAAGCACATTTTTAAGCATCTGGATTCTAGATACTAGATTTTAGAGAGAAACCACTTGACCTAAAACGTCGAGCACAAGCGAGTTGCTCGTTAGCAAGTGGTCGATCAGAATAATTTTTCATTACGATTACATTTGAAGTTTGGTTTTCAAAACGATGAGAAGAAGCAAATCAGGAACTATCGGTTCGTCAATGATCAAATCCGGTAATTGATAAGTCGACAATTTAAGAAATCGCGAATGCGGGATGAGAATTATAAAATGTTAATGAAAAGACAGAATGAACAGGAAAGTGAATTGTTCGAGAAAGTATAGAGTATGCATCGATATAAGAAGAGAAGAACGGCAGTAGTAACGTCGGATGACGAGCAACATTGACAATCGCGCGCATCCAATCGATGGCCCACTGCCACTTCGTTTCTGCCTAGAGCCCCCATCTTTCTTACTTTCTCTCTACCTCTCTTTTTAAACGCCTTCTTCGACACACCCCATTCTCCATTTCGTTCTCTCGTTCTCCGACTCAAGCGTAGTTTAACGCTTCTTTCTCATCTTTATCGGCTTACTTCATCCAATTATTTTTCATAAAAAGATTCTCCTTTTTTTCTTCTTTCCTTCAGTTCAAAGTTAAATTTTCAAATGTATTAGGTCATTTTTACAATCATATTTGCTTTTATTTTCTAGTTTCTTTTTTTTTTTTTTTTTTCCCCTTTATCGAAGAAAACGCGTGATGGTAACACTTCGTTACATATAACTTCGTTGTTATTTTCTTTTCATTTCTGATTATTTCGCTTGCTGCACATTTTATTTCGATTTTCACGTATATTTCCGAGTATTACATTTCTCTTTTTTTTCAGTTTTTCTTCCTTTCCGACAGTTTGTCTTTATCGTTGCGAGTGTTTCCCTAGCGGCGTGTACGGCAGCGGCCGCGTCGGCGTCGGCGTCGGTGCCAGTATCGGCATCGGCGCTATCATCTCGGTTAGTAGACGAACGAAGGCGGTCGAGTGCGTTGGGGTACGTCGCGATCGTTGAGAGTTCATTCCGTCCACTCTCTTTAACCTTCGTTCACGCTTATCAATATCGGTCGATGTATGTTGTACGGTAGCCGGTGCATCAAAGAAAATCATCTATTCTTTATTCTTTCTTTTCTAGTAGATCGCAGTGCCGCGTTACGGCGTTAAGCATTTGAAAAAGTAAACCTGATCCAATTCAGCAACGCGAGAGAAAGCTTTCGGAGTGGATTCCAGTGCGATAGCATGAACGCAGGATGATCTGCCGATATTCAGGGTCATTGTGGCCGCGTATCGCTTGAAAAGAAAGGTTGGTTTCCGTAAGTTCGTAATAACGATCGCGAAAGCGGTGACACGTGCGCATGCACGAAAGAGAACAAGAGTGCATGAAAGAGCAAAGGAGAATACGAACACGAGCGAGCGTGTGTGTCAGTAAACGAAACAGAGAAAGAGATAGGTATACAGATAGATAGATGTAGGTATAGAGAAAAAGAGAGAAACAGAGAGAGGGAGAGAGAGAGAGAGAGAGGAGAGAAATTCACTCCAACAAGTAGATTCATTTCCGAAGTTCTGTGCAACGTGACACACCCAACAACCACCGAACAACGGGACACGATGCATTCTTTTTAATTCGTTTTCACGTTTCACATTAAATCGATAGGTGTCTGACTTTCGTGTCTATTTTCGCTTTCGTTTGATTCAATGATCTTAAAGATAACGAACATCAAGATCAAAACACTAGGCTCTGTTTTGAACGAATTTAACGAGAATCGAATGCAGCTCGAACGACTATTAGCAATAATAAATGTTAAAATCACAGGAAGGAAATGCACGAAGTGTATCACTACCGGCAGTTGTGCGCGTTTCGATTAAAACGGAAATGTCGGTAACTACGTACGTGCTGTTTTGTATCGGTACGAATAGCATTCTCATAAACGTTTATTCGATTCTCTTCAACTCAGTTCAACATCAAAAGAGTAACACGTATGTACGTACGATACTTTATTATAGATAGGCCGTCTTCTCTATTTTATGTTTCCTTAACCGAGTTCCACTGTTTAAATGTCAAATGAGGCCTGGTTGGATTATCGCGTCTCCCTTATCGTTTTCACGTGCGTGGAAAACAGTAACGAGTAAACTCGGGCAGAAGGGAAGGGTGTGTGTAAACATTAATTACACTATGAATAAGAGGAATCGATATGAAACGCATTGAGGAGGAAGTTCTCCTCTCCTTCGAAGCACGTGCATATGTTATTTATAGAATGATAAATGCGTGAAAATGCAAACATAAGGAGTGGAAATATAGGCCAATATAAAAGGGATGAAGCGCGAAGGCGTGAAAGATGTGCGTGAATATAAAGTATGGCCACGCTAAAAGAGTTAAGCCGGTTATTCAGGATTCGAATTTAAACTCGCGCTCGGACTGTGCCGCGGCGCGGCTTATCGACGTTGCGTTAGAAATATTTACATATCTGGGTTAAATATGTAGTTAGAGCTCATATACGGGTGATTATAACGAACCCGTGGATTTCTTTTTTCGAGTTGGCACCACGTCGCGTCGTTCCGCTTCGTACGATATCGTCGCTTCCGATACACAAATACACGAAAGGATCGATGATCCGCGCATTGCTTAATCAGAATTTGTCGCCGGGTTTCATTCCGTGTCGCGTGTCTGACGCGCGAGCACGCGCGCAAGTCAATCTTTGATCGAAGAGGAAGTAGAGTGACGCGAAAGAGCAACAAAGAGAATAGAGCTGCACGGAGACGAACGAATGGTGAACAATCGATATTCGTTGCATTTAAACCGGCAAACCTGTTTGTTGCGCTTTTATTTCCTTAGATATTCTTTCACTGCAGTTTATATATTTCTTATTTCAAGCGTAGAAATGAATATAAGAAAGAATGCAAGTGCGAAAGTAGAATAGAGATACAGATAGAGTAGGATACAAAGAAAGAGAGGGAGAGAGAGAGAGAGAGAGAGAGAGAGGGTGGGAAGGAGGGAGGGAGGGAGTTTTGGTACGCAAAGATGAAAAGAAATTGGTTCGATTGTAGGTGTGGTGGAGAAGAAGAAGAACGGATCCGTGACTGAGAGGAGAGGTTCCTCGGAAATACGGAAAGTATATCCTGAGGAAGCAAAATGATCGACCCGAGCTCATCAGAGTCGGAAAGCGAGGAGGACCAGAGTTCTCAGCATGTCGCGACTGTCGGTAGCAGCGGAAGTGGCGGAGGTAGCAGTGGTGCTCGTGTTGGGAGCAGTAGCTCGTACGGATCCCGGCGACAGATCGGGCCTGGAAGTAGCCTTGGCGGCTCGAGTGGTCCCATATCAGGTAGCATGAGTTCGTTAGCTTCACCAGGAGGCTCGATCTATGGATCCGTTGGGACACTTCGTGCTGGCGCGGCTACCGGTCAGGATAGTTCATTGGAATCCTCTAGTTTCTCCACTGCGAGAAACTCGTTGTCGCCTTCTATGTCTGCTGCCCAGGATGCGGCAAGTTACGCTCAGAGACCCACTAGCCCTTCGCCTTCCGTTGCTAGCGAGAAAGCCGAAACGGAGCTCCAGGTATATCCTTGTCTTTTGCCTAAATTGTTTAATTGTTTATCGTGATTCTGGCTTGTTTAGGATAAGCAAGAGCGGGAAGAAGAGGAGAGGAAGACTAGGATACAGTTGTACGTGTTCGTGTCGAGATGCATTTCGTATCCGTTTAACGCCAAACAACCGCTGGATATGAAGAAACGCCAACTAAAAGTGACCAAGCAGCAACTCGAAACAATATGTTCTCGTTTTCAGGTAATCATTCATATTTCTTCATTGCATTGCGTTCTTTATGAACAAACAAGAGATATTCTACGTTTGTTTATATTTCTTCCTTGTCCCCCGTTGTATATGTAATTATACATATATCGTCTCTTGAGATGCAATTGACTATTGTAGGTGGAAACGTCATATAGTACAATTGTAAAGTCAGCGAAAGAGAGCGAAAGTTCATATATCCCGAGTGCCAAAACGTGCCAAAACGTGCCAACTTTCAATCCCTTTCAGAATCGTACAATGCCAATTTCAGACTGCTTTTGTGTCCTTTTCTGAAGTCGTAAATTTTAATAATCACAGGTTAATTTTTATCAATACAACAATTAAACTATAACAGAGACTTGATATTGTTTTAATAAAAGATTATAAGCAGAATATTAATTCACTTTTGCACTTTGAGATAATAAATAAAATTAAATTAAATAAAATAAGATAAACAAACTTCAACATAACTGCTTGTATAGAACGTATAATTATATTATTTAAGAGGTCTCTGTTAAAGCTTTAATCAACCATTATCGTCTCCACTGAGTATATGAATACATACTATATACGTATAAGTAACTGAAAGATTGAGAATGCAAGAGACAGCCAGACAAGGAAAAAGAAAGAGACAAAAGAAACCTTTCTGAGAAGATATAACACGATGGAAGAAGCCGTATATCCTCACTTATGCGCAAATTCGTCACGTACGAGTAACCTTCACCTTCAAGTGACTGATAGAAGGAGAGTGATTGACGAGTCGATGTCTGATCTTATAATTCATAGAAAGAAAAGGGAAAAGCAAGAGGGTAGGAAAGAAGGTGGCTCATATGCTTCATTATGATTTACAGAGTTTTCTAAAGGGAGAAACGCAGATAATGGCGGATGAAGCGTTTCGCAATGCCATACAGAATTACTACGATGTGTTTTTAACGTCGGATCGACTGCTACACATGGTGCAAAGCGGTGGTTGCTCTCAACTCGACTTCCGCGAGGTGTTCAAGGAGAACATAAAAATACGTGTTCTACGCTTCCCGGAAATCGATGGATTGAGCAAAGAGACTGTACTTACGTCCTGGTTGGCCAAGTTCGATTGTATCATGAAAGGTTCGGGAGACGAGGAGACCAAGAGGCCTTCCAGGATGCAACAACAGTCTTTGCTCTCGGAGATGATTCTGCCGAAGGAGCAGCTGTACGACATGTTTCAGCAAATTCTTGGCATCAAGAAGTTCGAACACCAGCTTCTGTTCAACGCCCTCCTGTTGGATTCAGCCGACGAGCAGGCTGCCGCCATCAGGAGGGAGCTGGACGGTCGCCTTCAAAGGGTCAACGAAATGGAAAAGGTAACGCTTTTCGATGCATGCTTCCTCTCTTCACGCTTTTTACTTAACCAAACATAGTAGAATCTCGTTCATCCGTAATTCGTTTATAAGAACAAGTTAATGCTCGGCTTCAAATGTACAAATTTATAGCTGAGTCTTACTATTACTTGGATTGTAGTTGAGCAACAATTTTAATTATACGAATGCATGTTATTTATAATAAATCTACATTGTTAAAAAAAGGTAGACTATATTTATAAACTGTGATTCTAGATATTAAGGTTACGAAAAAAATTCATGTATAAAAAAATTTCATTTAATTCCTCATTTTTTAAGTTGAATTCTTCAATATTTCTTACTCGGAGGAAACAAATGAGAATTTTAATATTGATCTCATTCGATTCAAAATGAGAAACATGAAGTAAAATTTGAAAAGAGACACGAGATAAATATTCGTCAGCTGATTCACTGATCTACACAGAATGTATTTTTAACGTAAATTTACATGAATTTTCCTCTTGTAATTAGAATCATATTTTATAGATATCACCCACTTTTTCTTAATACCCTGTATATGCAATTATTTGTTCGTATTAGAATTGCTAATGAAGATCACAAGAAAAGAACGTGATAAGCAATTTTAATATTGAACACGCTATCAATTAGTTTCGCATTAAAATATTTCCTATATTTTTCATTCTTGAATCAAATTAATTGTTGCAATATAATATAATTGACTGAAAATATTGATTGCAATTAAAATTATTTGTTTACAATAATGACAAATCTAAGAAATTGTACTCTTTTCAACATCAAAACCCAAAAGACAAGAATCGACAAATAAATTCTTCTTGTATGCTTTTCAAATTCTGCGCATTAAAGAAAAAACAGTCGAAAAGCTGGAAATAAGCGTTATTACCAAATTATTCGATAGAGGTAATCCTCGTAGACTTAACTCAGACGGGCGACTCTAGAAACACATCATAATCACAAAACAGTGGTTGAGCTACTGGTGAAATCAACCATTCACGTATGACTTTTTATTAGTTGCTTAAAAATTTCTACAAGATGACAAGTTTAGTATCAAAATAAATTTCGAAGAGGAAACATTGTGCTGGCGGTGACTGGTTGGTAAGTGATCCACGAGTAGTCGGTGTGTCATGATTGTGCTCAACCACAGACGGTAACAATTTTGCGACGGTGATGCCGTCCACGTGTTACGACGACCGAAACTGACTTCAATTAATGGTTCGTCTGAGCACTATTATGCGTTTCCATATTAATTCATGACTGCCTGTGAGCAACCACCGTTTTCTAATTGTGATATGGTTCTAAAGTGGTCCGTCTGAATCAAGTTCTTATTCGAGCTACTTTGTTCGCACGGAAGTTAACGAGATTCTACTGTAATAATTTTTTTCTTTTATTTGCCTATAATACACGATCATTACGATCGCTGTTTTCCTCTTGTTCGATAGAACCGCAAGCTTATGCCCAAGTTCCTTCTAAAAGAAATGGAGTCGCTCTACATCGAGGAACTTAAGTCGTCTATCAACCTGTTGATGGCTAATTTAGAGTCATTACCGGTCTCGAAAGGTTCGACAGACAGCAAATACGGCCTGCAGAAGCTGAAGCGCTGCAATCACCGTCGCGAGCGCTCCCGCTGCCGCGGTCAGGGTTCTCTCGTTAAATTGGAGAGCGACTCCGCTGACTCGGAACCGCAGTTAACCAAAATGGACGTAGGCCTGACCTTCCAGCTGGCTGTGGTAGTGGTAGAGGTCAGGGGCTTGAAGAGTTTGCCGCCGAACAAGATAGTTTATTGCACGATGGAAGTCGATCGTGGCAAAAAGCTGCAAACCGATCACGCTGAAGCTTCGAAACCTATGTGAGTAGTAGCGCAAACAATAATTAGACTGCCAGTAGAGCTAGGCCCAAAGCTAAAAGTCCAAGATGGATCTTAGCAAAAAACTGAACTACCTTTGAAACTTTGATTCATCTTTTTATTATATCCAACACTTTATACTGCACCGACTCGTTCATATATCATTTTTCTTCTCTTCTATTTTCTTTTCCTCTCTTTCGCCGCGTCGACTTACAGGTGGGATACACAGGGTGACTTTACCACTATGCAACCGCTTCCACTGGTCAAGGTTCGACTCTACACTGAAAATTCGGCGATGCTCGCGCTCGAGGACAAGGAGTTGGGCAAAGTGCATATACGACCTACACCGTTTTCCTGCAAACATCCAGAATGGTATCGAATGTCCGTCCCAAAGAATTGTCCCGACCAGGACCTCCTTATCAAAGTTGGTTGTCGAATGGACAAGCCTTTCAACATGAAACACTGTGGTTATCTTTATGCAATGGGCAAGTCTGTGTGGAAAAAGTGGAAGAAACGATACCACGTGCTAGTTCAAGTTTCTCAGTACACGTTCGCGATGTGCTCGTACAAAGAGAGGAGGAGCGAACCCTCGGAGATGATGCAGCTGGATGGTTATACGGTCGATTATATCGAACCTGTTTCTGCCAATCTTATGGTTGGCATGGATCTAGATGACGGGAGGTAGATATTATCTGTGTGCATGTTCAATGAAGTATGCTAGAACGAAGAACAAGTGCCGCAGTTACAATTTATTTCATTCGTCATAGCTTGTTTATGCCTCTTATATATTGATTTCATATTGTTTTTATGTTATTTATATTAAACAATGAATTTTGTTTTAGATTGCGATTTGGCATGAATTTCTGCTAAATACATAAAGATATTTTAGATTACGATTTCAGATTGTATTAGATCAAACAAATTTAGAATGAATTATATTTCTTTGCTAATCATATTCGTTCCAGTCTACTCCAGTGTATATATATATATGTATGTGTATTATGACGATTTATATACGATTGGATATAATTGTGATAATACTCGTGATTGCAATAGCAATATTTACAGATATGTAGTTATTTAATCCGTAGCTAATAAGATAAGATTTGTGAATTTTTTTTTATAAATTATGTTACTTACAATCAATTCTTACAGAGAATCATAAATACGGCTAGAATCAGACATCTCAGTCACTCTAATATTTCATTATGAAAGAGATATACTTAAAGTCACTTATAGTTAAACTATAAGTGTCTGTAAGATAAATTTTAATCCATCCTCAGTTATTTCTTTTTTATTTATATTAATGTTATTTATATTATTATATTTTATTTATATTAATATTATCTATTATATTTATCAATATCTTAGTAAATATTCTCTTGAAATCTGTGATTAAAGTATTTCAATTATTATTATTATTATATGTGGTTGCTCAACATAAGATCAGAGACTAAAAATAAATATCTATATTCATATTTATAATATCTATTTACATATTATATTTATATTTGAAGTATATTTTATATATATTTATTTATACTTTTTATATTTAGAAGTAGTGTACATACATATCGAAGTGTTAAATAGGTGACAATGAATGAAGAAAGCGTATGTTTATTGCACATTATTTTTTACAGATTTTATTTTAACGCCGTTCGCGAAGGGGACAACATAGTGTTCGCCACGGACGACGAGAACGAGTGCCAGACCTGGGTGATGGTCATGTACAGAGCGACCGGCCAATCTCATAAACCTACTCCACCAGTTTCCGTTGCAGACAAAAATTCTACTATCAGTAAGATACAGGGCGACGCCGATCGAGCGAAAAAGCACGGAATGGAAGATTACATTAGCGCGGATCCTTGCAAATTCGATCACCACAGTCTCTTCAAGTTTTTACAAAACTTGATGCTGGATTATCGATTGAACGATCCATACTGTTCCCTTGGTTGGTTTTCGCCCGGTCAAATATTCGTTCTGGATGAATATTGCGCTAGGTAACGCGATCGCGAGATGCGGGAAAAGATTTCTTCGTATTTGAAACAGAGCGTCGTGAACTTGCACTCTCATCCACTTGCCTTCGCAGATACGGAGTACGAGGCTGTTTTCGACATTTGTGCTACTTGCACGATCTACTGGATAGGATCGATCGCGGATACATGATCGATCCAACTCTGATTCACTTTAGTTTCGCCTATTGTGCCAGCCACGTCTACGGTAACCGCACGGAGAGAATCGGCTCCATCACTCACGAGGAGAAGGAGAAATTTCAAGAGATCAAGGACAGGCTCAGACAGATTCTCGAGGAGCAAATTACTAATTTTAGGTAAAGAACTTTTGTCAATTGCAATTACAGTAGCTAATAATAATAATTAATTTATTAATAGCAACGAAATAGTAGATTTCCTTTATCGTTTCTTTTTTGTATTTCTTTGTATTATACACTGCATTAAGATTGAAATTTAGTTGAAATAATTGAAATAATTGAGAACTTTTGTATCAACAAGTTTCTCTTAGTAATCAATCATTTTAATTATCAGCTATCAATTAGTTTAGTTGTAATAAATTATACAGGTACTTTAAATTCTTTGATACAGTAGTAATAAATTAATTAGAAAAATTAAATTTTTGCATGTGATTTTAATTTAATGAGGAATGTTAATGTCTAAACTATTAACAAGAAACACCACCTAAGTGTGATACACCGATTTTAACGAAACTTTATATATTTATAGTACTACATTCGTATATGTCGATCAAAAAGATAAGATTCTTCCATTGGCACAATTCTTAATCTATTTATAGTATCACATCCATATTTGCCGTTCAAAAATGCAAGATTCATCCACTAACACAATTCCTGATCTATTCATAGTACTACATCCATTTGTTGTTCAAAAAACTGACATAATTCTTTTCTCTATAAATAATATTTTGAAATATTTAAGAAAATATGTAGGTATATCTTCGATATTTTAAGCTGCTTTTGGTCGTTTTCGAGATACTTATATTTATCTTAAATTAAAAAATATCTTAAATTTAAACAAAATATAATAAATTCCTTATCTTAGTATGCATGATTTTTCAGTTAAATTTTATGTTAAACATCTTTTTAAAACTTTATAAATCCTTTTTATTTTCCACAGTGAGTGTAAGATTGAAATATAAAAATTTAAGAACTAGCATTAATTAATTGTTTTGTATCTATAAATGTGAACGATTAGATACTAATACGTACGACTTGAATACTTTTTATTGCATTAAGAATACGTAAAATTTCGTTAAAATCAGCCACACTTGGGCCTTATTTACTCATCAGTTAATAAATCCCTTATCAACACGAGCTCTTATTGAAATATACAGATATACCTTTCCTTTTGGTCGACCGGAGGGTTCACTGAAATCTACTTTGTCTCTTTTGGAACGAGTAATAGTAAAGGATGGCTCCAGTGTTGTCTCCCAAGAAGAAGTGAAGGCTTTGTTCAAGAGTTGCCTTGAAAAAGCTGCTCTTGTTAATTACACGAAACTTTCTGCCGAAGCGAAGATCGAAGATGACTTCAGCGGTGAGGTTTGTGTTCCGCCTAGCAAGAAACTCGAGGACCTCATTCATCTTGCCGAAATGTGCGTTGATCTGCTTCAACAAAACGGGGAGCACTACTCGAAGGTATTAGTTTCTACTACTGAGTGTCATCTTTTCTAGATCCTCGAGAAGCGAGATTAATTATCTACGTGATGAAAAAGGCAAATAGTATTGATAGACTGTGGATTTTCACACATTTATAAAAAAAAAAAACCTAAAATTGCGAAATACTCAAAATACGCGTAATATGAAATATCTAAAATATAGTACTTTTTATAATATTCTTTTTAACATATAGTCTCAAAAATATGAATTTAAGAATAAAAATCCGCAGTCTCATGATTATATTCACATACTCATGTTCACATGAATTGCATTCACGCTTAAGTTACATTCTCACTGAAGCAACAACGAGAATATTTTCGTAGCCTGTTGTTGCTGCATGTTCCAAAAGATGAAACAAATATCATATTTATATTGTTCATAAGAATATTTAAATTTCGATTTTAAGAACATTTTTTTATCTATAAGTTCATTCAGACACAAGTGTAGTTAGTTTGCTTCAAATAGAAAATAACGAAGTCTAGTAGTTTGTAGTAATTAGTTTGTTATTTGTAGCTATAGTGTTGCTGCATAGTAGAGAAGTATATCTCTATGATAGAAGCAAACAATTAAATTTCTTGTTTAGCTTCTATTGCATCTGCTTCAAAAACTTTTGGTAATTTATAAGCATTCTTTCTGCATTCATGTTGTTTGTTAAGAACAAATTCACTTATATCTATATTCTATAATTAAATTAATAATTAGATTGTAATCCGTTATTTCAATGCACTCTACTAATACTTTGTAAAGTAAATAACGAAATATACAGGATGTCAAGTCTATTATAATTCAATTTTATATCTTTAGACTTATAAACTTGAATTCAAAACTCAAGGACAAATTTACCTCCTCTTTACAAATGTTCATCAATCGGAAGATTTAAAACTACGATAGTCGTGACATGTAATTTCCTTACATCCTGTATACATTGAAAGAACATTTGTTGTCATGTTGACGCATTTTCTCTATAGTATGTAGTGGGATTTGAAACGTTTCGAGTCGCTTCAAATCCCACGACAGATTCGAATAGAACTACAAACATGGTTTGCCACTTAAAACTCTTGAAAGTCTTGATATGCCTTGAGTCTTTAAAAAAGTCTTAAAAGTCTTAATCGTCTTGAAAGTTTTGAAGATCTTAATCTTCTTGAATGTCTTGAGAGTTGCGATAGAGTTCGATAGCGTGATAAATATGTTACAAGCCTTTTGATTATTGTAGTTTAAATAGTATCAAACATAGAACCTAAATTGAAATTTGCTTCTTCTATTAAACATTATAATAAATATGTATATTTGTATATTTGTATATCTTGTATATTTTTATATAAGATATAAAAGATGTATAAGATAGATACTTTATATATTTCTACATATTACATGCATTGCGCTCTCAAATTTTTCAAGTGTCAAAAAGTGATAAAAATCCGCAATCTAGTTATTTTAAAATACATTTATTATTACGTATTATTACGATGTCTAAAATGACTTAAAATTTATCAAGATTCTCAAGAGTTTTATGCTTCGAGTCATGTTCGAAATGATTCAAATTTTTCGCTGTATATACATAGATTTAAAACAATTCGAAGTATCTCGGATCTCATCAGCGATTTTCCATATCTTTCTCTATTATTGATAGTAGCATTGACAGCATTACATTTGAAAAAAATTGGCATTGGTTAACAAAAATTTATTATTAATAGACTACGAATTTTTGTGCGTGTATAATAAATTTTGAACTGTGGAATTACACAAAATACACAAAATATGAAAAACATCGAGTATAGTGCTGTGGTATTTGATACTGTTATTGTATTTAATAATTTTCTATCGAGATATTTTTAATTATATTTTCAAAAATGGGACTTTAAACATTATAGAAAATTTAGAGAAACATTCAGCAACAACAATCTTCAACAATGTACAATATACTCCGTTTACATGGACTCTATTTATTTGAATCAAAATTTTAGTCAATGCTTGCAATTAGATTACCTAAATGAATTTCCATTGATTTCACTTATTTAAATTTTAAACTCCTATTATATGAACCTTCAAATTTATATAAGAAGAGTTCTACTGTAATTTCAAGTTTCTCAAATTGTTTCTTCAATGAAGTTTCATCTCTATGCTCGCGTGTTTCCATGAATTGTTTTAGTTATTCAGATTATTAGTATCAGTAGAGTATCAGTAGTAGAAATACATAATATAAATGTACATAATATAAGATCAGATACGATCAATAGCTCTTATCGTATCTGCATATACTCGAGGATTCTTTGCTCAGGGCGACGATCCCATCGCCCTGAATTCTATATTATACTTATGCCCTCCGTGCGTATGTGTGACTTCCAATATTCTCACGAGCCGTTCCTACTACACTATACCGCAGGCGTTCGCCTGGTTTAGTGATCTCATGGTGGAGCACGCCGAGATCTTCTGGTCCCTGTTTGCCGAAGACATGGACAAGGTGCTCGCCGAACAACCACGGGACACTTGGGACAGCTTTCCGCTCTTCAAAATCCTGAACGACTACTTGAGAGAAGATGGTACGCGATTCTTTTGTTATTTTTCTGTCTTTTATTTATCCATATTTTCTAGCTACTTGCAGGAAATGTGCCTCGTCACGAATTTTAATGGAATTCTTTTAAATGAGATACTTTCTCTGCAAATTAATCTCTTTTTCTTACTTTTCTTATTTATTTTAATCATCGCCATTCACTATCGTCGAATTTCAAATCACAGAGAAGAAAAGACCAGAAGATTAATTTCTTTTATCTCGGTTCGCAGATAATTTGAAGAATGGCAGGTTCCATCAACATCTTCGCGATACTTTCTCTCCAATGGTGGTGCGTTATGTGGATTTAATGGAAACATCGATCGCACAGTCGATTTTCAAAGGTTTCGAAAAGGAACGTTGGGAGATAAAAGGAAACGGATGCGCTACGTCTGGCGAATTGTTCTGGAAACTCGATGCTCTGCAATCTTTCATCCGCGATCTTCATTGGCCAGATCAAGACTTTCGACAGCATCTAGAGCAGAGATTAACGTTAATGGCATGCGACATGATCGAAACTTGTATCCAACGAACAGATGCTGCGTTTCAACAGTGGCTGAAAAAAGGCGTAACTTTTATCTCCACCGATTACATCATTCCATCGGAAATGTGCGCAATGGTGAACGTTATTCTCGATGCGAAAAACCAAAGTTTTGAACTGTGCACTATTGATGGTGTCGACGTGGTAAGTTCATTTGTTTCTTACTTACCTAGTATGTAGAAAATATATAATTATTCGACATTCAGAAGCATCGTCGGAGTATATTGAATGACGATACAGTGACTCGACGAAAGTATAGAAAATTTTTGTATATTGTGTATAAACAAATATAAATGTTGTATACAATTTTTTGAAATTTCATTAATGTTGCAATCAGTTACGATTATTATAATTAGATTGAGGATATTTAAGCAAAGTATTATTTTCACGAATATAATTAGAAAACTAGAATTTAGGTAGAAAATAATTTTAAACATTGTTAAAAACGTTATACATTGGATATTTTATACATTTTTGCATGTCATATACATTTTACTCATTTTTGTATCTTCAGATTTTCCATAAATGTATAAATATTCATATAATTTTGTAACCATTATGAAAATGTATGTATAAATTATAAGATTTACTGCAAATATACGATATTTAGTATAAAGTATGAAATGGTTTTGCTATGTATTATTGTAGGGCTTATTATCAATATTATAAGTAATATATTATTTAAGTATTTTAATGATCTCTGTAAAATATATAATTTTTATATGTATATATTTTCAGATTCTTATCAAATTTCGATAGTCGAGTTTCATTACAGTATTAATGAAATTTCACAATATTCCGCATAAAATACATAATATTTTTAGGGAAGGTTTTTATAAATTTTTAATACTTTCGTGAGCAACTGCACTCATGTAGAATATAAGTTTTATTTTACTATTACTTATTACGTTACTATAAACATTCATAAATCAATGATGAACAGGGAAAAATAGTAGAGAATTAGTTCATTCAATTTATTCTTGCTTCATAACTAACTAAATATACAAAATATAACTATAGAATAGAATGATAATCATGAGATTTCTATATAATAATTACAGAAATGATAACACTAAGATTAATAAATTTAATTATTCAATTCTAATTATATTTTGACATATATGTCGCATTTCGTACCTAAGAATATATATCCTACATAATAATTGAAAATTTTAGAGTGATTTTATAGTTTCCTCATCATATCACTCTGCATTCATTTCACTATTAATTATTTTCGATTATGATTTCTTTTCAGCATCAATACCATGCCAAAATTGACGATTTGATAGAAAAAACATCAGCCACCATGACCCAAGGGATGATTAATAAGCTAGTCACAGTTTTAGAGACTACTTTATCCAAGTTATCTCGTTACGATGAGGGATCTTTCATAGGATCTATTCTCAGTTTAACGGTAGTTTATCTTTAATATTACGTCCAATGCAAATAAAAATTAACGCATTTATTTTCGAGTTATTTATGAAAATTTTTTTTAGAAGGTATCAGGAAGTGGAAAAGAAATGGGACAGGCCTACGTAAGTTTTACGAGAAACTGTATGGACCAAATTCGAGGCAAAGTTTTGGATGAATTATGGATTTTAACGTTCTTTGAGGTATTATAGACAATTGATCAAACTTCTCTTTTCTATAAAAGTATTTCTTACTTAAATTATTAAGATTTCTTGCAGAATAATTTACCAACTAATAATATTAATAGATTGACAAGTTATAAGTTATACGTTATAGATTTCTCTTTTACAATTTATTAAATCAGATGTCAGACTTATTACTATGTATTATGCTAGAGAAATTATAATCTACTGATAGATCGTTCAATTGTGTAAGAAAGTCCTAGTTACAAACTTATCAATCTTTCTTCCTTTTTCTCTGTTTTTCTTTCCTTTAGCAATGGTACACTGCGCAAATACAAATGCTGTGCACATGGCTTTCGGAAAGGCTTGATCACAGCTTACATCTATATCAATGTACCTGTTTGGCCCATATCGTAAAAAAAATTTACTCGGATTTTGAGCTACAAGGTGTTATAGAAGAGAAACTCAACTCGACAACATATCAGACTATATTTAAGAGGATGCAAACGGAAGAAGCGACTTGTGCCTTAACGAGCGTTCAGAACGAAGAGTGAGTATTCATAATTTGAGCTATGATACCCTATATCTATAATATATCTTTATACCTATAGTATATCTTCTCGGTTGAATTATGACTTATAGTAAGTAAAAGCGACATACTGACGTTAGTTCTTTATCTTTGAATTCCTTATAAATACAAAAAAAATTTGTATTCTAATTACATAACTCATATCTAATTTACATTCTGAAAATATTGATTGAAACTGTTAACGGAGATTGATTTCAAAAACTGATGCAATATATCATGTCGCTTCCACCTACTATGTATATTGATTTTTTTTATCTTCTTTATTAAGAATAAAGACATTTCAACTATTCATTTCTCTTATTCTATAGAGGTCTTTCGGAGAATGGTAATGAAGACGAGGTAGAACGACCAAAAGCAAAAGTAACGGTCGTTGAAACGGTCAACAGCGAGGACGCGAATTTAATCAGCAATGTTACTTCGAACGTTGTTGAGAAAGTTGGAAGCATGTTTGGCAAGGGCATTGGTGGCCTTTCGACGAAGTTTGGTGGACCTAGCTGGTTTTGATTATTTTTCGTATTACCGTTATTATTGCTCATCTTAATTTCTCCTTCTTCTCGGTTTCTTCTATTCATATTTTTCCTTCGTTTTACTTTCACTGTCACTATAATTCAGTATTATCGTTGAGTAGCAATTTGTGATAGTGACAATTACTGTTATTGCTACTAACATTAGTTCATGTTATTATTATTACTGTCTCTATTACGTTTTTTTATATATATTTATTGTTACCATAGTCATCGTTGTCTTTAACATGCAGACGGTAACTTTATATTTAACGAATAGATTGTTTTGTCTATACATATGTACATACAAAATGAGAGTTTCGGCGACAGGATTATTCATAGTACACTTTAGAAATTTGTTCGGACAAAGCATTCTTTGAAGGAGATTGTCCGTTCGATACAATCGACCGAAAGAATAACCCTTATCGTTATCGCACAGACGTGTGTGTTTATGAATTCTTAGTTTTCATGGATTCTATAGGCTTTTCGACAAAACTTCGTTTCGTTGTTCGATTACGTTCGGCCGTTCGTCCAATGAGAGTGTCGCGTCTCTTTCTTTTTTTTTTTCGGATTGTTGCCGATTGATACGCTCGCTCGAACGATGACTGCATATTGCGAACGCGATCAGTGTAACGTCGAAAGGTCTTCTCCTTTATCTTTCTCTCTACCATCTGTGCATCGATAAACGTTTCTTTTGTTCAAACTTTTATAGAGATCGCGTCTCTCATTTATACACATGTAGTAAACGCGCCAATCAACTGTGTATTTCTCAGTTATTTGGACGGTGTGTCTATATTTTAAATGATTCTATACAGTTATTGTTACTGTTGGACGAGTATCTCAAATAGGTGTTCGCATCGCGGGAGTAAGCGGTCTGTAAATTCATCATGTGTACGTTACAGCTATTTGTTCCCACATTTTTCGCATTTTGTGCTATTTCTGTCTCTGACAATTCCTACTTTATTCATACTAATATCACTGTCACTGAAATGTGTAACGATAGCCATATTTATAATATATATATGTATAAGTATTGTTTTAATGTTTAAAAACGAAGATTCGTCAACGAAGGCTATCTTATTTTTGGTATGGATTCGCGTTGCTACGATTCAGAACTGTTCAATCAGTGTTTGATACTGATTTATCACACGATCGCTCGTTTCTTCTCATAGCAAACAGGAAATGACCGATAATTTTTTTTAAACGATTGGTATAGTAACATCATATTGACCGCCGAGCCCTTCGAATTTCTTGTCTACCTCAAATTGTCCGTGTAATAAGTACACCGTAAATAACGCCACGGAAAATTTCAGTCTACATAAGAAATAAGGAACACACCGAATCGTCGAAAATAACGAACGAACGAAACGAACGAAACAAACGAACGAACGAACGTACGAACAAACAATGATAATATGCCAAAAGTATAAAAAGATTTCGATGTGTCTTCCGATCGACGTGTACTTTGGCCATCTCAGTGTACGTGAAACAAATGCATACACGTACGTTTAATCGTTTTGTTCCCATTCGATGCACGAGGAAACAAACGCTTGTCATTAAATAGAGAAACGATTGACGAACGAAGTGCAAAAGCTCTATTTAAAAATACTTTGTTCGAGGAGAATGCGTGCTGCATTCGAAAAGAGTTATCGGTAGCCGTTTATTTGTACATATATATTAGAGGGGGAAAAAAACGATACAAGGGAAAGGAAATTTTTATATCGTGTAAATTAGCGCGTTGAAATGTTGTTTACGCGTCCAATTGTATGACACGTGCGCCGAACCCGGGCCCGCGTTCGCTACTGCGCCTGCGCATGCATTTGTACCTGCGCGCGCATTTACGCCTGCGCCCGTGCCCGCGTTCCCGCGCTTCAACACAACGCGTGTCGTTGATTAGCGAGAAAGAAACTCTATTGTTCGATTCGATTCTTGTAAAAAAAAAAAAAAAAAAACAATTTCCTAGATTATTCTTTCGACAGAATTTCTCGACGCGTGAACACACGCGTCAAGTTATTTCTTATCACAGATGCCTTTCGTACTCTCGGTATACACGCATCTGTACGCATAGATTGTTACGCATTTTGCGATTAATTGGTACGGAGCAGTTTGACAAGCTCTCGAGTTATTACATATGTTATTACATACGTTATATTCTAGATTAAATAATGATGAAATTCACTGGGAAATTCGATCCTCCTTGGAAATGTGGTTTGCTTCCTTTCGTTGCGATCGTTTGTCGCGGGTACACAACGATCAACGTTCTCGAAGTAAACGCGCGAAAAACGATTAAACGATTCGATGCCATCGAACGAATTGAGTTTACAGTTTAATCAGAGAAGCATCATATCAGGATATTTTCGATGTCAGAATGCGCAACGAGACGGGCATTTATCTCGGAATTCGGGCACATTGGAAGAACAAAACGTACAACCGAGAGTAGTGGACGTTATCAAAACTGAAGTTAAATCGTTGTAGTGTACTTACAGCCGATGCTAACGGTACTACAATTATTATGATCATTATCATTCTTACTATCGACGATTCTTCTATAATCTACGGCTAATTAGACTAGAATGATCAAGAAAGAATCTCTTTTTGCTCCGACGGCAATATTCTTACACCAGTCACGATATTTCTCTCTACGACCTCACGTTATTTATTTGTCTATTTATTTATTTATTTATTCATTCATTTATTTATTTATTTATTTATTTATTTATTTATTTATTTATTTATTTATTATCTTTCTTTAATTTTAATCTTATTTTATGCCTTTTTACAGCTGCACATTCGTGCGCGCAAACACATACACACATAAATACGCGTATACACAAATATATACACAAATTGATACAAATACACAGGAAGAAACAAATACTTTACAATTAATAAAAAAAACATTCAAGTCCCATATTTTTTGGGCCTTCTCTTCGTTCTCTTATCTTACTTAATCTCGATTGCGTTATCACAATTTTAATTACAAACTAAACAGAAGGTCTTTTACTCTAGCTAGTGTTTTACTCGATTAAACTTCTATGCAATTGTTGTTCTCTCATTAATAAAAAGTCCAACAAAGGAAAAAAAAGCTATTACGGTCTAGAACGTATACCCAAACTGAATTTCCTTCTCGAGATATCGATGCACGGAGATGTTTCATTGTCATTCGTTCATGTATTACGTTTCATCGTGTATTCTTTTCGCCCGTTCTGTACGTATACTCGAAACAAGATTCTAAACACAATCACGATGCAAATGTCTTTGCATACAATGCTCTTGTATGATTGTTAACAACGTATGCATTTTCTATAAAGGCAATCCTCATGCACGCACGCAACACGCATTTTCACATAGCATTGTCATTGTACCATGAGCGAATACTTTTTGTAAATAAACAATATGCTAATGTTGGTACTTTGTCTCCTTGATCTAAGGATTCGTAAGCCAATTTTGTTTTCGTTCAAGTACATCATCGATCGTATCACCTACTTAATTCCTTATCAATCGATATATCCAATCCATAGCATCGGTATATATTTTCGTGATAACTTCAATATCTTTTTTATATTTAGTTTCGTTTCATGATATCGATTCACGCCGCCATCGTTAACAAAAACTGTTGTAATCGTCTGAATTCTATAATCTTGTATAATATACAATATAGATAACACATATACGTACGTGTATATGTGTGCAGGCGCATAAACAATCCAATACAGTTTTTGATGACCTGTGACTAACTCATTTTCTTTATGTTTCTCTCTTTTCTTTCTCTTACATAATCGAGATCGACAATAAATAGCTACAAAATATCGTAGATAATATCGTTGTTTCTTTTGTGTAAGTATATATGTAAGTATTGTTTCAGATATATTTAAAATCTAAGAATTTAATGAAAATAAAGTTTCATATAAGTATATACAAATGTGATTACTGTTTTAAATATAATCAAATCCAAGAGCCTGAAGTCAAAATATAAAATAAAATAAATAAATTAATCCCTTTATATTTAAATGCTTTCGATAGCTTCTTCGTTGGATCGATTTTTACTGTGTGTTACGTTACTGTACCACGTGCCATTCATTGTACTCTAAATCAATTGCTAATCTGTGTTAGAGTTGAGCTTATTAATTAAAGAAAAAAGCTACTTATTAAATCTCACCGTGATTGGTTAAATTATCAACTCGAGTGACTCTATCATTGGCTAAGAAAAGTGGCGCTTTCTAATTTTCGTCATCGTCGTTATGAATAACATATTACATATTTCGTGTATAATTTCGTAAACCTCCATGTTAAACGAAGGGAAAGGTAATCGAAATGTTTCAGAAAGCCCACGATTGGATGATCAATAATCTGTCTTTCGATCATTTATTAGAATGATAGTGTAAAGATGTAAATCAAAGTAGAAACGTTTCATAAGCGTTCGCCTACTGACCTTGAATCACTCTGGTGCCGTTCCGCATTTCGATCTATGGCAAAGACGAAATCACGAACCAGAGGCCCTGGTGACACACGTGAATGACGACTAAGAGCAATTGAACCGATTGCTCAAAACCGATTGATCGAAACAACCAAACATTTCAAGATCATTGAACAATTAACGACTTACAATGTTTTCGGTAAATATATATTTGAACAAATAGCAGCTTCGAGTTTAAATCTTAAAGAATATATCACATTGGTAGTGTGGAAATAGAAAGATGGAAAAATTCATACTTTTCGTTATTCGTTGTTTTTAGTCAGCAGTGAGGAGAGTTGTTCGACGTTCATTTTCAACGTCAAAATGGAGTGGCGCACAGCAGGTAAAATTCATCATTGTTTAAATATACTTCGTTATCATTTGTTCGGGCATAACCTATTCTTACTTTGACAAGATTGTATTCGGGTGTAGCCTTCTTGTTACTTAATAAAGATATCCCTCGTGAAGCTCTTCGTTTTTCTCTGTTTAATAGATTTCGTTCAGTTGATACTGTTAAATTAAAAAAATTAAATGATCTTACATGTTGAAGGGCAACAAAGGTCATCTATTCCCAATACCAATTATTCGATTGTAACTTAGACGTTTAAGCTTAGGATAAAAATTCGTACTATACGTTGTTCATAATGATTCGATTGTTATCAGAAAAAGGTAACATTGGACTTTAATTCATTTTTTATTGTTGCTAATCTCACAATTGTGATGCAGATGACAGTTCGGGATGCTCTAAATTCAGCCCTGGATGAAGAAATGGAAAGAGATGAAAAGGTATTTTTGCTCGGTGAAGAAGTAGCATTGTATGATGGAGCTTATAAAGTATCCAGGGGCCTCTGGAAAAAATATGGAGATAAACGTGTTATTGATACTCCTATTACTGAAGCAGGATTTGCTGGTATAGCTGTTGGAGCAGCTATGGTACGTTACTAACTTTCTATGTATATTTCTTTCATTTGCTTGAAAATTCATAATCTTTTTGTTTCCTTAATTATCATTTTGTGTTTTTTTTTTTTTTAATGTTTTAGGCTGGTTTACGTCCTGTGTGTGAATTTATGACATTCAATTTCTCTATGCAAGCTATTGATCAAATTATCAATTCTGCTGCAAAAACATTTTACATGTCTGCTGGGAGAGTAAATGTACCAATTGTTTTTCGTGGACCCAATGGTGCAGCAGCTGGAGTAGCTGCACAACATTCTCAATGCTTTGGTGCTTGGTATAGTCATTGTCCTGGTTTAAAAGTAGTATCACCTTACAATAGTGAAGATGCAAAAGGATTGTTGAAAGCTGCCATCCGAGATCCAGATCCAGTAGTTGTATTAGAAAATGAAATATTATATGGTGTTCAGTATCCTATGTCTGATGAGGCTTTATCAAAAGACTTCGTTTTACCAATTGGTAAAGCAAAGATTGAACGTGTTGGTAAACATGTTACATTAGTGGCACATTCCAAAGCAGTTGAACAAGCTCTTGAAGCAGCAAATGAGCTTGCAGGAAAAGGAATAGAAGCAGAAGTAATAAATCTTAGATCTTTAAGACCATTAGATATAGACACCATTGTGCAATCAATAGTAAAAACAAATCATTGTTTAACTGTGGAACAAGGCTGGCCACATTGTGGCATTGGAGCAGAGATTAGTGCTAGAATTTCAGAAAGTAAGTTTTCCTAATTCAATAACATAATTACTTTTTTTTTTACATTTCATCTTTGTTTCTAGGTGAAGCATTTTATCATCTCGACGCACCGGTAATTCGCGTCACTGGTGTTGATACGCCTATGCCTTATACCAAATCATTAGAAATCGCGGCTTTGCCACAAATGAGTGATGTTGTGTTCGCAGTAAATAAAGTACTAGGGTTGCAGTAATTATTTATATAAATCTCTAGGTAAAATTAGAACTTCCTCTTTTTCCTTGAGTTTCATATGACCTTTACATCCCTTTACATTATGACCTTCTATAGGTTTCATGAGGTAGAAAGTAAGTACAAAGTTTAACAATAATAAAATAATTAATAAAAAATTGTTCTATTGATGAAAAAGAAGATCAATCCACAGTACTTGTATGTACATCTGTAGATGTAAATATAATCAAGTGACGTGTGTATGTATGTGAATATATGACTTTAATGCGTGCAAGCTTGTGCAGTTGTATATGTTGATTCGAAATAATGTAACTATTTATTGAGACGAATTGACATTATTTATTGAGACGAATTGCTTGGATAAGTATCAAAATATTCTTCTTTATTCATGAGAATAAAATTATTCAAATACTGCCATATCAAAATAAACTCTATTATAAGTTAATCTTTTATTTTAAATTCTCAAATTTAAAAATAGCATTAAAAATAAATAGGTAAAATTGTAAATTCTTGGCGTGTATGAAATGAACAAATAAATGTCCCGCATTTGTTTATTAATTATTTATTATGAAAACTTAATAAATTCCAATATAATTACAATTTTCTCTATTTGTTTCATGCTCTATCATCATCATTCACTCTATTTATCATCATTCCCAATTGCATTAATTTTTTGTGTTTCATTTTCTTCATCTGTTAATAGTCATGTATGATACATACGCAATAAACAACATGTAACGACAGTCATATAACGTTCAAATGCATCTCTCAATTCATTATCCCTGATAAATTAAATATTCAAAGTAGATGAACACAATGAAATAATATTAAAATATCTTTTTTGTTATAGTAATATGTTTGATTTCTACCTAAGTACGTCCATATCCAGTGCACATTGAGTGTAAACTGACAAAAAATTTCTGAGATCACTGTGTGTCCAATTTACTTGACGCCATGGTTCTATACATCTTTCTACTAATTCCAAGAAAAAAAATCTTAGATCTCTGGATCGATGAAGGTTACATCCTATTCCCAAGATAGCTCTTGTATATGAACGAAAGTTTGTATCTATTTCTTGATATGAACGTTCTAAAAGCATAGGTCTCAGCTTGATGCATACCAAACTGTAAACAAATATAGTGAAACTATATAATCTGCATTTCCTGCATACTCAACAAAGAAAATCTTACTGTTTATGATGTTTGTCATTTTCTAAAAGCACTCTGCACTCTGCTAATTCCAATAGAAATTCTCTATCCAAATCAGTGTCAAAATATTCTGATCCAATGCAACGATATGTCCATGATGACATCATACTGTTGGCACAATGGTATAAGTCAGGAAATGTTAAGAACTGAAGTTTTCTCTTGTTCATCTCAAATCGAAGACATGCTATGAATACTACAGCAGCGTATCGCCTAAAGGTTTATAAATATTAAGATTAACTTTATATGTATATACAAAGGTAACATAAAAGAATAATTTTGTATTGTTACTTAGCAAGATCTTCAGAGAGTAAAAAATGTTGTTCAATATTGGCAGCCAAAGAACCTGGTAAATCTTCAACTATTTTGAACACTCTTTTCACATTATCATATTGCCGGCGACAACTCTTTAATGTAATACCTGTTTTCTCCGATACTTCATCCATATCTTTTCTACTCTTTGACGTTAACTTTTTGCCTAATAGTTCTCTAATAACAACATCGTCGAATTCATAATACCTACAAATCGAGAAGATACAAATTTAGGAAGAAGCTGTAGATGAATAACATTGACAACAAAAAATTCGCTTACATTTCAATAAGCATTTGACTAGTTTGCGGTTCTATTTGAAATGCGAGCTGTTCGCTCGCTAGTTTAGTAGGTGTGTGAAGTAATTTTTCCAAGAGAGCATAAGTCCGATAATGATCGAGAATATCAGAAGCTATTAATTCAATTGGGGCATTTGTTTCTTGACATATCCCTCGTTGATGCAAGATATTCACTGCTTCGCTTGCTAAATGGGTAAGAAAAGAATGATGTGAATTCTCAATAATCTAAACAGGTGTACTTCGATTCAACGTAGAGTTCCATTTCTATAAAATTTTATTTATGACAAACTTACATGAATGACCATCGACCCAAAGCTGATATATATCAGGATCAACAAGAGTATAATTACTAATAAATACGTCAACTTCTGACAACATCACGAAGATACAGTGTCTCTTTTTTAATTTCACACTATAAAATTAGGCCCGTAAATGGGCTTTCCATTCGTTGATTCAAGACATTGCGTACATTTTCAGCTTTTAGGTATGTCGTATTTATATCGTCGATCGCATTTAATGCCTTGTTCCATAAATGAGATATAAGCTAATTAAAGATTATATATATCACACAGTCTAAGAATCGCAGACGACACCTCGTTAATAATAAGTCTATTTATATAAAGCTGTGTTTACTCCTCGCCTGTGTCAGAATTTTACCATCTTTGCGTCACTTTCAATATCGATTCAGCAAGATTAGGTTAGATCAGGAACATATCTAACTAATTCTTCGAGTTCAATGAAGAAAATTTTGTGAATAATTTGATTAATTTACTTAACGAATTAAATAATGAGACTAAAGAATTTCCATAGAGACTAAGAAAATACAAATTTATTGACCAGAATTTGTTTGTTAAAGCACAAAAGTACATATGTGAATAGACCTAGCATACAATGTATTTTTTGTTCCACAATTTCGGAGTTTAGTGTGGCGGTACGCGTGCATATTTTTAAAACGAATTTAACAGCGGCGACGTTAATTATATGAAAAAAAAAAGAAAATAAAATAGTGAAAAATATATTGTAATTTCAATTGTTAAGAATCAATCAAAGCAAACGGTTATCATAAAGACCTTGTTATACATAAATTAAAATTTTTTTTATTGTTATAGTTTCTTGTTAAATTTCGTAATATATTTATTTAAAGGAGTAAACTTACTCTTTTAAATTTACTCCACCACAAACAAGATATATTCGTTCTTTTTAAAGAATTTCTCATGAATTTTGTGTATTTGATTTGGACCAGAGTTTTTTATTTTTTATTTCAAGTTAACATTTCGTGCGCGCATTGGATTTAAATTAGTTAAAGATTACAGCGCCATTGCGGTAAAATACACAATTCATTTCCTACGATTCTCCAACATATCGATATTTCTTATGATCGATTTTTAAACGGGAAGAATGGCGGAAGGAAGCACACCTCGTCTAGAAGAAAGTATCATCTACGAGAATCATCCAGAAAGAAGTATCATTCAGAAGATCTCAGGTGAACATTTAAATCTATAGTTGGTGGATTTGTATTTGTGTTTTGAATTTTTGAACACAAAACGTGCATTTTTGGCTTCAACTCAAGGTAAGATTTAACCAAATAATTATTACATATAATTTTCAGCAATTAAAGAAATAACAGCATAAAAACATTTAAATGGCTTTAAATGGCTTTAATATGCTAAAATTTATTTATAATTTTACCAAAATTTAATTTCAGTTTCAACCAGTAACCTGTATTGTAACCTTATATTTGACCAACTTATTATATATATACACGTATTTTATTATATGCTTTCACAGCATACACAAATATTGAACTATTTATGAGTACATTTTCGAAATTATTAATTCTAAAATGCTTGTACGAAATGAATATTATAAGAGTAAGAGTAAAACAATGCTATTTATTGAAATATTTTTATTTTCGAGTATACATGTATATAGTATTTGGAACCTATTAAACGAAATTTAGATATTGAAGTTGATTTAGATTCGTAAATGTATTATTGGATTTAATCTCACCCTAATTATAATCATTAATCAGTAATTTTTAAGTCATTTAATGATTAATTTATATTTTATTAGTATCAATAATGTGTATTTGTTAAAAATTATATACAATATACATATATTGAAAATTATATACAATATACAAGTACGTTCAAAAATTTCTTCATATCGTTTTAACTGTCTAATAAAATTATTTCTTCTATCATATTTTTACGTTCTAAAATATTTTCATACATATATACGATTAAAAATATAAAAAGTAAATATAAAAATATTTTATAAGTACCCTTTTAATAATTGTATCGTTATCTTGGTATGTATATTATCTACGTTCTGTGATTTGAAAGAATCATTCATTTGAATCAATCATTTTCACTATATATGAAGAATTTGATGAAAATTTGCAATTTATGAAAATTTAAATCAAATTTATGATTTATTATTATTAGTTTACAAAAACATTTTATCACAAATGAAAGTGTATATTTTAGAACGTAAAAAGAAGTAGGTACTGAATGAAGCATAATCAAAAGTATAATTATTTCATGATTAACGATTGTTAAATCAATTTTTAATTACAATTGACATTAAAGTTTGATTATTGTATATTAATCAATGATTACTGATTATTTAATAATTATTAATTATCATTATATATTATATATATTTATCATTATTAGCATATAAAGTTATAACATTATTGTATTATGTATTATATATTAATAATTATTTAATAATCAGTGAATCATAATCTTCAGTCATTGATCAGATTACTTTTTGCTCTCTGTAAATACAAAGATGAATAAAAATGACCATATCACCTTTGCTTTTTCATAAAGCATATTAACTTGTCGTCTGAATCAGCTACAGAACTTTACTATTCGCTTCGACGATTTTTCTTGGTCTGTTAAAAATATACTATGTATAATTGATTAGTAATAAATACAGTAAATATCAATTTACATGATTGCACAATTATCTTTGGGTTAAATATGGAATAATTAATTTAAACGCACGCTACGCGTACGCTTTTTACCGATAAACAGAGCTAGAGAATGAATACTGTTTCGATCATTCACACGATTTAACATGTAAATAATGTTCGCTCTGATCGGCATATTGCACAACATTCTATTTAACATATTAACAAGCACCGTTCTCACGCGGAAAATGAAAAGGCCTATTTTTGCATATACGCGTGTGTGTCTATAAAAATCACGTATAATGGCTCACGAAAATATTCGAACCGTAGAAACGTATCATAGAATATATTATTTTTATTATACGAAATTTTTTTGAATCACTACTATTATAATAAATTGCGGATTTTTAAAATGCATTTATAAATTATAAATTTTAAAGTGCAAAAGATACAAATATCCAAAATATCTAAATAAAATATCTAATGTAATATTTTACAAAATATTTAATAAGTGAAAAAATGTTTTATCAAAGTTCTGTTTTCTTAAATAAGTAAACATAAAAATTCGCAATCTAATAGTAAACCACTTGCATCGTGATTTGGTAAAAAAACTAGTATACAGTATACTAGTATAACAGTTTCGAACATGTTACAATTAGTGTTAAACATAATTTAAATTTTATAAATAATTGACTATTCAAATCTCATATTTTACTAAGTCTATGTTCGTAATGAATATTTTGTAATTTCTATTTTCAGATTTTCCTAATTTAATTTCTATTTTTAGATTTTCCGAAACATGTCAATTGTGTCTCAGTCGTGTTAATGAAATTTCAAAGTGTTTTGTACAATACATAATATATTCATAATGTAAATAGATATAATATATTCTATGTGTAGATTCATTTTCAATTCTACGTTCTGGCAGAATTTATGGTTATTAAAACTAGGTTTCCTAGTTATCACTGCGAACCATAAAACCAGTCATGATTATGATATTACGAAGGTCGATTGGATCTTTAGCTGTCAGAATATTGCGTTTCATAGTGTTTTGACGAAGTTTTGGCGAAACGGTGTACATTCGACAATTTTATACTAAAATTATTTCATTAGATAAAATTAAATAGTTTCTTATAATCCATCCAATGTCTACTTCAAAACTGATGGCGTTTTAAATATTTGAAGATCTCTTTCTTTCAAATAGAACTATAAATTTTATTATATATAATATAGGTGATCTTAAAATCTTTAAAATACCATCACTTCCAGAATGGACAAATGTACAACATTTAAAATCATTTGATTTCACACGTCGTTCTTTATCTTTTACAGTTCTAGAGTTAAAGCTATTTCATTCCTGAAATTCAGAGTTAAAGCTTACATTTTCGTCCCCGAACTTCAGAATATAGAGACATTGCACGTGCAAGTTTATTCACAAGGAACTCATTTTGTATGATAATAGGAATCAAACTCTCGTTGCCTTAGAAACGATAGATACAAGTACAATGCAAGTTTGAATTCGAATCTATCAATTCAATGAAGAATATTTTGGGAGGATTTATGGGAGAATTTGGATGATTTTCGTGAATCACATGCATCCGCAGGCTTCGACTACCATGTTTGGTAGAGTCTTTTGCGTGATGGTATTGTTGGAATCAACGTAGAGCAATTGTATCGGTGATAGTTGTGTAGGTGAACAACACGGAACAATTTCGTTTTTACGTCGCATTGTGTTACCATTTTTAGTCAACAACCTCTGAAACAATAAAAGAAATGTAAATGAATGCTTTGAAGTAAATGTAAACTATCAGGTGTGATAATTTCTATCGATTATTTAATAGAAAAGAGTATAAGTAATAAGATCATGAAATAAGCCAGATCAGCCAGAAGTTTCTGCTTTTGTTATTTTATCAAAACAGTTTCGATATATGTATTTTTATTAATCCAAGTAACAACTATTTGAAATCAATAGAAATGATAAATTACCTTTCAAGTTGATTGTGAATTTTTAAACAAAATAACTACAATATCTGTTGGTTCTATAACAAGATAATGAATATTGCTTTAAATTAGCTCTCCATTTACAGATTCTTTTGTCATATAAATTATTTAATTTTTCCATTTTAATTCTTTGAGTGTTTGCGCTATTGTACAAATACTCATAATAATAAAGTAATTGATTTACTTATTAGAGTTCCAAAGAATATAACATATTACGATATATCAATAAAATATATCAAGAAGTACATATTCAAAAGATGAATGCATTCTTAATTTGTTGTAATACATCTTATTCAATATTAAACTTTTAGACTTTTGACTACTTTAAGCACCAAGCTGGCTAATTTATGATCTCGCTATATCTTTTCCACCAAAAGTAAAAGAAAAGACAAAAAAAAAAGATGCCCACTCTAATTACGTTGTTGTAGGCAGATCCACTGATGGTTAGCGAAGCAGCGGAAGAACAAGATCCACGACAGAAATACGCGTGATATCCGCTTGGATGAAGGATCCAATCGCTCCAACCGATGTCTTTGAAATTAATGTAAAGCTCGTCTCTGCAGCACTCCTTCATTTCCGGCAGACAATTCGAATTCCTCTTCGGCCTGTTTTTCTGCGGTAACGGCGATGTGTATATCACAAGGAAGGGTTTCAACGTTTGTTTAACGGATACAGGTGCTGTATCTCGGTCCATCGAACAGGTACTACAAGCTATCTGTATCGCGTGATCCAATCGAAAATCTTCCACCCATTTTTTCAGCGTGAAGGTTACGTCGCTTTTCACCCATCCCTCTGAAACAACGATCACGTCGATCGTTTTAAGTAGGGGTCATGATTCTAAATGTTAAATATGTCTGCGTTTTTAATACATAGATACACTTGGGTATATGTGTACTATATCATTTTTTTTTCTATTTTTCCACTATTCAATTACGAATTGAAGAAAATTACGAATTGAAGGATTCACAAGGTGGATGTTAATCTCTCTTTTGCTTCTTGTATTACTCTTTATCATTGGCTATATTGTAAGTCATATACTTAGTTTAATATATGAGAAAATATAAAGTTGTAGCATTATATGTATATTGGAGAAATGCTTAATATTCACCCTTTTCTCGATGGAATCTTCAATTCAGTAAAATTTCAATTCAGTAAGACAGCTTGACATGTCTATCATAATACATCGTTACTTTTTGTTGACATACCCTTTCACAGTTTAAAGTTCTTATGAACTGCCAACAATTACGTAAAAACTAATTTATCTTCGCATAGTTTCGCGTTCTTCTTTCGTGTATCTTAATGCGTTACCCCTCCTCCTCTCTTTTTTATTCATTTATCAAACTTTTTTCTTCTCTTACTCTCAATTTCTCCATTAATTGAATTCCTTAAAATATACATTTAGATTAGCGTTTTTCGCTCTTATGGACTTTGTTCCAACGTTTCCAACGCGACCATCTTGCAAATATCTTCCTTCGAATCAAATAACTTTTGTTAAAGTATCTTAACTGCAAATGTCTTAACTGCAAATATCTTCTTTCAAATCAAATAACTTTTGTTAAAGTATCTTTTTGTTAAAGTATCTTTTAATACCTCGACTGGTAAAGTCTTGAGTTAAAGACTGTTAAATGTCTTAACTGCAAATATCTTCCTTCGAATCAAATAACTTTTGTTAAAGTATCTTTTAATACCTCGTAAGATATTCTATCGTTCCCAGTTAAATAGAATATTTTGTATATATAACCATTTTGTTTACATTTAAATTAAAAACTAGTTAAAATTGATTTTGTTTTATTCATTTTTTGTTTTATAATTATGTTATAGTTCTGATTAAGAAACGATAGGTGAATCCATTAAAGACCAATGTTAACGCATACTTGCACTAATACAATATTTTATTTGCTATTATTTTTAAATCAATTAACTTGTTCAAGGATTCACTTGATTTTTTTTTATTACTATTTTTAGTAATGTTATGAAGCAGATAATCTATAAAAGAAATTGAAATATCTTTAAACGAATTGAAGTATTTATAATATTATGATAAATTATTGCGCAGTTGGCCTTCAATGGCTTCAGTTGAAGTATTAAGTTATAAAATAAGAAACTGCCAAACAATGTAAATGTGACGGGATTGCAAAATGATGTATAATACAGAAGGAAAGATCGAAGATAAAGAAAAGAGATGAATAGGAAGTTTGTTGTAATGATAATACATGGCAGAGGCAGAGGCAGAGGCAAAAAGTGAAACGCAATCAAATTGATTCGATTTGTTTGCATATGACTCATGTAAAAAATAAAAAATGAAATCATGAAAGATACACCAAAGAACGATATACCAAATGTAGATAGACCTACTAAAATAAAAAGAAATGCGGATTTTTTATACGTGGTATCATTCTACACGATCAAAAAATGTCTATAGAGTTAAAAACGAGAGAAGTTGAAGAAAATATTTCGTCGTCCAACTAAGTTCAGTAAAATGTTGAAAAGAATCGTACAGCAAGTTTTAACCCTCATTAATTCTCAAACATTTGAATGGAGACACAAGTAACAAATTGAAATAACAAAAATAAAATAACAAATTGAAGAATTGCACTTATCTTTATAAATGTATATAACGTTATATAATATGTTATCTTCTTAAACCGCTAATAACTAATCAAATTATTTTAACCATTTCAAATTTATTTGTCGATAATTTAATAAGAACTAAAAGGGTTAAGGAATTGTTGTAAGGAGAAAACCTTCAAAATCATAGTGAATCTAGTCGTGAAAAAAATTTTTTCATATTTTATAAACATTTGAATTTTTACAGTATTTAAGAATAAAAGAATTCTTACTTTATCACCCACTATATCATCTAAAAATATTTCTGAGAAAAACGAATGTAGATGAAATAGATGCTTTACATTTTATAATAAAATCAAGTACATTATTACTTGTTTTTTGTTTTCATGAAGTTATAACAGTTTAAAAACTATCGGTCGATAGTCGATCGACTATCTTTCATCGTTACGTATACAGTTAAATTACATACACTAATTGTATATGAAATAAGTATTTTTATAACTGATACTGGTTTTTCTCTCTAGGGATGAGCGTATTTGAATTTACTTACCTCCAATATCGGTTTCGAAGATAGCCATAATCATATTTTTTTCAAAATTTCCACTCAAATCCCAATGGTCGAGTTCAGAGAGCACGAAAGTTTGATTTAGATCGTCGTTTTCATCGTACTCCTTGTAAAACCAAAGTTGCGCCGAAGTCACATCCACGAATCGCATTTCGTTCGGTAGATAAAACGTGAAGCAGGCTGCCGGATTGAAACCCATTAAATGATTCGATGTTTGTTGACATTGCTTCGAATTGGCAATACCTGAAACGTTTATCGTTTAACGTTTATTCGTATTTAGATTACCATTACTAATAATCATAAATTTATTGTGAAATATCGTTGCACAAATGACAGTCCTCTCAAATTTTTTACTTTTAATCGAATATTTCTGATATCTATATAAAAAGAAATAACTCTCCATGCTTGTGTGTAATAATGTAATACTAAAAGCTCGTACTATAAATCTCTTATTGATTTCCTACTGTTGAGTTTTTATTATATAACTATTATATGATAATGTATTTGTAATATATATTATTATATTTGTAGTACATAATATAATAATAATATAATAATTTATAATATTAATATTAAATCTAATCTCCAAGAAAACTACGAAACTCGTTCTACTAAAAGTTATTAGTATAAAATGATATATAGATACATTGTTCATAAAAGTGCATTTATATAAAGAAATACGTGAGAAATATGTGAAATTATATGTGTTATATTAACATAATGAAGTATTTATAGATTTTTTATTATATAATGTTTTAGTCTTAAAACACAGCAAAGTTTGAACATTAAACTTCTGGACACCTTGTATAGTTAAAATACATTTTAACAACTTCAGTTTTCCAAATACAAACAAAAGAGAAAAATATTAATTTGGATTATTTAACGATAATGTACACATAGTATATTGTATTAGGATTTGGATTATTTAACGATAATGTACATATAGTCTATTGTACATATAGTATATTAGTAACGTTAATGACATTTCACCGATTTAAAAATGCTAAAGATGAAGAAATATTTGCAACAGTGAAATGCAGAAGAAAAGGTCTAATGTCACTGAATCGTCATCATTTGACGTCACATGTAAACATCTTATCGAAGAAATATAAATGTAAAATTTTTAATTAACGCATAAAAATTTATCGAATCCCTTGAATCTCGATAAATGTAAAAATTTGAAGTAATCGAATAATTAATGAGTCGCGGTTGTTTATTTATTTGTGGGAAATTTAAATGTGCCAAAATGTACGAAATGTATATACTAATAATAATATATACATAACGTACATAATATAGTCAAAATAAAATAAGTATTGCAGTCACTATAATATTTTCAGAAATGAGTTCTATTTTTATATTAATTATATTTACATTTTATATGTAGTTCAAGTCATAAAGAATTTGTATAAATATCTGCAGCCTTAAGATTCATCTTCGTTAAAGGTAAGATTAAATATACTTAATACTTTCTTTTAACATACTATAAAATATTTTTGAATACAATATTTTCTTTTTTTTAGATATGGAAAGCATCATAAAGACTGACCTTCGTTTGGAAAAACGACGATCTGATCAGTTTTCCCATAGAAACTGTCCACTGATTTTTCCGGCTCGAGTGGTGCTCCGGGTCGAAGTTCGAGTACACGACCATTTATCAGAGGCTTCGGCAAGGTCGAGAGCGGCATCGATATCTCGGGTGGTTTGGAAAGCCGCAACTTCTTGAGGATTTGCTGTTTGACATATTCGACTCTTAGCTCCGTTAAAATCGGATCAGTAGCAGTTAACAGGCCGATTTTATTTTGTGTACATTCGGCGCAATGCTCTTCCGAGGAAGAGGAACTCGAAGATGTCGATCGTGGATTATATCCCCACCAAATGTAAGGGAAGGGATTTGGGACTTTGGGCCAAATGGCTTTCACTTGATTATCCAGTAAGAAAAAAGAAAACAACACCAGGTGCAAACGCATCGTGCCAATTTTTCTTTTTTTTTTTTTTTTTACGAATATTAAGTATCTCACTTACAAGTGATTTAAAATTTAAATATAAATTTTTTTCTTTCATACATTTATCCCTTTAATATTCTTCCACGAAGAATCACCGATCGAGAAATATCCACTGATTTTCTAATAAGCCACACATCGATTCTTTTCCTTCTTTTTATTTCGCTATTAGTACGAATGCATGAAAGAAATTAAATTAGCTAGTAATTCTACTAACTAGAAATTGACTCTATTTCAAAAAATATCCTCGCTTGATAAATCCACATTTTGAAATCCTTCCTTCCTTTCCTCCTTCTTTCGTTTTCGTTTCTTGCTCTCACGCTTCCTTTCTTCCTTCGATTCTTCCTACCCTCCCTTGTCTTCTTCCGTTTCCTTTTGACAAAATTGTCTTGAGGCTCGATGCAGAGTAGTCGGTCAATCAAAATTACTACTCGATCCACCTAATGATTAATAATTCACTACGGCTTTACCTTTCAATCAATCTGGTCGTTTCGCCGATCCAATTACACAAGCAACTTACACAAGATACATCGTTAAAATGATTTAGTCGCGTATCGGCTCTCGGTATAGTCTGAACTTTGTTCCATGTGCGGGGGATACAGCGGATTGGACGAAGACGAATCGTTCTGATATCGTAGGGGGAAACACGCATTGCGGACATGCTTTGCTTTGTCGTCTCCGTCGTCCCCTTTGTCATCTTTTCCACCTACATTTTTCATTACACATTTCAGTAAGAAAGATTTCGGAATTTTTCGAATATTCTGTAAACAAAACAAAAGATTACATCATTACTTTTTCGTATCTGTGACTTCTCCAAAAATTATACGTATCACATGATCACGGACAAACTTGTATAAATTTTTTCCACAAAATGTACTTGATCGATGGTCGCACGCGAACGCATAATCTTGCACATGACCGTGCACGCGTTTGCGGTTTTTTTTCTTTTTGATAAACGACTACCCTTTGTTAAAATTTTATTTGCACGCCCATTAGATAATCAAGGAATTCCAAAAAGAATCACTAAGAAACTGAATTTAAAGCTGTAAATTATTGCTTCGACTATCGTTATCGGTTCTCCGAGAACGATCAAGTTGTTATTATTTTATAATTGCATTAGTAATAATAATCTTATTCTTATTTTATAATTGCATTTAATAATAATCTTATTCTTTAAAGATTAAAAATTAAATTCTTTTCCGTGTCTTTAGAGAGTTTATGAACTTTGAAGTAATCATGTTTTCAGATAATTACCATTATTTGCGTCTAATATACGTTCCATTTTCCACTATACGTTCTTCCATTTTTCCATTCTTCTTCTAATGACCAAGTTTCTGAACAAATATATATACTTCCATTCAGAAGTTTAAAACGCCATTTATTTTTTGAACGAAACAAATTTCTTTATACAAATATTTCTGAGACATAAGGCTATCATAATTACAACTTTAATTTTTAAATATAATTAATTAAAGTTTCAATATTACATAAAAGATAATAATGAATGTGAATAAAATATTTATTGTCAGATTTTGCTATCATACAGCAATATTATTAATATTATTTATTATTAAAATTTTTATTTATTAAAGAAGTCATTATTTCTTTCGAAATTTTGAGCGTGAACGTTTATGGAGCAGAAAGGGGAGAACAACATAAAGAAATATACCATGTATCATCATTAATTAAAAAATATAGATTTTAATAAAAATTTTTTAATAAATATATACTGAATATTTCTTCAAACTTTTGCATATGCTGCGTAATTAGCTATACCGCATCGATTTTTGTTTTTAGCCAAACGCATGTATCCATCTTCACCCCATCCATCACCCCACCAGTTTTTCAAGATCCATTCAGTTGGCGTATATCCAACAATCACCATAGCGTGATTCACCATGTCTGAGCTACAAAGTTCATCATCGTAGACTCCTTTGCTGCGAAACGAAATTGTGAAATATTAATTTTTTTTATTGTGAAATATATTAAGTTAAAATTAGAAATTAAATTAAATCAAATTACATTGAAATTAAAAATTTGATATTAAATAATAATAAGTAAAAAATAATAGTAACGAAAAGAAACGTAAGATTTAGAGGAACAGAAGAAGATTGCATATTAATTTTCCAGTTAGGCAATAATAAAAATATTTTTGCGAGTAAAAACTTCCGCTCTCCTTTTTAGTTCCGAAATGCAAGTTCAGTGACTCTTCAGTTCATTGTCGTTTCAGAGTCATCGCACAAACGATGCATCAAAGGTTATCGTACAACTGGACCAATTTCTTCGAGTATTTGCAGCTTTTGCGTAAACATTCACCGAACATGAGTAAGTCGCATGTCAAAAATGAGTACTTTGTTCGTTCCTTTTGATCGTTTTATTATAATAACTATCTAATCATCGCCCCTCCCCCTTTTCGACCTTATTTGCTCCTTTCTATTTTCTGAATTTTAAAGTTTAGATATCACATTATATCTGTACAAAAATTGAGATTATAACGAAGATTTTAATTGAAAACGTCATATTTTTTATAGAGGAGCAACTTTAAACTTCGAAATGTTGATTAATCACATTTCACATACCATTTATTTGATTTTGGAGTTGGACATGTATTTTCCATTTTTTTCTGTAGTATTGATCTGTTATCGTATTGAAATATATATTAATTATAATTATTAATCGTATTAAAAAGAAAATTTTTTTTTTATTGTTGACTGTAAATGCTACTGTTCAATTCTATGTTGGAATCACTTCTTTTTGTGATTATACATATTTGTAATATATACTTTATAGATATTCAAATTTTCCTTCCCTTTATAGGTTCAAAATTTCCAAATAGAAGTAAGAATAAAAAATACTCACTGATAAAGTTGAAATGTTTTTGGACTTGCATTTATTGAGGCAGCTATTGGACCTATGGTCGCCACGGCAGCTTCCAAAGCTTTTTCGTCACGTGCCGGTAAAACTGCCCATGAAGTGATATTAACCACACTCAATTCTTCTTTGTAACGACACGTACCTTGCTATCCTCCAAAAGTAAATACAGTGAGTATAAAAAGTACTCATAATTTGTAGATGAAAAATTATCAATATTTTAAATTTTTATAATTTTGTAAGAAAGAAATCGTATAATAAGTTGTAAAAATCGTTATAGAGGTTCTCTTCAATCTTCAAGACCATGATAGATTTAGTTATTTAGAAAATTTTTCAATCTCCATAAAGATTTTTAATTTGCAAAATTTCCTAATGATGTAAAAACATTTATAGAAGAAATGAATTCGTTATATTGTAAAAGTAGAAGCTTACGTTCTAATCTTTTGAGTCTTTAAAAGATTAGAAAGTCTAAAAGTTTAATACTAACACATACATAAAGAGTGACCCAGTTTTATAGTACAACTGGGAAGGAAGTAATTTAATATGCAAAAATAAATAAAAAAGAAAGAGTAATATTTTTTCATTTAAAACTTCGTTAAAAAATCGAAAATTGTTTCAAGTATATTTGAATTTCGTACTGGAAAAACAATCGATATACGATAAACGAGGACATGCAAAAATAAGTGTAGATGACAATTTTTCAATTTAAGCTTTCTAAGAAAATAGATTTTTAACATGTTATGTTTGAATGCGTGTATTGTTAATTGTAATTTAATTTTCTTTGAAGAAAATTTTCTCGTCTTATAAATGTAAAATCTTATTTTACATTTTTCACTTATTTTCGCATGTGAAATAATATTCTCTAAATTATTCTTTCCTGTTTAGTACGGAATTAGCATGATTCAAGTATGCTTAACAAATGTTCAAACTCGATTTTCTTGAAACCGAAGCATTACATAAGAAAACTTTATTCTATATTTTCGTCCTATTTTTCTACACAGAATCATTTCCTTCTTGGTTATACCATGAAAACTGGAATATAAAAAACAATATTTTTAATTTTATATATTTTGTATTTTCAAATGACGATTTTGATTGTGTTTAATATTTAATTTAATATTTAATATTTTGAATTTTTTTCTACTAATTCAGCAAGCGAAGTTTTCTTAAAACACATAATCCAAACATACTTTAATGAATTTTTTATTTAATATCGTTTGATTCTTTTTTAATGATTGATTTTTTTCGGTGTTTGTTGACATTTGTCATTTCGCAATGTATACATTTTGCACAAAAATGTATTTCTTACATCAGCCACAAACGTATATTGAAATCGGTATTTAGAGATAAGCTATAATGACAAGCATAAGTATAAAGACTCAATGCTCGTCTTGTGAAAAATGCGATAATACTAATAATTTTGCAATAACTTTTCAAATATTTTATGTGGATTAAGCAATTACAATTTCAAGCTGACTCTAGCAAATAAAATGTGATATATCATTTTTATTTTCGTTATTAATTATCATTACTTGTTTATTCTTTACAATTCTGAACGATACATTGAGTTTTTAAAATATTACTTTTTAAAATATTCTGTATTAAAATATTCTAACACAAACGAAAATGGATATTTTCGTTTATTATACATATTTCATTTATTAAATTCAGTTTGTGATTATAATTCTTCAATTACTACAAAATAATTGGAAAGTTATATAACATATAAGACAATTGAATATTTTTATTTTTGTTCGTCACTGTATATTATGAAACACGAAGGATAACGAAATAACAGAATAATGGAAATCTCAATGCGGGTAATATATACATATATGAAGGTATTTAGGGTGATTGCCAAAAGTATTTACACATTCCCTTATTTTCCAATAAAGTGTCTTTTTCATTTTCTAATTATAAATTAAAATTTTCTAGTTGAAAGCATTATTAAATGTAATATTACGAAACGTAATGTAAATTCTATAAGAAATATAATGATATGCAAATACTTTCTATTTTATTTTGTAAAATATTAAAATATTATTAATATATGAAGTTCTATACAAAACTATATCTTATACTTTATATTATTTTTTTATTATACTGCATACTATATTATTATACTATTATGTATAATATTATGTTTTATTATTTTAACAAAATGTTAAAATATTAGTACATTTTATAATTTTAGTATAGAACTTTATCCGTATTGAGGATTAGTTAAAATATTGCATATATCAATGGTTTCGTAAAAAAAAGAAGACAGAAAGAAAGAAAAATAGAAAAGAACATACTTCTGCTCTATATGGATAACGACTCCTAGCCATTAAACCTTTTGCCTTTTCAAGATATCTCAATGTGTTTCTTAGAGATCCTCCAGAACAACCTAAGTTTCCAGTAGATGTACTGCAATCTACTAATTGCTGTTCACTCAGTGGAATCAACATTCCTGTTTGTTTAAAAATTTGCCCTTGAATGCTCGTAGCTATTGAGTACGCGTAACAACTTCCGCAATCTCGTTGATTTTCTGGCTCTGTTTTAAATCCAACTTCGCGCCAATCGAGCTGTTGTGGAATTTTTCGAGGATCGTGCAAAGCTGCTCCAACTATCGGTTCATTTAATACACGCCGCTTACGGCTAGGAATCAGTTTTACCTGAGAATAAAAAGAAAATTAAATCATTAAATAGTAAGGAATTTTCTTTCAATTTTTCTCATAGCTGTATGTTTATTCATTTATGGGCAATCTCATCAATTTTGAGTTTATTTCGTGAATCTAGGAATCAAGCATTAATCCATCTCTGATTGTAATTTTTTAATTATCATTGTTATGAAGATATAGATTTGCATAAGTATTCGTAATTTATTCTTAAATATCGAATATCTACTGTATTTAATTCAAGTTCAAGTTTAATTTACGTGTCTACTTCCGCTCAGAAGTACTGAAGTATCGTTTGCCACGTATACGAAATTTTATTCATACAATTTTCAGAGAAACAAGAATATTGTTTCAATAATAGTAAATTTGAAAATAATAAAATAATAACATTACAAATCATAAAATAATATACTCGAATAATATCAATATTGGCGACAGCTCTCTTCAAGTACGAACCATATTTCGAATATATTGCCTAGTTCCGAGATCGGCAATATGATTGTCTCTCAACGTATAGCTGTGATGACCCGCAGCTGCCATCATATTGTGCTTATAAATCGTTATTAGATTTTCTTCCCAAGCTATTCTTCGACTGGTCTCGAGTTTTCCAGTATAACTTTTATTGTAACGGGCCTGGGGCAACAATAATATCGTAAATATTATATAACAATATATTGAAAATGACGCATGAAATTTCGCTCTCCAATCAAATACATTTTTCACTTTATATTCGATGTTTAAAGCTATCTAAAAAAAATTTGAATGTTGAATATGGAATATGAGAAATAAAAGGACACATTGTGACAGCGTGGTGCGACATTGGAACGAAATTATAGTTAATGTTCAGTTAATTGAACATTCGTAGATTCAATCCACTTAACTGTACGTGAACTTTTATATAAATGAAAAGTAATAAATAGTAACAAAATTGATAAAGATTGAATATAAACGTTAATTATTTGTCTCTTGCGAGTTTAGATAAATAATACATAGCTGTATAGTGTTAGTAAAATTCTTTAAAATATAATTTTTGAAATATAAAGTAAAAAATCTGGTCGAGAAGTTTATACTATTATAATTAGATTATCTAATAATTTTAATGAAAGATGCATGATAAAACGCATGTAATAAGACAAAAAATAAATAAAGTTTTCATTTAGATTCTGCTTCTACATTCATATGTAAATAATAATAATATATAATTAATTATATAATTTACTATAGATATTATGATGAATATAGTTATACATATAGTTGCAATTAATTAAGTTTTATTATAGCTACGATTAATATAATTAAATATACAATTAAAATATGATTGAGCTACATATTTTTCCATCCAACTAATTATCTAAAAATATTAATTAGAAATAGAAATTCGCAGTCTAATTATAATACCAATTTCAATTCCACATGATCGAAGAATGTTCGGATGATTCGAGAAGAATATCGAGCATGTGATGTTTATGTAGTACCTTATATAAGTTCCAATATTCATCTAACTTTTCCGATATTTCTTGAGGGAAACGTTTTTGCTCGCCAAACACTTGAATGCCATCGATATTCCATACAGTTAAGAGGAGAATTGAAAGGGCACAAAGACGAAGAGACATCGCGGATACGATCGGATTAAAAGCTGGCTTGATAACACGCGAGTCGTTATTTTTTCTGCAGTTCGATCAACTGACTCGAGTACATTCGATATTTCGATTCGAATGCAACCCGACCTTACTACTGTTCTCATTTCACATCCAATTGGTCGCACTACAATGTCAGCAATTTTACAAATTTCGTACGTACATACGTAAGCGGGAAAGAAGCAAAACCATGGAACTTGCGTCATCTGTACGATACGATATATGTTTACCAGCACCACGGAAAATAATATTTGCGATGCTTAATGCAACGCCTGTACAACATGATATGGACATCGCTTCCACTGTAAATGGGTCAAAGAGCAACCGACAGGTCTGCTTTCACAACTTTTCCTGCCTTTTCTCATCTTTGTACACACACTTTGGGTGAAAAGCTCGATTATTACATCAGCCATATTCTTTTTTTAGGGAAAATTGAACTTATGCGCCGCCGAGTGATGACTGAGTGTGAAATGTGGAGTGAACGAAGATTCGAACAGGATCCGCGAAGCTATAAATAAGTATTAAAACAAAAGATTGAGAAATTGATCGTGAGATGGCTACACTTGCAGAAACCGTGAAACTTTTAAAAAAGAAAGAACTCGTGATACTCACGTTCATGCATCATCGACCGACAATTACTTCGTTATGCCTTTGCGCATAACCGACTATCCGTACTTGTACATTTCGCTTGCGTTTCACGTTTCTACGTTCTCTACGCTCGCCTTTAATTTCTTCCAATTTATAAATTAATTTTTTCTTTCTTTTTTTTTCGCCCCGCAGGGTTGAATCGTTTGAGCGCGTGCATGTGCGCGTGCACGGTCGTCTGCTAAATCCATTAGCCGGTTCTCGTTCGCTTTCGCTTGCAATACATATTAGCAACGATAGCGGTTGGCGATGTATATGTATGTAGCTGGCGCGTAATGAGATAGAGAGAATGGCGATGACAATGAGGGAGGGGAGGGAGAAAGACCGCGGATGTTGGCGAGAAACTCGTGATCTGCTCGTCTCTTATCCCCTCGTTGCGTAGATGGTTGGGCATCGAGCCGAGATCGGGCATGGGCATTAAAAGCATCGGGCATCGAGCATCGAGTAGCGTGGAGTAGCCGAAAGTAACGAACGCGATCCCCGCTCGTCTTCAATCGGATAAAAGTTCTCACACAACTCGCGGCTACCGTCTCTCTCCCGTCTCTCGGTCCGATTATCGCTCGACACGCGCGATCCTAGCCTTCTACCAGTGGGGAGGCGTCACGCTAGAAAGCAAAACTCGGGAACATCGGGTGTCTTGTAATCGCGATCGTTTCACCGCGGAAAGTATCGGAGATCATAGTTCGTTTGCGGCAAGAGGCGTCGCGACGCTACTGACCGCGTCGCGTCGCGTCGCGTCGCGTCGCTTCGCGCTCTTTCTTGCACACTACCTGTTTAAAGAAAAGAAAGAAAAAAAATAATAAAGAAAAAAAAAACGAAAGAAAACACAAGAATGGAGGAATCTGGTATCGATATGGGTTTCGATCTGGCAGCGATTACCGCCGATTTGGAGCATCGCGAAGCGGACCTCTGCAGCCGTCTGTGCCACGAGAAGCAAAATGGAATGATCGGTATCGATGAATCGAACTGCGGCAATAAACAAGACAATGGGCATAGAAATAACGACGACGATTGGGAAGAGGCCCTGTCTTTTCTGTCGACACCGCTGCAAGACATCATGTGCTACGAATTAAAGAGCCGAGCGCCGAACACTGGCAGGTATGTTGCTACGAACTTACGAACACAGCGCACGAGCGAAGTTAAACGATGTTATACGGGTCAAGGTCCAATTCGTTTCTTAATCCGAGCAATTTCCCCGATGTCAATTCGCCGTTCGCAATTCTTAAAGTTACATTCTTCACTCGTGTCCATCATCTCTGCGCTCGTACTTCGCCTCGGTTCGAGTCGGCCATGTTCGTCACACGTCGAGCCGATTCGGCTCGCGTTCGGCTTAATTCGCCACGTCTATTTACCGCCGCTCTCGCACTTTCGATCTCGATCTCGATCTTGAAGAAGAAGAGATCTCTCGATTCCGGAACAATCCACGTTTCACACGATTTCGTTCAAAATCAATTCCTCCGTCTAAAATTTCATCCCGTGGTTCAGGTATTACCTAAATATCTACATATTTATTAATATTCGTCGATCGAATTATCTTTGACAATTTCAAAAATTAAGAAACCCCTTGATTCACCCGCCAGTTAAGCCAGTTGTCATAGTTTGCGTTCCACGGATCCCGGCGGTCAGTCTCCAAATGTTGACGTCTGGTTGATGGTCGGCGGTTAGGCGACGGACGGGAGTTGGCGCCGATATGCGAATGCGCGAGAGCCGCGAAAGCCGCGCGAGCGAGAACGAAAGGGTGGAAAAGAGACGACAGTAAAACGGATCCAGGTTTAGAGCAACGATCGTTGATTTTTCGTAACTGACAACGTCGTGGCCGTCGGCGATGTTCAAGACAACAAAAAGACGCGACATCTGGTTTTAGTAGCGTCGCGGCACGTCGGCTAGTTTGGCCGTAAAAACGTTTTCACCTCCTTCGGAGGACATGCAAGAAATATCCGAGACAGTGCGGCAGATCATCGAATTCGAGGATTTAGTGTCGCGGCTGAATCGAATAAACGACGTTGGCCGCCCGTTGGCCAATAACCCTTCCGCTATCGAAAGAAGAACGGGCAACGCAATTACGACACCTGTAACGACGACAGCCACGTTAACGAGAACAACGACGACAAAGTCGTCGTCCAATTGGTCGAGCACTAACGTCGTTGATCCGCTGCTAGTACCACGTTATGTAGCCCCGGGATCGGTACCTGAATTTCAATCGGAATTGATATCAAAATCTGCTACGACGGTGCCTGTGCCGGCGTCGGCGCCAACGTCGACGTCGGCATCGGCAGAGTATTCGAGCAAACAATCACCGTTATCGTCGTGCGCGCATTCAACCATCGGGGCTGCCATAAAGTCCACCGATCGGGTGTTCAATTGTTCGTCTACTTTGGATCGTCGGCAGAAGGAGGGAGAGATTGCACCACGAGAACAAGAGCAACGCGTGCGCGTGCATATCGGTATCGACGAGGATCTGCGCATGATTCTCGAGATGGATCCGTCGATCGTTGACGGAATGCCCACGTCGTCCCCAAAATTGCATGGCAATTCTCGGAACAACAACGGTCATGTTGCGTTTGCCCGACCGTTACGACCTACTCGCCCACAAGGCTGGTACAGAACTGTTAAAAACGGTTCGAGAATCATTTAACGCTTTGCAATCTTTTCACTTTTTATCATATGTTATGTTCAACTTCACTTCCCAGTTGCATTGTTTCGTTTATTTCTTCTTTTTCTTTTTTCTCTCGCTATCCTCCCGCCCAGTTACGCCTTCATCTCCTCACTCTGTCACTCTATCTCGTTCCATCTCAGTTGCTCGTTTGCTCATCATTTATCTACCTTAATCTTTTATTCGTTCTGGCTTTTACTCGTTCAACCTTGCACGCGCCAAATAGCGAGATTTCGCTCTTGAGATGGTTCATCTCCACCGAACATGTGTGTCCATTTCCGTTTACCGCTACCTCTACATTCTTTTCGATCGTAAACATTGCATCTAAATATAAATGCGTCCTTGATTCTTACGCGTAGATACGTTTCGTGAACCTGGCGGTGTACCGCAAGTATCATCTACGCGATTCTCGTCGTTCCCTTGCTTCTGTGCTCCTCGCCTCTGATACTTTTCTTGTTTTTCTGCTTAATTCTGGGTCTACGATTTAATCGTTACTGTTTAATTTAATTCAATTGTTGTTGTAGTACGGAGATGTGGGGAAACAATATTATTTGTTTCTATTTCAAAATACAATCGAAATCCATATGATATTCAGGCATTAATATTCGGATAATTTAAGTTAGAAAATTTCTTTTTCGTTTTTATATTCATAAAATTCATTTGTTATATTTGTTACATTTGAAAATACACGTTACGTTGTATTTTCCCCACCTTGTTTCTTTGAAATTTCCTCACTATCATGAGGTAATATATGTATGCCATGAAGTCATCTTGTTTTTAATTTTGCGTTTATTAGCCTGCGGATTAATTTTAGCAGAGTGCAACTTCATATTTTTATAACTGAAATGATTAAATATTAAAATCTATTACTATTATATTATTATTTCTATTATTAATAGATTATTCATATTATTTAAATAGAATTTCTAAATATCATGACAGAAAATTCACTTTTGATTTTTTGTGTAATTTTAGATATTACGTGTCACGGTTAAATTCCTCATAAAAGAAAAAGGGAAATAACAATCGTTGGTCTCTCGTCGCGTCGATTATCACCATCTTTCTCGTAAAACGAGAAAGAGAAAAAATACAGAATGACACACAATTAGAGAGAGAAAGAACGAATGGATATAGAGCAACTCGTTTAGTTTTTCGCTGAAGATGATTACATAACGCAGTTGCGCGACAAACATGCGAAATGGACGAGATCCCGATTGTTTCGAGTCAGAGATCAGTGATAGAGGACCACGTTGTGCTTTTGATGTATTGTCAGGAAGAAAAGATGGCGACTCGGAGGACAAGAATCGAATCTTGATCCAAATTGCGCAACATCTCTATTTTGGTTTTCTTATGGCTATAATTTGGCAGTGTTCCCAAATCGGGAATATCTTTTAGGCATTTTGTACTGCGTCCTCTTCATAAACCGTCGAATCGCCATGCCGATTTCTGCGCGTCTGTTTCTTGCATAGATATATCTTTTATATCTTGATGCATATAAATCAATAACTATGCACGATCACCACAAATATCTCTGTTGTTCTTTCTATGAAAAAACATTGTCAAAGTAGTGATTTTATTACAGACGCAGCTAAAATATAGTAACGATTCGTCAAAATTATTTTCTCTTACATTGTTCGATCCATTAATCAATGCAACTCTATAAAAAGATGTCAATTTGTGTATGTTGGAAAACTATTAGTTTAAGAGATATTTCATACTACAACGTTAACTTTAAAATATTTGTTACTTCTTCGAATCTTTCTATCTACTAAAAGATCATTATTACCATATCACAGTCTTTATACTGAATAACAAAGATTTTTCATATTTCCACAAACAAAACAAAAGACATATTGGTACGTCAAAAGACATACTGGTTCATTCTCTATATTTTAATATTTTTAAATATCTTTATCATTTGCTGATTTTCGGTCGTTTAATCTATATGAAAGAATCCGGTTTACTGATCCAATTTTTTTGCTTTCATTTGAATAAATATTGCGATACCACGAACATGGTCACGCCCAATTTCGAAGAAAAGGCAAAAGAAAGTGGTTTTGATATTGGATTGTAGATTTGGATATTAAGAAGCCACGCATTTTACTGTAGATTTTAGATAGGCTTGTGATAGAATTTAATTTTTTAAATAAAATATTTGAAAAATAATTATTTGAGAGTAATTCGTCATGTTATTTAATTCGGTATTATCTTCAAATGATCTTACATTAGTTTATTTGAACAAACAATTCATTTTTCCGAAATTATTTCATCAGTTGTCAAATAAAATAATTTTTTACTTGTTTCTATAAACAATTCTGGAACAGTTTCTTCTCTAATATTATTCTGATTCTAATTCTGTCACCATTTTGTACTGAAATTGTTTGTGATTTTTGTACTATGAATACTTTTGCATTCTTGGGAAATTTAAAATTTCGAGAAAACTTACAGAAAGCATATCATACGCAATAATGTATAAAATAAAATTAATAGAACACTCATCGTGATATTTAATAGATGAAACAAATTTCTATTTAGATTCGATTTCTTTAATTGTGTCCATTAAGGTACAAAATTGCATAAATATCTGCAGTCTAGTGATTTTATTTTAATGAAACAAAATGAAGTAACTTGAAGAAATTAACTCATTATTTGCAAATGATTTATTTGATTTGGACATACGATATAGTTACTTTTCTTGTGTTATATTTCCAGAATAGAAATAACGAATAATAGTAAAAGCGATTCGTTATTTCAAATTGTCATTTTTCAATCTTCATTTCAAACAGAATTAGCACAACCTTGATTTTACATAGGACAGTTCTAAATATACACGTTATTTAATGTATCTTTTAAATTTGTACGCTTGTGAATTACGCGTATGTATATGCTACTGCAATTTGCGCGTAGAAACGCGTCATCAGTGCAAATATTTTCATATTTCATTATTGCCTTAGTCTAAGATAATAGAATAGAATAGGTGTCAAGCACATTACGAAGATGGAACGATCTTGGGATAGAGAAGTCATTACTCCTTTGACATTTCGTCAATCTTTCCCTCTCACTCGTAGAAAAATAAAATTATTAATTACCGATGCTTCTATACTTAAAACAAACAAATAAGTAACTCTTTCTAACAACGATTCGTCAATCGCGTTTGAGTGAGCGATTGGTGTATCAGCCCGGAGAAGAAAGATAAAATTTTATGCATAAAATCGATTCGTTTTTAATGGTTTTCAGTCCACCGACGTTTAAAACTGCGACGCCCACATCGCGTACGCAACTGAAACTCCAGCTGATGCGAGAGCAGCTACAGGAGCAGGAGAGACGAGAGGCTGAATTCCGTCAGAATTTGCAGCAACAGAGACCAACCGCTGCACCTCCTAGGCCTGTACCCGCTGCTCCGCTCTCGTCTATCGGGGTAGATGTACCACCACAAGTTTTACAGGTATTGTAAAACTTTTACATGTGTTCCTCTTATCTCATATCATCGCTACTGACTCTTGAAACTTCCAATAACTCATCATTTACCTTCTTACTCTGTCCTCATTCTCATTTAATCCCAATTCATTCTGGATTTTGAAATTTCTTAGCTACCTTTATAGTTAAAAACTTGTACATTGGGACAAGGTTAATTGATTAAAAACGACGAACATTGTAATTTACAATTGCCTTGGCTGAAGGTTCAGTATAATGGTATACATATATTACAACTGCAACAAACGAATGCTATAGCGAATGCTATATTTTTGTTCTTACGAATAAGATTAGAATATTACACTGAATTGCAGATATTGCAACAAACACAGAGAAAAGTATCGCTCACCATGTAATTTGCTTTGTTGCTATGTACGTATGAGATACAATGCCTTTATACGATATACCGTCTCATGAATACGATACTCTTTTTTTGTACTTATTATACATATATATGCGTCTGAATGAGATAATGTAATGTACGCGCAAACACGTGTTTCGGAAAAATAAATTATTCAAACTTTTAATAGTAACAATTATTCAAACTTTTAAAGTGTAGGACGATACTGAAATCAAAAGAGAAAGAAACATAAAATGCTGTCTTTTGTTATTTAAAAATTCAATGAAATTATACAAATATATACCATTCTTTCAACCTTGTTGCATATTTTTCCTTAACGAACATTTTCGATAAAAGTAGAAACACTTGTCACCTCGCAACAATCGTCAAAATCGGTTGAGAATTTAAGTTGAGAAAGACACGAAACATGATTGAAGAAAGAGGAAGAGGATAGATCGATTAAACGAGTGGTTTCACTTTTCGCTCACAGGTACGGACACCATTGGAAAATCCGACGCGCTATCATGTTGTACAGAAGCAGAAGAATCAAGTGCGACAATATCTTCACGAATCGTTTCGTGGCAATGGTACCACCGGGGACGAAAGCGTTCTTGGAAGAAATTCAGTCGAAGCCGTGACAACGTCCGCACCGATGGTTGTTCAGAGTGCACCACCGGGACCAACGGTGCACCATCCAAAGCCACAGCATCCTCATCTAGCCTCGTACCCGCATGGTCCCACGGTATTATCGCACGGCAATCCGGTTGCCAACAGTCCAGATCCTACAACTGGTGCAATGTCACCAGGACTTTCCAGTGTCGCGACCAGCAATTCCGAGGTAATTCATTTAAGTACCTGTTGCTTGTCTAATTTACTTTATTTATCGAATTCCGTGTAATATGTAACATTCTATTAGAGAGAGAGAGAGAGAGAGAGAGAGAGAGCAATTAGAATAGATAAAGTTATTTGAATCAATTAAGCTCTAACATCTTAAAGTTCAAAGTTTTGAATGAAAAAAGAGAATAACTCAAATAATCTTATGGTGCACTAATATTAATCAAATTAAGAAAATAACCCCATAATGGAAATAAAGTAATATACAATATGCTATTCTATTACATAATGCTGGCAATTGCAACTGAGAATATTAACATTAGTCGGACAAATTTCTTATCCTTCATTGTTATATTCATGAAGTCGTGAAAAAACCATAGCCATCGGTTTTTGATGAAAACGATGCTTGTCTATGTTTATACTTTTCCGAGAAAACAGATAAAGAGGCATTACGTCTTCAATATTCATTCAATGCATTTCATTCTTTTTTTAAACGAAACATCCATCATATTATATAAGAGGAGTTCAGGAGATAAATCTAGCTAAGTTCATATGTAATTAGACAGAAAATGTGCACCTAATTAAATTATAAGGTTCTGAATAGTTGTTTTTATAGAAATGATTAATAGGTACATAGATAGATCATTTTTTATAACATCCATTCCATCATATTACTTACAACTTTTATAATTCAGGTTTAATTTATGACTACTAATTCTAGTTGTGAACTGAAATGCGTTATTATCTAATAGTGCGTTTATATCAAATGAACGAATGTTGCTTTCATTTACTATTCTGATAAATTCGCGCTCATTATGATCGGAGCATTCGTTCGTTTGGTGTAAACGCACTATAAAATGTCGAATATTTTATCAACGTGTTATATTTGTCAAAAGCTCAACTGTTTAATTTAATTCAAATAATTCTATCTTATCTTAGAATTTTTAGCTCGTACATAAAATTAGCGAAAAATAAAGATAATCACAAATAATCCGCCAACGTCATAAAAATCTATTGCTCTATATTTTTTACGTAGTTCTCGGATTATGTGCATGTGTACAACTATATGACTATGCATCTTTATAGAGAAAAATTACAACGGAATTTTAAAGTAACAGAATTATAAAAAATAACTTTCATCTCTTTTGGTTCCTTTGTTTAGCAACGATTAAACAGATCGAAATTGTAGTTACATTCATACTTGACAACTTGAAGGCCGATCGATTGATCGCTCGTTCGCTTTCTTTTTCTTTGTTATTCGTCTGACATCGAAAGTCGTACAGAAACTGTTTTCTGAGTAATTGCTCGACAATGATATATATCATATCTTCGTAAAAAGAACAGTTTCATTTTCATGTAATCCTTCTTCACGGATAAATGCATAAATGTTGCCATCATATATTTCATCTCGTCAGTTTTCTTTTTGTTGACAAGAACTCCATTATTTAAAAAATGAATAACAAGAGAAAAAATTATTAAAATAAATCGATTTCTATCGATGAAAGAAACATCAGATTATAATATAACATTCAAAATGAAAATAATCTGTTTGATCCGAATAGAGAAAGAAATAATAATATAATGATAATATGTAATAATATTATAAAATAATTATTGTAATATAGTAATTATAAAATAATACTGAAAACAGTTAGTATATTTAGAATGTTTACAAGAGTAGCAGAATATTTAATTTGAAATAAAAATATAATTTGGATAATATAAAATTCAAGATTGCTTAACCTGTCAAAGACATATTCTATTTTGGTAATTGCTATTTCCAAAAAAAAAAAAAAAAATGAAAAATGTGACATTCTTCCTTTATATTCTTCAAATAGTACCGACACTAATTATGTCGACTATTATATAAGATTATGTTACATATATTCCCGTTAAAACAAACAAGCAATGCGGCTTTTGTTAGTTTTATTAGCTGAAACTTATTACGTTACTATTTTTTTAGCTACGCTCACCAGGCTGTTGCATGCGATATTTTTCGAGCCTGCCAAACAACTGGGTTAACTGAGAATACCTGAGGCGCGTCGTACAGTGAATGCGAGAGTAGAATACATAACACTGGGCGATAGGAGAAATTTGTCCGAACATGAACCTCAACATCTATAGTAGAATATTTAGGCAAAGAACACGTCGAATGTAAATTGGTGAGGAGAAAGGAATCTTAAAAACGATGTACGTACCTTCTAGGCCAAAAAGCAAAATTTCAAATATCGCTCAAGATCAGTATTTATTGTCATAAGTAATTTATTGCCAGGAAAATATTTAACGTAGCCGATAAAGAAGACTGAAAGAATAAAAAAAAAAACAGAGACGAAAAAATGGAAGGAATTAACTAAACTAACTGTACTCTAGAGCCTCATTCAAATTAGTCGTCAGATTGCTCAAATTCCAGCGACTTGAGGCAGTGAAAAACGAGCGTAAAAATTTGAAAGAAGATTAGAAACAAATAAATACAATAAAGTCTCCCATATCTAAACTAATAAGAAGACAAAACTCCTGTTCGATCAAGCGTTTCATATAAATTTTCATATTTTATATTTGATTAATTTATTTAAATGCATTTAATTCTAACGAAGTTTCACAGTTTCGTCACAATTCATCAATCTATGATTATCTCTTTCTTCTTCTTCCACATCTTGATCGACTAGCAACAAATATAGTACAAAATAAAGCCAGTGAAACTCTCCCCTGATTGAGAACACTTGGAATAACAAAAAAAAAAAAGAAAATTCGGATATTGTAATATTTGGATGCACGAGTTTAGATAGGGGAGGCTCTATTATACCATGTTCGCGCTAGTCAAGCTGTTTCAAATTACACGAATTCAAACCGTTTAAATTCAAGTTAATTCGACTAATCTGAACGAGGCTTAAGTGACGAGTGATAGAAATGAAAATACGCGGCTGCCATGTGGTCGAATAGTAGGGGATAACGGGTAGAAGCGGTAACTTAACGATAGCCGATAGCGTAGCGGGCGTGGGGCATGCCCGAAGCTTGTAGCGCGTGGCGCGTGGCGGGCATTCGAGCAGTAGCGAGTAGCAGCGAGCGGTAGCGAGCAGTACCGAAACGAGCCGATCGGCGGTGGAAGTTTGTGTTCGCGCGGAGAGCAAACCTTCGTGGAGCGTCGTTTACATCGTCGGTGGTTTGATGTTCGTTTCGCGACTCGATTTTTCGTGTCGGTCTTGTTCCATCGATTTGTTTGAAACGATTGAACACGTTTCGCTTTCACGATCGGCCAACCAAAAGGGGTGAGAGAAAAAAAGAAGGAAGCGGGAAGATCTCCCCGCAACAGGAGAGATTATCTGATGCGGAAACTTTCCATGCGATCAACGTGTTCGTCGAATGGCAAGACCCGGTAACACGACGTTTAACGCAACGAGGAAAATCACGATCGATCTCGCTCTGATTAAAAACCACAATAATCCTTTTTTACATCCGGCTTGAACCGATGACACAAGTGCACAACTTGTTGCGCGATCGATACGGTAAAGGCGACTTTTTGAATCCGAACGATTTCGATTTAGAGGAACGATAGAGTTGAGCAGCGATGAGCAGTAGCATTTTTATGCTTATCACTGTTAATTCAAGCCGATAACGATTCTTCTGGACGACGCGACAGATTGTCCCTAACGCGTGACATATTTATATCCCGACTTTAACATACCACCAATTAATACTTGGTTATATCCACCTATTTGTCCACCGCCGTCTATCATTCGCTCCCTGTGTTCCCGGTTCAACTCGGTGTACCACCTCGCCTCGTCGAGATCGTGAGATACGTTATTGAGTAACCGCAACCTTGAGGTGCGCTTAATCGTAGGTAGCCGAGTCGCGACGGAGCGGCGGTACGAGGAGAAAACGCAAGGTTGCTCTGAACGGACGTCGTCGCATCGGCAAACCATCGAGTCCAAGCCCGAGCCCGAAAAATGCACTCGTTCCTCGATCAACTGTCCGCATTCGTATTCATGTATACGGCCGCATTCGCTTTCGCCCTCGTTTCAGCACCGTTACTCTGACACGTATTCTTCGCCCGGGAAGAATTATTCGTCTCTCCCTTGTCGAATGCGAAATCCACCCTATTGTCAAGGCTGCAGCAATTACGTTTAACGATTCGTTATAATCGATCGCGAACCTTCACCATCCTCCTTCTATTCTTCCTAGCGTTGTTATCCTTTGCCACCGTGATCGATTAATCGACGATCACTTTCTCTTTTGTTTTCTTTTTCGTTTCTCGTCCTCCAGTTCTTGCCTTTTGTTTCGTATCTCTTTCAAATTATTGTTCGCCTCGGAGTTTCGATCACCGCGCACCGTACATTCCGAATACCAGTCATTCCCGAACGAGAAAAACGATTGTCCGTGATTTACGTCGAAATTTCCGGGAAATGAATCGACGAAGCGGAGGATAGTTAGCGAGGCTCGTAATGTTAATCAGGAGTTACGATCGACGTTCCTTCCTCTTCGAAGAAAAAGACTGAACGTAAGGTAGCAGAGAGAAACAGGGAAATAAAGAGACTCTGCCACTGAACAATGACGTCGAAAGTGGTGATGATGACGTTGACAATGACGATGCTAGTGATGGCAATGATAACGACGGCAATAATGTTGAAATTTATCTGAAATTGGAACAGTACAATTCCCTCATTATCGGCCTTACTTAAGGATAACTCCAATCAATTCGATTATCATATCGTACGTACGCTAGAGTCAGTGAGAAAGTGAATTATTTACTGATTGCCGAGTCTCCTTTTGCGTTTGCACGTTTAAACCGACACCGCGATCGCGCTCTCCTCCGCCACGTGCGTGAACGCGTACGTCTCCATGTGCGCACATGTCTCTGCTTGACCGCACGAACACACGGTTTTCATTTTCATCGTCGGATCCCATTCAAGCAACGACAACATGCCAGTGTTCAATATAATAACCCGAAGGTGCAAGGTGAGTTGAATTCGACTCGTTTGAATGCTTGAATTTATCCAGCATGCGTTATAATTCACTAACTTCTTTTCTGCACATTTCGCCCGCATCTCGGCACCACGTTCGTCCCACCCTACGTAATTGTATCGAGTTGCCACGTTATCATACATTGTCGTTTTATCGCGTTATCGCGTTGTTGCGTTATCTATCAACGCTGCATTTCATAATGAGGACGAATGCGCAGACAGACGCGAGACCTAGAATTGTTCGAGACGAAAAATGAACAAGATGAAGCAGGATGAATGCGAAGAGAACTTACTACACCCGAGCTCGATCGATCCGCGTTTGCGAATTAATCAACGAGGGATCGATATCAATTAAGCCAGTTTAATCGACGCTTATCGCGTCCTTTATCGTTTCAACAGAAGACCATCGAAGCTTAACGTTTAAAAAATTCACGAGAGGCGAAGAATAATGAAGCCCGCAGAACTGCTTACGTACCTTCTATCCTCTATATATTTCGTATGTATTTAGTGTATGTATGTATGTATGTATGTAGAAGACATGTCAGCGATTGACGTTGCTCGCGTAAGCGTATCCACGCATAATCACAAATGCGTGTGGATCCATAGCAACACATCGTGATCTCTGATTCCTACGAAACTTCGGTCGTTGTAATTTAAGACGTTTCTCCTTTTTTTTTTCTTTTTTTTGGGGAGGAGGGGATCTATTATTTAACGTGTACCCACGACGAAGACGCGTAAGATAATCACGATAAGCGGCAGCTTTTCCGACCGCTTTGGACGAGCATATAAATCTTTCCCGATCAAGGGCTGAAAACGCTGATAACGGATAGCGCCTTGATAACAACTTATCTAGGTAAAAAACGTTTGACGGCTACGAACGCTCTGAATGATGCTAATATTTGTGAACGACGCCGTACTTGCGTTTCGTAACGTGCAACTTGGTTTATACGAAGCAAAGGAACGCGAACACATCATGAATACGAGCAGAAACAGAGATACAAACGGTGAACCAACGGGAGAATGTCAGTCGTGATGGAAGTGCACAAGTACCGCAAACATGTTAACAGTTTTATTGGGGAAACCGCCCTTCAGCCATGTTAATTTAATCAGTTTCAACCAGTTCCAAAAATAGCTTTTGTTCAAAAGGATACCTTTTGTTGCGTGTATCTAATGAATGGTAGATTGAAGAGTTTCATCTATTTATAAAAAAAAATTGAAAGTACAATATATTCAAAGTAAAATTATTAGATTGCGAAGTTTTGTGCAAATAGAACTTAAATAGAAATTCCATTATGATAATAGAAGTTAAATAGAAATATTCTAGTAATTTCATATTCCAAGAACTTAAATAGAAATAGTCTTAAGAGAATAGAATTTAAATGGCAGTTCTATTAAAAACTTTACTATAAAGTACTTTACCATTTATAACTTTATTATTAAATACTAATAATTATTTTGGATATTTTTATATACATATTATTCCATAGATTTCTGCATTTTTAAATCTTACGTAAATTCATAAAAATATAAAGTTTATTGACTCAGTAATCTGTAAAAATAGATTGAATAGATTATATTATTATCTAATATAGATAATGTTAGTGTCTAGTATAGATATATTAGAATGTGTAGTATATATTTTTTAATTATGTTCATAAAGATACGAATTTGCACAAACATTTGCAATCTAATTAATAATCTATATATGATTCTTCTCTTTATTTTTTTAAGTAACATACGAAAATGGAAAGAACAACTTTGTACATCGAATGGAACGGCGTGTGTAATTTTTTACTTGCGCGACGAAAAATATAGCACAGTATGATCAAACGAAATGAGGCATGAGAAAACGTAAAACGTGCGATGCGATTTCAACAATGATAATTGTTTTATCCGACATAATATAAACAATAACAATTTCAAATATCTTTTCAATTGTATTTCCACAATTATCTGATAGTCGCTGATAACTTTTTTTGATATATATGTATGATTTATCGCTTAATCTCGCAATCAGGTTAACGCCGTCCATAAGCACGTAAATGAAATCTTTTCAGTGATCAAGGAAGACGTTCGCTTTTTTCTTATTAATTGGTCTTGTCTTCGAATACTTTTCCCTTTGACTTTTTTTTCGTTTTCTCACCCATTCGACAACTTTCTCTCGTGCAGCTTAAATCTATCTCTTTGCTCCGCCTCTTGCCGCCGTTGTCTTTCTGACACACGGTTCTATCGACACGTTCTTCCATGGACAGACATTGGTTATTGTTGTTACGTAATATTTACGTAACTTACACGTACGCAACTTGAATAGCCATAAGCGCCGTACGATGAACACTGATACTCGCGATCTCAGCCCGTTTTACATCGTTTCTTCTGAATTCTTATCACTCGATTCACTTTGTGAATCTCCTTTCTCACCATTTATTTTTCTAATCCGATTAATTATATTTCATTTCTTACTTTTGTCTCCTTTCAACCCACCTCTTTCTCTTCCTTTCCGCTCATTGTTCCAAAGCGTTATTTATCTCACTTTATAACTTGTCTATCTTTATGAATTTTAGTGGTTCCATATTTCTTTTCTTGCATTCGTGTCTCTTTTTTTTCAGACTTTTATCTCTATTTTGTTCTCGTTTATTAAAATCTGATCTATATTCCATAAATCAATTTATTATTGAAAAGTTTATAACAAAAATATTTCTCTATATTTGTTCATATTTGCTTTTTTTCTAGGAAAAAGAATATTATGACATCTTTAATTTCCGTTCAATACACTGCAGTTTTTTTTCTGTAACAAACAATTCATCGTATTACACAATTACTGTAACATGCAATTACATTATAGAACAACTGTGTATAATTAAATCACAGATGATTTTTCATAATACCGACGCGTTTAATCGAACAGTTTGAGAGGAGATGTTTTTATTACGGAAGAATTTGAAAATTTTGCAAAATGTACATAATAATAAAACGTTTTAGGTGTGTTCATAAAAATATAAAAATTAGTAGCCTAGTTATGAGCCCCTGGATCATTTTTTTCTTGCTTTTTTCTTAACTCAGTTTACATTGTTCCAGTTATTTTCAAACTAATCGTATCTTCTTAAAATTAAAAATCTTTAAGTTTCTTCTTAAATTAAAAATCTTTAAGTTTGAGAAAAATAAAAAAAACTTGTTTGGATCGGCAAATAAATCAGTGTAACTACAATGATTTTATATTAAAATCTTTAATTGTTGAAACAAAAATGACATAAAAATTCGTAGATTACAGTAAGATTAATCGTCATCGATATTTGATTTATTAAACTTTGGAAAATATTAGACAAGTCCGCATACTTTCAAATCAAGATTATTGTTTGTAAGAATGATGGATAAAGTCCATGAGATTCGATTGTACGTGAAGGAGAGTTCGTTCGATAAAATTGTAATAGCACGTGTAATGCAGATGTGAGGGCAGGTTCGTTTATTATCAAATCCACTTAACGAGACAAAGTATACATGATATAACAAAATTGTTATTCTGAAAATATAACGTCATCTATAATATTTCTATGTGCGTTTAAAAGTTGAATTAGATGAATGAATATCATAGAAGAAATATAAAATGTGACGATTTCTATCGCAATTTTCACTTATAAGCAGATAGTATAGTCCAGGTTAATAAATGTTTGTAAAAATTTATGTTAAATTATTAAAAATTTGAGTAGGTATTTAATTTTACTTCCAAGTGCATCGACGCATAGAAATGTACAAAATTATTCAAATTATTCTTTAATTATACTTTCATTATTTTATACCATATAATTATATCATAGAAAAGTACCATTTAACTTAACTTTGTTTCAGTTGAGTGAAACACTGCGTGTATCGCGATAAAACTGAAAGCGTAGACAATCTTATTCGTTCCACGTTTTCCTCAAAATTTTACGCAGTTTTTAATACATTAATGTAATATAGATTGAAAATAGACAGTTAAGGTAAAAGTAAATTATTAAAGTGCAAGCTAAAAATATACATCACTACAGAATTTTAATTCTCTAAAAATCCAGACCATTTCGTTGGTATTCCCAATTTCTAATCATTTTCCTCTGGTCATATAAAATTTGTATAATTACAGGCGGAGGATCTTCTGGACGATATTTTATCGTTTGAAGCCAACTCATTAGGAGATAGTTTAAAGGACAGCCAATCAGGAAGCCTGAGCAATATTCCAGAATTGCAGATCAAGCCTGAACCTCTGTTACTTACCGAGGCGGAGATACATGCTCTTGCCAAAGACCGACAAAAAAAGGATAATCATAATATGAGTAAGTAAATAAAATTGACTGTGTATATCGTATATTGTAACTTGTTACTATTAATTATTAGAAGTATGTGAAAAACCATGATTTATTCATATATCTACTTCGGTGCTTCAGATAAAACTAAACCGGTCGTTTGAATTGCAAATGAGTTAGCGACGGATCCGATGTATTTCTACAATCGTGCAAATTGTTAAATATCCATGGAGCGAGACGTTCATTATGATCTTTTTGTTTCTGATATTTGTACTTTTCCAATGAGATTTTTTTTTTATTTTATTCGAGCCAAGCGGCTTATAAGCGAACATATGAAATATACAGCGTCTTATAATTATAAAATTATTAAACATTTTTCAATTTTGTACGATGTGTCATTTAGGATTCAGACACCAATCAGTGTAAATCACTTTGCTTCAAAACTAATTTATATCATGAAAATACACTTTCGTTTAATTATAATATGATCATTATGTTATATATTATATTATTACATTGTAATATAATATAATAATTAATTATTATGATATTATAACGAAATTGTCCAATCGAATGAAGGTTTTAAAAAGAAGAGTATGTTTGTACAACAGGGATTATTTTTGACACTCTAATTATCTTCTCCCAGCTCGCCATATGTAATCATGATAAAAAAAAAGTGTCATTTTCTTTGTTAAAAAAAATACTGGGAATTAAGCTGTAAACTACACAAGATTGAATTGATACAATAAAACAACAATTTTTATGATATTTACATACTTTAAATATTTATCCTATTATATCCTGTGCCTCATACCTATATAAGAATTAATAGCTACATATAATAAATGTTTAAAGACAGACTATTGGAAAAATAATGCCCAGTGTTGAAATAAAAAAGAAAATTTTAGAGTAGTTTGAAACACAGTGTGTTTTATGCAAAGTGCAATAAATCATACATATTCGTACAGCGTATAACGAAATAACTATATTACATATAAAAATAAAAAAAGAAAGAGTTGAACATGTTAGAATAATTTTATGGTTATAAGACGCAATACTGTACAAAGCACAATGGATTCTACACATGTGAACAAGAAATATGTACAACCACGTATTAAGCTGAAAAAGAATAGAGATAACTGTATCTACCTATTGTTAGTAATAATAGTCAATGGAGTCGTCGTTAACTAACACATCTGTTATCGATGCAGCTTACCGTCGTTAGCTTGCGTGTGTCTATATCCGATATAAAAATATGCAAAAATATGTCCGGACACAACCGTAACGTTCTAATTATAATTCATATTATTATTATAACTTTTAGTCGAGAGACGGCGACGATTCAACATCAACGACAGAATTAAAGAGCTCGGCACTCTCTTGCCTAAAACTAACGACCCGTAAGTACGTTTTTTCAGTTTCACGATATTTATCACAGTAATAATGCAGCGAAAAGTTTTCATCTTATGAGTAATCATCTAGTCTAGACCGCGGATGTTTATGCATTTGTGGAAATTTAAAAGATTTCAAAATAATATGTAAAATATGCATGAAATATTCAAGTTATTGGGCTGCGAATTTTCATGTATTTATAAGAAATTATAAAATGCGAAATTAGACGGAATGCGCAAAATCTATTTTAGTATCAACTTCATTCGTAATTTCATATTTCAGTGCATGCATTCGACTTACATACTTCAATGTATGCAAATTGAACATATGTATCTATTAAAATATATAAATATTATAAATGTATAAACATAAATATTATATTAACAATATTGTTAATGTAACATGACGTGTTCTGTTTGTATTCTGTATATTTTTATCTCTCGCGTTAAATAAATTAAATATAAAATATTTAAAATATAGTGCTTTTTATAACACTTAATACTTAAAACAACATTCTACCAAGGTTATACTTTCCAAGCTATATTCTATTAATAAATTATCCACATTTTGCTTATTTTATATTTACTAATATATACTAATACACACACACATATATATATATACTACTCACAAAAGTATAAAATTATATAAAGATATGCAATGTATTGACTTCCTTTAGTCAAGCGTTTCAATTTACTTTAAAAAGTCATACATGTGTGACGCTAGTAGCGAATGTGTTAAAAATCTTAAAAACAACTCGACTGTAGAATGAACGGATGAAACAAGAACGAAAAACAAACAATAATCAGCTTTCGAAAGAGTTTCACCAACTTAAATTTACTCGATTTCGTGTCTCTCTATATCGTGTCTTTAGCGTTACGTAATAAATTTGCGAGGAAGAAAATAACGAGCAATACCTGGTACGGTTGTCTACCGAAGTACCACCTCTTTCCAAGGTTGGCACCATACGAAAGAAAGATGTACGAAACTGCGAGTAAACCGAGTTACTGTATCTCGAGTCTCACCTCGATAACGAAACGAGTCTAATTATAATGGCAAACATTCTGATACGACCCCGTTTTCGTTGAAACTCTCTCACTGTCGACTATCTTTTGACTGACATATTTAAGTATTTTTCGATTCGTATTATACTCACTTTCATGTAGTCAAGTTCCAAGGTTTAAAAATTGATCTTTTTAATGGCTATCATAAATAAAGTTTCTTCTTTATAAATTTCGCTTCAATATTGTAATTATAATAACAACTCAAAGTATCACGATCTATCTTTCATCTACGAGCAATAAGATACTGAGTTATGAATAATAAAATATAGTATGTAAAATCAGTGGCGGGTAAAAGAAAGTTTAAAGTTAATATTTGACTTAATGTATTATATTATTAATATTAATAATTCTTATATTAGACATTCTTTTACAATATTGATAGCAATTAAATATTTTGCGATGTACATTATATCTATTCGTTAATTTTAATGTAATTCCATTTTATAAAATTGTTATCTTTGCGTTTAAACTTCCTTCTGTCGATCATCTGTATTTTAACAAAGAGTACATTCTTCTTTTAAAGTTATCGTTTAAAATTTTATCACTTGCAAAATAACAATTATATTTACAAAAGCACTTGTTAACTGCGACAAAACTATGAGACAGTTTCGCTCAAGGTAAAGTGATATGTACAAGAAATGTATATATCAACGAATAGTGATTTTTGAACAGTTTTGTTTGAGGAAATATTTGTTGAATAAAATATTTGAAAGTAATTAAAATAATAGAATAATAATTAAAATATTTAAATAATATTTAAATAAATTAAATAATAGATCAGGAATCAATAATAATATAATATAAATTTTATACCATTAGATTTTATTAATTAATTCTGATTTCTGTTTCAGGTATTACGAAATCGTTCGAGATGTGAGGCCGAACAAGGGCACGATACTCAAGTCTTCGGTCGAATACATAAAGTTGTTAAAAAACGAGTTGACAAGGATGAAGCAGAACGAACTCAGACACAAGCAACTGGAACATCAGAATCGTCGACTCCTTTTACGGGTTCAAGAGTTAGAATTGCAGGCAAAGGCGCATGGTTTACCGGTATCCGACTTCAGTTGGGCCTCGACTTCCGGTAGCATGTTAAACGCTTTTCCCCGAAATAAGCTCGAACAACGCAAGGTAATCATATTAAACTCTACTAGCAAATGTATTACTTCATTTACATTTATATTATATGCGATAATTTGAAATATTAAATGAAGTAAAGTTTGTTAGAAGTTTTCGATAAAGAAATAGGTATTCTAAAGCGATCATAAAATAAGGCGGTATAATATGCTGTATTATAAATGTAACAATATATATAATAACAATACGTATAATAGTACAATAATGCATGTATATTATACGTTCAAAAATTTGAAGCACCTTTTATTTTTGGAACAAACTTCTTTGTACATTTGTCCGAGGAACAAGAACACATATGAACATAACGTTGATTTTTAAATATAATTAATTAAAATCTCAGTATAGAAAGATAATATTATGAATAAAATATTTGTTTACTAGAAGAAGTTGTTTCTTTTAAAATCTTAATGTGCTCCAAATTTTTGAATGAGAGTGTATACGTTTATGTTTCCTGTGGCTAGGTAACTTGTAAATAACTTGTAAATATTTTCCTTGATGTAATATCATATGTTTTGTATTATTCTACTGAATACATTGAACTTCTAAAAGAAATTTAATTCAAATCGTAATGTGGTGATCAAGAATGAGTGCATAGATTTAAACAGGATCGAAATATTTTGGATTCAAGTCGAATAAATTGCTGACGGATGAAGATGCAAGGATGTTCAGGTTGAATAGACTGTGGATTTCTAAATTTTAATAAATATAACTGAAGAAATTTTTTTTATATAAAAATTTGTTTCTTCTACTAAGTATTATAATAAATAGTCTACTTTGGATATTTTATATATTTTTCCATATTAGCATTTTGAAATTTCCTATAAATGTACAAATCTGCAATAGTAATGACTAGACTGTAAATTTATATACATTTTTAAACTTTTGTTAACACAATGAAGAAAATAAAACATAAATAGAGATTTATTTCTGTTATAACGAATAATTTATGCTAATATTATAATGCTAATCTATGCTAATACAAACTCTACTTTAAATACATTTGTATATTATAATTATCGTACACATAAAAATCCGCATTTTAGTAATGAATTTGATTCTGTAGTTGTATAGCAATAGATTAATAACTATATATATATAAAAACGTTTACGGACTGAATAGTAATTTAAATAATCAAAAGATCAATCTACTGTTTATGATATAGTATTGTAGTTAAAAAGATGAAAGATTTTAGTCCATATAGTAATAGTAGATTCGAACTCAATGGCCAGGAACTGTATTATTCTTCCTTGTCCTATCATGAACATCATGTGTCTTCATTCAGGAACGAGGTGAATATGTATACATTCTCAATGGTGTGCATCCTCGCGCGACGGCGGCTGTCACGACACCGAGACTGCTATGAATTTCGTCAAGGTTATGCCGATCAACGCCGATATATACCGCTGATCGTTTCACGATCCTTGATCCGAATAAACGCTCGCTTCGTTCCCGAGACTGGTATCATAATTCACATCTGTTCTGATCAGACTACCATGTAGCTACGAAATCACTTGTTTATTCATCCTCGCTCTCTTGTCTTTCTTTGTCTATCTTTCTTTTACGAGTGTGCGCATATAAATAAGTAGTTTTACATACGATATCGCGTCCTTTTCTTCTTTACTCCTACTATTTCCACTTATTGTTAGTTCTAAGCTTCCGCTCGTTTTTCCACTACTACTATACTTCCACTATATAGGATGGGATATGCATATATCATAGATACACGGATTTTTATGCACTTGTAAGAAACTTGTTCAACTGCAAAATTGCACAGAATGCAGTCACAGAACATTTATTTTCATCAAATAGACGCCGAAGTTTGATTTCCTAAACTATACTCTCGAAAATATGAATTTGCATAAAAATCTGCAATCTACTTGGATAATAGATCTCTATAGTATATCTTTAGCTATATCTAACAAGTTTTTCTCATATATTTTGATGTTGATTTCTCAACTTTTCAACATCGAAATATCCCTTTTGTTACAACGTTGTTATAATGATATGTTATTTTTTATATTCTATAGATTCCAGAATTGGTTACCGAGGAAGCAACGAGCTTAAGTATGTCGCAACTCGAAGATCTAATGGAGGACGATGGTAACGGTCCTATCCATAGTGGTGATCCCATGCTCTCCTCACCTCATCTACCACCATTAAGTCCAGCACAGGGTGGCTGTCAACATGCTCTACCAGACGAAGATACTCTTGGTAGTTTGGCTCCTACCACACCGAATTCCTCCACCGATATGGACATTGTTGCGTAACAGAGTTCAAGCGAATATTCGATTTATGTATTTTTAAATTGACAGGACAATCGAACTTTGTCGTTTCGACATTTCCTTTTTTACAAGGAAATAACAAATGCAATATAAACGATGCCTAGCGATACACTAGACAAATAGCGATTCACAAACGAGACATCTTCGTGTCATATTGTTATTGACACGCATGTTATATATTGTTCTTGTTCTGTATTTCAACGGCTGGCCGTTTTATCTATAAATCATGCTGTAAATCATAGTAGTTTTACGTAGAACGATATTTAATATAAATCGTTCTTGAGGAAGCTCACATACTTTCACGCATTCAGAAACGAAAATTAATTCCTAAATTCGTATGTACGGTTAGTTTGCAGCCACCATTCCCATACGAGTTACGAATACTTATGGGACATACGTAATGAATAACGGAACATAAAAGTTTCACAATACACGAGCGCATCGCGCAGGTCGCGAGTTCGTTGACGAACAAACAAAGCATTGAAATATATAAAAATACTTTTGAAATAGTTGATTCACTTGGCCAAAGTACGAGAGTTACTTTGGATGTTCCTTTTAATTTCCTTTCGCTTCGATTACAGCTCAATGTTTTGTCACGTAACGGCTGGTATACGAACCAGTTTGTTCGAGTTTCTTTTAACGTTTTTGTGCCACTCTCCTTCACTATTGTTGTCTCAATGCTTCGTAATGCGTGAAGAAAATCGACAGCACGTTTTATCATCGAACGACTTTGTCGACCGAGTTTCATTACTCGAACTACGTAACAATTGCTCGTTTCTTTCTACAAAAAATTCTCGATTTAAAAAGACATTGACGAACATTGCGTTAAGGTATAGATATATAACGGCGAGTAAGTGCTAATTAAACTTGACACGTAGACCTAAGACGATAATCGAGCAATTAGAGAAGAAACGATTCGATGACTCAAGGGAAAAGTTGTACAAGTGCTGTAAATAAGATAAGAGGCGATTCATTTAAAGACAAAAAGAACAATACGTAGGATAAAAATCTGCGACAGAAAATATATTTTTTAAAGTATTTCGCGTTGGGAGCAGCAGATGATTAATATTGCTGACGAATAATCGTCGGAGAGGCAGATAATAATAAGTGCCGTTCCCATCGCCCTGTGATCCTTTTAATATATGTAACAATCGCGTTTTACCTTGTTAATGCGTATTATTCGCTCACTGTTATCCGCGAGAATCTCGACGGTGATCGCGAGAAACTACAGAGTATATAAAGAGACGTTACAGAAAGAACGTTTAATCATTTATTTCATATTTTGTCTCCTTCTTCCTTTTCTTCTATTGCTTATATGGAAGCTCAGGAGCAATCAAGAGCAATTAGTATAAATCACTTCTCATTAAAAAGTACTTGTAACACGTAAATATATTTTTTTTATAAGATCCTCAATTGACATAGTGCAATTTAGTATTATTAAACTGCAGACGCTTATGTATTTTTGGGAAATATTAAAAATCCACAGAATGCATATAATATACAGAAATGTACACGGCTGTGCAATGTTGAAAGATTTATTTTAACACTGATAAGGTTCAAATTTTATCCAAAGTAAACCTGTTATAATAGTTAACACGTAAAACAAATTTCCATTTTTATATATATATATATATTTAGATTTAGATTTAATTTAAAATGTGTAAATATTCGCAGTCTAGTCATAATGATATGATTATTATAATATAATTACTGTGAAAACTAGACTGCGAATTTTTATGTACATATTTATTTTATGAACATACGTAAGAAAATGGAACTTAAATAGGATTCTCTTTCATCTACTAAATGTTATAATAAATACTGTACTTTGAATATTTTTTACATATTGTGTACATTGTGTGGATATTTATATCTTTAAGTTTCCCTTAAATGCATGAACGCATTATTATAATTCTAATTATTACAATATTACAACTGAACTGTTGTATTAACTAAAGGCTTTGATGAAAAAAGTATGTTTCTATGGCACAGGTTTTATTGAGGATTAATTTCTGTATTTTCCATATAGTCCTCATATTCATCTTAGTATTTAGTAACTGAAGTATGCCACAAATAGATTCAAACATTGATTGATTAAATTTAAACCCTCTGTACAGCGGCTCTTATTAATTTTTTAAATATAACGGTCAATCAATAGATGAAATTAATACAATAATATTAGACTTTGGATTTTTATACATTTCTGAGAAATTTGAAGATACAGAAATATACAAATGCATAGAATGTGCAAAGATATATAAATATCGAAGCAAAATATTTACTATAACATGATGAAATAAATTCCTATTTAGTTCTGTTCATTGTGTAAAAATACATGAACACTGCGTTTAATATCGTAGTTTAATATTTGAAGAGAAAAATTTATGGAAATTGTATATCTGTACTAAATATATTCAAATTCTGTGGTATTGAAGAAATCATTACTCTATATGTACTCTTTTATAATAGCACAGACGAGGTATATGAATAGACCTCGCATACAATATATTTTTTCGGCCCACGATTGGAAGGTCTCAGGACCTCCTTACCATTTTCATGTTACATTTTGTACCGATTTAGGCAAGTTTTGCACTGTAGCACTACTAGTGATGAAAATAGAAATTAAAAAATATGGAAATACAGTAATCTCACGTCTGCTTTCAGAATTATTTATTGAATTAAATTTTGATTATATAAAGTAGTATCTTTATAGGTAAAACAATTTTTGCAGCAAGAATCTCCATGCAATTAATTTAAAAAGATGTTATAAGCAGCGAATCCTCCAGCGAATTGTTCCCTGACGAATAGGACAATATTTTACATAATCCGCTTAGGAGCAAAAGAATCTTTAAATAAGGAATCTGCAATCTATGTTTCTTCAAATTTATATGCCATATATATGTTAGAAATTTGTCATGATATGAATCTATGATACGGTCAATCAGAAAAAAATATATAAACGCGACAAAAAGAGATCACACACAACATTTCTACATCAGGAAATTATTGAATGTTATCTTAATCTTATCTTACTCTAATAAAGATCTGTGTAATTCTAAAAGTAGTTAGCAATTGATGTTTACTTCGCGTGAGAATTTTAAAGAATCCTCAGTTTATTACATACCATTCTATAACAAATATTAGCCTTATTCAAGTTCAGGCATAGCTAACTAATTTATAACGTCCCTTGCACAATAATTAATAACGCCATTTAATATATTCTTTCAAAAACAACGCATAAACGAGATGAGATCATCTCAACAAATGAAGAAAGATATAAAGTTTCATTTCATTAAATCTTCAAATTTCACCCATCATTTCTGTCAAACAAAAATTTGCACCATATAATGTGTTCCTATTATTATTAAAACATCCCTTTAGTCGATTTTACGAGACATATAATGTTAGAAGAAGATACATGAACATTAGGCAGGTATATCTCGTCATCCAGAAAGAATTTCTAACAGAAAATTCGAACAATGTATCAGGAGAACATGACACCCGAAGAGGTGGCACGACAAAGCCAGCCGCTGAGCGGATCTCCTTAGTTTTTCGAAAAAAATTTAGCAAGCATGTACCCTGAACAAGGAAGAATTTCTAGCTGAAGATTCGAGCCATGAATCAGGAGAACACGACACCCGAAGAGGTGGCACGACAAAGCCTGCACCTGAACGGATCTCCTGATAATTTGGTTTTTTGAAGAAACTTTAAGCAATTATACCCCGTGAACCAGGAAGAATCTCTAGCTGAAAATTCGAACTATGCATCAGGAGAACGTGACACTCGAAGAGGTGGCACGACAATGCTGGCCGCTGAGCGGATCTCCTGATAATTTGGTTTTTTGAAAAAAATTTAAGCCGGTAAATCTCGAGAACTAGGCAGAAATTCTAGCTGAAAATTCGAAAGGTGCATCAGGAGAACATGACACTCGAAGAGGTGGCACGACAATGCTGGCCGTTGAGCGGATCTCCTTATAATTTGGTTTTTTGAAAAAAATTTAAGCAGGTATATCTCGTGAACTAGGCAGAAATTCTAGCTGAAAATTCGAAAGGTGNCATCAGGAGAACATGACACTCGAAGAGGTGGCACGACAATGCCGGCCGCTGAGCGTATCTCCTGATAATTTGGTTTTTTGAAAAAACTTTCAGCAATTATACCCCGTGAACCAGGCAGAAATTCTAGCTGATAATTCGAAAGGTGCATCTGGAGAACATGACACTCGAAGAGGTGGCACGACATTGCCGGCCGCTGAGCGGATCTCCTGATAATTTGGTTTTTTGAAAAAAATTTAAGCAGGTATATCACGTGAACTAGGCAGAAATTCTAGCTGAAAATTCGAAAGTTGCATCAGGAGAACACGACACTCGAAGAAGTGGCGCGACAATGCTGGTCGCTGAGCGGATCTCCTGATAATTTGGTTCTTTGAAAAAAATTTAAGCAGGTATATCTCGTGAACTGGGCAGTAATTCTAGCTGAAAATTCGAGAGGTGCATCAGGAGAACATGACACTCGAAGAGGTGGCACGACAAAACCGGCCGCTAAACGGATCTTCTGATTATTTGGTTTCTTGACCAAACTTTAAGCAGGTATATCTCGTTAACAAGGCAGAAATATTAGCTGAAAATTCGAGCGATGCATCAGGAGAACATGACACCCGAATAGGTGGCACGACAAAGCCGGCCACTGAGCGGATCTCCTGATAATTTGGTTTTTCGAAAAAAATTTAAGAAAGTATGTACTCTGAACCAGACAGAATTTCTAGCTGAAGATTCGGACCATATATCAGGAGAACATGACACTCGAAGCGGTGGCACAACAAAGCCGGCCGCTGAGCGGGTCTTCTGATAATTTCTGTTTTTCGAAAAAACTTTAAACAGGTGTATATCTTGTACCAGGAGGTATTTCTGGTTAAATATTTGACTGTTATATCAGGAGATCGTGTTACTCGAAGAGGTGGCACGTCAAATCCGGCCGCTTAGTTGTTCTGCTGGTAATTCTGTTTCTTTAATAAAGTTTAAACATTTATATCTCGTGAAGGAGAAGCAAATTCTGGCTAAAAGTTCGACTGGTTTACCAGGGCAACATGATACTCGATGCGGTGGCTCGGCGAAGACAACCGCTGAGCGATTTTTGTTATAAATTGGTTTTTCGAAAAACTTTTAATGTAAAATATCTCATTATTAGAATGATTTTCAGTATGCGCTTCCTAGTATGGAAAAACAGACCGCATTGCAAGAATTAATTTTTTTTTTTTGGCTAAAATAAGTTATAATTCGCAGTTCTTTATTCCAATGAATATTTTTGGAATTATTTTTTTCATAATTTCAATCTTTCATGGAATTGTTTAGTTGGATAAGTGTAATTCATTCTAGTTGAATTCATTCAAGTGAATTTGCATATGTGTATATCAGATACGTCATGTCTAATTATGTTGTTCTTATAGATATCATATTTCAATAAATATTTTTCTAATATTTTTAAATATGTGTGTATAGTTAAATGTATACTAATTTTTTCATCTAAATTTTCGTCAATCTCTTTTTTAAATCGTTATATTCCTTGATTGATGAAGTATCCCCATGTTCTATTCAGTGATTAATTCTCTATATAAATCAGGCGGCATTGTTCGTGGTTTTTGATTTTCGCAGTACAAAACTTGCCTGAATCGGTACGACAGCATAGTAGAGGGTAATTGGAATGTCGTCAGCTATTCCCAAAATCGTTGTCTGAAAAAACACATTGGATGCTGGAACTATTCATATACCTCGTCGGTGATAATACATTACTACGTTTATTTTTGTTAGAAGAACCATTAATTTTATGTATTTAATGTACTGATTTGTTGTACAATTAACCATGACTTATATAGCAGCCGTAATATACTCCTGTAATAAGCAAATTATATCAAATTTATATTAATTGTATGTATTTGATGCATGTATTTATATTACATATTATATATAAAGTTATATAATTTTATATAATTATATTCTATATAAAGTTAATATCATTTGGTGATTATATGAATAAGAGTCCTATAAGTATTCGAAGAAATATTTCATTCTCTAAATATTACTTTTCTCGGCCATGATTTTTAAATGATTGCATAGTGGAGACAGTTCAAAGAATGAAAGCGAATGAAATGAGAAAATTAAAAGAAATCATATTATTGCACTTATACAACTTATAATTACGAATAAATTTAATTAAAATAAAGATGCATATATTCCAAATATTGAGAAAATATTTTCAACCAACG